TTCATCTCTTTTTCCTCCTCCAGCTGAGGCGATGACCAAAAACGCCGTGTCTCACAAGGTGGACGACTCTGCGGGATCCATCGGCAGACGTTACGCCAGGACGGACGAGATCGGGGTGGCGTTCGGCATCACCATCGACTTCGACACGGTGAACAAGGAGCCACACACGGCCACGCTGAGGGACCGCGACTCCATGAGACAGATCCGGGCCGAGGTACATCGCGCACAGTTTGCTGTTACTGAAATTACAAGCAGCAGAGCTACGAGCCGCGGCCAGTTTGTGTCAATGTAGAAGTATCACCCAATGTGGTCGGCTTTGTTGCCCTTTGATTGCTATTATTTGACCTTTATGAATGAAAAGCATTTTGTTGGAAGGAAGTAGCTGTAATTACACACACACACACCATGTAACACGATTAACAAAAGCCCATCTTCCTCCCCTCAGGTCAGTGAGCTGCCGGTGATCGTTCGGGATTTGGCCAACGCCACGTTGACCTGGGCCGAAGTGGAGAGCAAGTACCCCATCTTCGAAGGACAGGAGACCAGCAAGAAGGACACGGTTGAAGAGTAAAGCTCACTCGTCTGCCAGTCACGCGACGAAAAGCCACTGACTTGTTGCATACGGATCACCAGGAAGAACATCGCCACTGCATTGTGATGAGCTGAAGTGGTGCACCGAGGCCTCCCTGTGTCCTACGCCGCTGCCATCACTCAAATATCATGTGCCCATCTAACAGTCGTGGAAAGCTGACGGGGCTGTTGTTTCCCCGATGAGCAGCAGTTCATCCACGTCGAAATGTTTAAAAAGGGAGAAATTGTAATCAGGTTGTTGTCGTTGGTGGAAGGAGACTTCCACCTTTCCAGTTTTCTGGCAGATAGGATTGAGCTATTTAACAATTACAATTAAAATGACCAGCACTTACTGGACATGGGTATTCAAATGTAATGTTTTCCATCAAGTGTCAGACTGCTGCATACAGAGACTAGTGACAAAAAACAAAAGCTCAGCAGACAAATGGAACAAAGGAGATGGCAAAAGCTTCATTTAGCATGAAATGTAAATTCAACACAGTTTAAAGTAACCACTGAGCTGTTGACGTGATGACGAGGTTCGGGATGATATGCAGCCTCTCAAGTATTAAGTGTGTAAGACTTTTTTCTGTTTGCGTTCAAACTCCTCAGGACCACATGGGCGAATCCTAAATCATTTATGATCACAGGCTCTAATGCACAGAAGTTATATAACTTGCTAATGGGCTGTATTTAACCTTTCACCCCACCCCGCTTTGACCTGAAGAATTTCTTTTTTTTTTAAATAACTGCACCAGTTCAGAATTGGCGGGCGTCCTTTTCAACTTCTTCCAAACATTCCTCTCGAGTAGCTCTTCCGTCTCTGGTTGAGGTGCTTCGGTACAATTGTAGAGCAGAAAAGCTGATGGAACACAAACCTCACGCAGACCCTCAGATACGGTTCAATCACTACAAATAATTTATCATGTGTTATCTCGTCTGTCTGACTTCTTTACCTGAATGTCCTCTTTGTAAAGACGAGGAGACCTGCGAGATAAATACCAGACACTTTGCACATCCCCCGGGGCCCAAATCTCTTCATCGGCGTCTTCATTAAAACGTCTCCTGCTTTTACAGGGGACGTTTGTTTCAGTATTTTTTTAAACCCTCATTGATAGATTTTAAACGGGACCCTTAAACTGAAGCAGCTAAATGGACCTCAGCCATCGTTAAATGACCAACATCTGGTTGCACACATAATCAGATCGATTGTAGTGACGATTGGATTCAGCAATAAATTAAAATCACAAAAAATTTGAGGATTAACAACTTATTAAATAAACTGGGCGTACAATATATAATCTTCCTTTATGTGCAAATGTGTCAAATAAGGTTGTTTGAAAATAGCCTCTCGATCTATTCCACCAGGTGGCGTCACAGGCCAATTTAGACCTTTTTTCAAACGTTATGTCTCTTGTTACGCAAATCCTGCAAATGTCCAATTTTATTTTGTTACTGATGATTTAGAAGAAAAAATAATACTTTAGAACATTTAAGCTCATTTTGACAGTTTAAGAATAGTTTCACTCAGCAAAACATCTGGATTCTGTACAGAGATATTTGTACCATTCAGGTGTTGATCAATTCTTCTTTTCCTTTTCTAATCTGTTGTCTCTTGTCTTTCCAAACCTTTGGAAACCGAGAATTCACCCACCAAATTGTAATAACGTCACCCTTTATTTGAACGTCGTCTGTAATATTGAGGACAAATTGCATCACGTCCTCTATATGGATTCTGAGACGTGGAACGAAAAAGGACACCTCTTCTTCATAGCAGCGAGACACGGACTTTGGTCAGTTTCATGTCTCTTTGTGGTCATTTTGAAGCTCTACCTGATTTGGGTGTCTCTTTTTGAGTTAGATTTTGGAGGTAAAGGCAACTCTCCACCCATCGACCTGTGCCCTGTTGTACCCTTCAGTAATGAATGACTTTACCAGATTTTACAGGCGGATCTTTGGGGAAACAAGGTTGCAAAAGGGCAGAAAAGATTTAGAGATTCCAATTCCTTCATCATCTACGTTTATAAATAATTCAAGGGCGTCGCAGTCCGACAGCACACCGGATGAAAGTTACCTGGAGGCGGTGAGAAAGATCATCTGTGTCCCATCAAAGCTAGTACCAAGCCAGTAGTCATTTCAATATTTCATCAACTGAAATGCATCGTTTAATAGCTTGTCCCTTTGACCCCACGCACTTCACCTACAAATAGGAAGATTTACATTACTAATACATAAAACAATAACACCTAAAGGAGTGGGAAATGCAATCTATTCCATGTCAAAACAGAAAAGTGTGTCTTTATGGATCAGCTGTCCATGCGGGTTGCCAGGTTGTTTACATCCTCCGTAGCAGATGCTAATCCCTTTGCAGGACCGTCATTGGTTTTCTGCCACTAGGGGGCAGTGAGGTTAAGTTGTGAACACAGAACTGACGCGTCGCCTTGATGTTGATAATGCAAGCCTGTTTGCACGCTGTTGCCTAGATACACATCTATTTGTTTATCTTGACTCTTGTTTCTGGGTTAGGGTTAGTGATGCTAAAATAAAGAAGCTGAGTTGGACTGCAGAGTTGATCGTCCCCTGTGGTGTTGTCACATAAAAACGTTGATTATTTCAGCTTAGAACTCATCAAGGAATGAATCTTTCCCTCGTAATAAACTGTCTCTGCCAGTGAAATGTTTGCCGTGAAACTCTGAATTGATTTTCTCGCAATCTCCTCCTAGCGTCCCCTTGAGGAGTCCTTCGAATCAGTCCATTTCAAGCAGTTTCAATAACACCTCTGCACTTACAAGCTCTGTGTGTCATTACAACCACAGTAACATGACACAGATCGAGAAGTGATTGCAATGAGACCTGTGTTGTGGTGCCAGTTGTACACGCATGCGTTACTGCATCGCTGTAGACGTCGGGGCCTCGGCACTGACCCACGTGGAGAGCGTCATGTCGGCCCCTGCAGATCACCTGCTAATTATGAGCGGCATCAACAGATGACGGCCTGCACTTACTGCTGTTTTCCTCCTGCTCAGATGCCGTCATGCATGTGCAGTTTTCTCTGGGAGGCGGGGGGGCGTTCAGGGCCCTGTGGGCCTCGGCTGGATTAACGTGACAGCAAAGGTGAAGAGGGACAGACGCGTCACTGCTGGCAACGCCCCAGAAAACCACTTTATCTTCCCTGTTGTTATTTTGCGGCCCACCGAGGCCGAAGTGGTTGATTGTCGGTGCGGTTGGAGGGTTTGGTTCTGCAGCGCACAGGTGGATATCAGTTTGAGAGAAGGGGAACAGGGTAAACAACAGATTGTTCAGGGATCGTATGAAGCGTATGAGCTTTGTCGAGTCTGAGAAAAGGACAATGACAGTGTCATAGTGATGTCATCGGGGTTATCGGAGGAGGGGCTTTGGAAGTACTTTTTATACAAATCCTGTAAAAAGCGCTCAGCAAATGAAAGAATTGGAAAAAAAAGATTGATCGTGTTAATTGGTAAATTATTTGTTATTGAGGCCGTTAGTTACAACATGAGTGGCTTATTGTAAATGGATACCAATAAGTCTCTTCTGACCCCCGACATCATTCACGTCCACTGGACGAGCTCCGTAAATTCAACACTTTGATATAATAAAACCACATAGTGTTCAGATAGAAGATATGTCTTTGTACAGAGCTGCTTCTAGATGCGTTCAAGGACACCAAGGTCACGACCTCTGTATTGTTTCAGAGAATCTGAAGATTTTATAGCTGGATTTATTAAAATAATCTATGGCATTTTCGTGGAGGCTTTAAAACAACATTTAGTCAATAATTCAGGGAGATTCATTTCCCCAGTGGACATTTCATATGTAAATAAACTCTTAGCCTCACTCACTTTTACTAAATTCCTAGTTGTCATAAAATGTACCTTTAAAAATATTCCCTCGCAGACGGTGTAGTGAGCCCCCGTCACTCCGCCCTGGGCCGCTGGAGGGGGGCGGACCGAGCGGGACGAGGCGCGCCGGAGGCGTGTTGTTGTTGTAGTGAGCGCGCGTGGCACCGTGGCGAGAGGACGGTCGCCATCTCTGCGTAAACACCGCGGAACCGCATCACGCGGTTTGACTTCGCGCTGTGTGTGTGTGTGTGTGTGTGTGTGTGTGTGTGTGTGTGTGTGTGTGTGTGTGTGTGTGTGTGTGTGTGTGCGCGCGCGTGTGTGTGTGTGGATCGAAACGTGAGCGGGCGGGGTGCTGTGCTGCCTGCACGCCGGCGGACACACACACACACACACACACACCTCTTCGATGCGGGACTGACGCGTTGTTTGTCTCCTGCGCGTCGGACTGTCCCCTCGGATGTTTACGGACGCGCCTTTTCTCACTGACATTTCGTCCGGCTCGTGGGCTCCCCGGGTTTGTGTGTGTGTGGGGGGGGGGCTGAAGGGGGGGGGGGGGGGGGGGGGGGGGGGGGGCGGGAGTGGGGGGACTCAATGCTTGGAATGAAATGGGATTTTAATGCTGCGAACAGCGGACGCTTCGGGGACGGTCGCGCGCTCGGCGATGTTTGCCAGGGAATAAAAACGGTGCGTAACATCTCGTTTCCATGGACAACACGTCCATAATAACACAGGTTGCAAATCCGAAAGAGGAGGAGAGCATTTGTTCAAATCCAGATAAAGGTAAGACACCTGACACACACACACACGCACACACACACACACACACACACACACACATGCGCACACGATTTAATGTGGATTTCCATCTACGGAATATTTACGTCGCTCGGTTGCCCACATGTGATCTGCCAGGGGTCGCTGCACAGAGGACACCGGGTGCAACATTAAGACCCGAGTCTCCACGGGCTCCATTGTTCATCTGAATCTGGTGTGTGCCACCAATAACACCAGCAATCATCAGAGGTCAACAGTTTAGGCGACGGTGCACGAGGAAAAACGTTAAAGTACTCAAGCGGGAGAATGCATGTGTGCACAGGAGACCCGTTGGAGGCACGGATATATTTATAATTTCTATTACAGTGTACAGTAATAATTAAACCAGCGGCGGCCACGTAACCTGTCCGAGGACGAGCACGTTAACAACCTCAGAAATGTCCACTTCCAGATGTGTAAAAAAAAAAGAAAAAGTGCCCCGAAAACAACAGCTTAACAGCTGCTCTACAGATTACACACATTTTCTCTCTGTTGTTGCCATTTCACCATGTGGCGATGACATCAATGACAAATCCGCCCCATCAATCTGGAGCTTTACAGTTTCATTAACTTTGAGGGGGGGGGGGGTTGTTGAGGACAGTCACACATTTCTGATTTGAATCCAGCGCACAAGTAAATCTGGCACCGCCGTAGTGTGTACCCACACGCGGGATAGACAGGTGTCTGCTGTAAGCAGGAGGGCCCGGCTGATTGGAGCTCAGGGTGCTGACATTCTCCCACCAGGACCCACAACAGGGCAGGAGGCCGGAGGGACCTCCTCAGCTTCCTGCTGCACCCACGCGCTGGGTTAAAGAAAAGGTCAGCTCCCTGCATCACCTCTGCAGAGCGACACTCTGTGACCTGTGAGCGAGTGCAGCGACGGATCGTCCTTTTTTTCTCCCTCGTCAGCCGCCTCGATAATTAAATCCTTCGTGAACAAATCAATGAAAACAATCACAAACACACGACGGAAGTGTGAAGCACCCTCCAGGAAATTTGTTAGAAATCAAATCAAACCGCTTCCATTAGCACATTCTTTTTTAATCGCCCGCTCAGAGTTCCCACACCTTCTGCTCTGCAACATCCTGCTCGTCCCGAACAGTAAATCCCAGATGACGGAATGTGGAATCTGACAATTAATCTGGCGGGATGAAATCCAGGGAGGGCAGGACACGCGGGTTCAAACGGCCTGCTGGCTCACACGCACACACGCACGCACTCGCACACACGCACCCACACGCACACGCACACATACACACATTGAGTCCCGGGCCCTCTGTCAAAGCAGACAACAAACAGAGCTTGTTGTCCAGGACTCTTACTCTGTGACCTGCTTGGCCACGAAGGATCACACACACACACACACACACACACACACACACACACGCGCGTGCACTAGCTGAATATTTCAGAGCACGAGCGAGCTATTTTTGGGTGTCCTATCAGTTTCATTTGAGGCGAAGACATAGTAATTTATTAGCGCCAAGGTTTTTTCTTTTTTGGACATTTGGTCAGGTGGAGGATTTCTCTTTATGCATTATGGATTATGTTAAATGAGGGTTGGAGTCGTAATTGGCACAAAGTCACCCGCGTCACGCTGTTGGTGGATAACGGGCTGTTGTTTTATCAGCTTCATTGGCTTGATAACGGTGTAAGCATTCCGAGCGTTTCTTCTTCGATAAAACGTGGTACTCAAAGGTCTGATATTTCTCAGCCAACAGCGCCTGAGCTCAGAGGAGGCTGAGAAAACCCGAATGAGGCTTCTCATTTCTCAGACCCTTTACGTTTCTGATCTGATGCAACGCGATGCAACGGCTGGACTCGCACAGGGCGGCCAGCCTCTCTCTCACAGCGATAACTCCACAGTTTGACAGGTATCAATGGGCCGGCTGTTTAACTCAATCAGATTAGGTTTAATCTCAGTTTATCTGAGCTGCGACTGATGAAAGTGTTTAGCTGCTTGGGCTCCTGGTTGACACCTTATTTATTTCTTTGCAAATATTCCCTACTTAAATTAGCCCTCACTCATAGAAATGACAAACATTTTATTATTCCAACTGAATTAGGTTTAGTAACAACTAAAGGTGAACCTCTTCACTAGACCATAATGCTTTATTCAGAGCGTCAATAAACAAAAGTAAAAGAAAAAGTTTAGTGTTGTTCCACGTGTGTTTTGTAGTCTTTTAGACCGTGTTAATGAATCTCTCAATACTCTGTTGTTTATCTTTCTGCGGCAGTTTGAATGTTCATATTAATGATAAATGAGGCACATAGAAACACGCTATATATGAAGTCTTGTTACGCTGACAACTCTTGTCAGTTCAGTTTTTTCATGGTCTTGTTTTTCATAAAAAAGCGTTCTTATTCTTAATTCTTAATCTTCTTAATCTTATTCTTCAGTTTGCTATTTTACAACGTTTGTCAGTTTTCCCCATGGTTTAATGGTTCCCCTGAAGTTCTTGTAGATTTCATCTTAATCTCTTACTGCTGGTGACAAACAATGAACACAAACGGTGTTTTAATCGTTGCATGCATGTTTTCTCCGGCTGAAGCTGAGTAAGTGGCCAAACCCCCACGTCATCACATTACGCTGCTGCAAGACAATGTCACAGAGCCCATTAACGTCCAGTCTCCTTAAAAACCAGGGATCAAGCTACTCCGTCTGGATGAGATGTACAATTTCAGACCATGATTCATATACGGCGTGTTAAAATGACTCCCCAAAGCGCTTGTTGGTTAGAAAATCTGCAGAAAATCTGAAAAAAAAAGACTGAAGCTGTAATTATATATAAAAACATTAATGTGGAGAAAAGTGTGATTTCATGCCTGTTTGAGGTTGTTCCTGGAGCACACTGCTGAACATTTAATAAAGTGTTTATGGCGTGTGGACCACACCTGCAGGGGCGTGTGTGTGCAGCCCAGAGTCCCTGGCACAGCCGGCCACTCTGCTGTCATGACCGGACTCTGTGGCGGAGGATTACCACCCGTTTTACAACACAGCGGATTGCTGTGCTGTGCATACAGTGAATTAATTCAGTGCACCATTTGAACTTAGAAGCAGAAGAAGGCTTGACTCCGAGGCAATGTTTCTCTCGCCACAGAGAATGCATTAGGAAAGGTTCATGTCAGATTGTAAGATGAAGAAATCTGGTCGCAAAAGAAAATCAGTGAATTTGCCCTTTAATTATGAGGCAGCCGGTAGAGGCTCGTGGATTGTGAGACACAGCGAAGAGGAGATGCAATTGCACTGCAATCCGTCCCTGCAGAGGCCACCGGGGAAAATAGTGTGGGTGGACGCTTTCTTCACTCCTACACTGGCTGGCTGTGAATACTTAAACCATCACTATGGATGCACTTCTAACTGAACAAAAAAGAGAAACGAGTTCACGTCGCTGCTGCTCTGAAGTCTCTGCACCGGCTCCCAGTTTAAAATAGAACGTTAATGTAATTTACTTTGTTCATAAATCTGTTTACAGACATTGTTAGCGTGCTGCCAGTATGTGTGTTTAAGTAGTGGATCCACATGTTCCGGCCCCGTTATGATTATACATAAATATATATGTGTGCGTGTTTGTAAGTATGTAATTGGCCCGTTTAAAGGAGTGTATACTTACATCTGACTGCTGCACATCAGAAACATTTCTCTGCTCCCAGTGAATGGGTTTTTCTGGGCGTCCTTTCATGCCTGTGTGCTTTGGACCATATGTTTTTACTGCATTGTGGGCAAGTTTTATGTTTGAATGTTGCCTGGAGGCCGGGTAGCTCATAACGCTGTGGTTGCTTGTTTTGGAGCAAACTTCTACTTCAAAATATCCAGCCTGGGCTTTAAAGAGAGGAATTGAAGCTCAAGATTCTTCATAAAAGAACATTCTCCTCAGCAGATCTCCATCCTGAGCACATTATTGTAATAATAATGTCATTTCTATTGATTTACACGCGAGATATAAATTCTATGGTGGGATAAGAGAATTCTGGATGCGTCTTGTATCTGTTTTCAGTTTCAGCTTAATTGACTTCAGCTGTCGGTGTCCTTCAGCTACTCAAACTTTGCCTCGATGACTCCAGCAGACGAACGGCTCGCTCTCTTCTGCCGCGCGCTCTCGCCGCGTCTCGGTTTGAGCGCGCAGCATTGTTGTGGGATTACATCATTTCTGCCTTTCCCGTTTGCCTCGACTCTTTGGCATTCAGAGGCCCGCCGCGACTCAGCGAGGACCATTATTAATGCTCCAAAAAGCCACCATCCCTACGGAGCCAAGAGAAGCGGCTGCCACGCGGCCCGCTGGCGTCCCCGGGGCGCCGCTGCCGCTCAGAAGCCGGCCTTCTGACGGCCGCCGGTGAGCGTGGACCCCCGGACAGGCTGCCCTGAGTCACGTTGCCTGCCACTCCGTCGGTTGTTGGACAGGAGAGCGTAGAAGGCGTTTCTTTAACCCACAAGCAAGGGATGGGAACGGAGGCTGCAGCAGACACAACCAGGGATTGTTTGTGGGCCTCTGCGTAGGTAAAGGTGAATACTGTGTAACCTCCAGGGGCACCGAGTGGGACATGCTGCCTGGGGAAATGTAGAGATGAACGCCTCTCAGAGAGCAGAGGCCGGGGGGGTGGGGGGGCTGTGGCAGCAGCACATGCTTCCCAACACACACACACACACGCACACAAAAATACATGACCTACTTGTAAGCTTTCTCTCCATCCGTAGATAGCACAACTTTAATGCGTCTGATTTGATGAACAACAAGCAATTTGTTGTGTTGATGCAGGCTCGAGTTCAAGGATGCTTCCGTATTTAACAACTCTTAGAGAGTCATTTCACAGAAATAAGATGGTTGGTTTATTTGTCGTGCACATAGGCTGTGTGTAAGAAGTGGACACTCATTGGTTTTCGGATCACCGTTTTGAAGCCTCAGCAGTTTGCCGGTTGCCGTCTTGATTTTGGTTCTTCTTGTAAACTCCCGTATGTCCTGGAAGGTCAACAGTAAACTGTTCCCCTTTAGAGGTGAGTTCCCCTTTAAATCCCATCCATCAACAGCTCAACAGGAGCAATTTAACATCACCGAGCGCACAAGCTACACTCACGAGAAGGGCCTTTTAACACAATCTGACAATACATCAGTTTGTAACTAACCAACAGAGCAGGAGGATTTCCCTTCAGTCATTGAACCGTTGAGCAGTAGATGAGAATGTAAAAAGATCTATATATAAATAATAAACTGCCGCGGCCCCAGACAACGTGGGCTGTGTTGCTGCCGGTTGCGTAACTGCAGCAGAGCAGTCAGATCTCCTCCCTCATTATTTCTCCCTGAGCTCTCAGCGGGTTAATTCCCCCGCGCTTGTCATCTCCTTTATTACGCCGAGCGCTGAGGAAGCAGCCCCCCCCCCTCGGGCAGGCTGGCACCACCACCGCGGCGCCCACTCCGCTGTACCACTGGGAACAGGGACAGGGGAAGACAGGGAAGACCTGCCCACATGTTTTTGTCCCCCGAGTTCACGGCAGCAGCTGAGAGACCGAAGCACCCGGCAGGACGACGGGCGCGTGTAATTCTCTCTTTCCTGACTTCAAATGTAACTGGGTCATGGAATAAATGTCAGTTACGTAAGGCCATGTAGGATAAATACATATAAATATATATATATGTGTGTGTGTGTGTGTGTGTGTGCATAAATCCTCCCCCGATAAGTAGGGAAATAAGGCCAGAGACAAGAGGCATCTGCTGGAACTGAATGTGCAGCACCTCCCCAAGCTATAACCTTCTCAGGCGTCCACGTGTGGAAGCAATGAGGCCTAGTGGGAGTTTATTTTATCACACTGTGCTTCGACTGCCTTGATGGCCTCACGCGCAAACGCAGCAAACCCTCGGCCCTCAGCGGAGTGAGCGCACACAGGCCGGAGGATAGCAGGCTCCGCTCGTCTGATGCTACCTAACTCCACTCAGCTGTTTGTGTGTGTGTGTGTGTGTGTGTGTGCAGCCACATGTTCATGTGTATTACGAAGCAGGGGATCTTTGGTGAAGTGTCGTTTTCGGAGGCCGATCGGTTGTGATGATGATTTCTCTTTATTGGAAACAATCGGTGATCTCAGTTAGGGGATGAACAAAAGGGTTAGAGCAGATGAATTAATCCAGTTTCAGTCCATGTTTACTGCGGCCCCCCCCCCCCCCCCTCTGAATGTGGTGAACTCAGGACATTAGATGCGGGGCCCCAGGCCACCAGCGTGTTACCTGCAGCGTGTGGGTGAAGAGTACTTTTCTACAGTTGGCCGCCAGCTGTATGAATTTTTTACGTCCCACACTGTTACTTAAGCCATAGACAAGTGGTCCCACTTTAAATGAAAGCACCCCAGGCTCCAATTCTCAGTGAAGGCAGGTAGGATATATCCCCCCCCCCCCCCCCTAAAAAAGCCTGCCCACTGTTTGAGGCGATGAAAAGGGCTCATTTTGGCCCCTCGGTGTCTCCCTGCCACTATGTCAGGAAGGCTTTTTTTTCCAATTACACAGCATTGAAATCTCCATGGCAGCTGTTTTTACCGCGGCGTATGTGAAGGACCCGGCTGTGCCATTTAAAACCGACCCGTTTTCCATGTTAATTATTTAAACTGCACATTCAAATGGATGGTTCTCACATTTACCTCTTACCCCCCCCCCTACGGGAACTGTACACTTTACCTGCCTGGCTAGTCGACTAACTGCTGCTGAAGTGCAGTTCAAGGTCTGTCACACAGGCGCTAACAACACCACAACACCACAACATCACAATAGCACAATACCACAATACCAGTGTACAGTATAAAGGTATTTTACACACGGGGATTCATTCTGACAATTCAGGTGTGCTAACGGATGTGACTTGTTGAAGCGATGTCGTCATATTTTGATATTTCGACCTGAGCACAACGTTGACGTTTTGAACAAGCTTCGCTCCGCTGAATCGGGCGGCCAGAAGCATTTGGCTCGAGCGCGATGAATGTCCTGTCACAAACCTTTTTAGACGCCGTCCATCAGCTGAACTTGAAACTACCGTCGTATTTTGAATGTGGCATTTTGTGTTTGGACTGGCCGCATACTTTATGGGCTTTTTAAAGCTGCAGTTAAAAACGAGGCCACCTCGAAAGTCTTGGGCTAAGCCGGGGATCATATTCCCTCTCGGAGCTCGGCTCCAGTCCAGTGCCGCGGGTCACGGGGGTGATTATCTCTTCCTGTCAGGAATGCGGGGAATTTCCTGCGTTTTCTCCCTCTTCCGGCCTCGTTTGTGGTTTGCGCCTGAACACGTGACCGAGCGCCCCGGCTGGCTCTGATTGACTGGAGAGCCTTTCGTCGTCGTTACCTAACGTTTAGCAGGAGCTCAGGCACTGCCATAGAGGGATTTTATTTTTTTTCTAACTGGCTCTGACGTCAAGGGAATATGCTGATCGAATGAGGTGTATTCAGCGGGTAAATAATTCCGCACCTGCTCTGATGACGCGTGGGCCCTACGGTGAAAGCGCTCACGTGCAACGGCCCTTTATCTACGTTCTAGTGAGCATTCATCACTATGATCCTGGGTGCTTTAGTGTCTTTGACTGGTGTCAACTCCCCGCTGTGTTAATGCAGGTCAACACACTCGTCTTTTGAATGGCAAGTGTTGCACTTTAACCTTTTGCTGTTATTCTCAGAGCACGAGTCCCCTCCAGTCACATTCCTGAGCAAGGACGTGGAGAGGGGAACGTTTGTGTCGATCTGTGCACGTGGCTCTTTGCCTGTGAACATGTGAACATATGCTGCGTGTGCGTGCGTGTGAGTGTGTGTGTGCGTTTGCCCGGCGTCCGGTAGCAGTCAACTCCCAGCTATGTTGTTTGTGTCGGTGGGAGAAAGGAAAGCTCTGTTTGTGCAGGGTGGTGGTGCAGGAGGGGGTGGAGTAAGAATGAGACTCATGCATTGGCTGTCTCGCCTCAGTGACTCTCTCCACCCATTCTAGGCCCTTTTCCTTTTTTCTTTCTTTTTCTCCCATTCCAAGACCCCTCTCCCTTCGCCCCCCTCTCCCACCTGCTTTCCTCTGGGCGGTTTCAGACCAGGGCGGGAAAATGTAGACGTTCTCAAAATGGAGGAGAGAATAATGACATCATGGGGTTTGAGGCCAACTTTGAAAACACAACACTTTTTAATAATACTTGTATTAATGGCTTGCCGTCATCTATATATTGTGTTTTTCATTAACCATTAAAAAGCCATTAGATACAGCTTGCAAACATTAGTAAAAATGCCATTATTCATCGTTGAGAGCGCCGCAAATGATATTCTACCCTCTTCAAATGAAAACCAATCTGCTTTGCCACTTCACAGTCCAGGGGTACCAACCAATTATTACTTGGGTAATTTTCTGTAAAGGTCACGCCACAGTATAAAGTTTGGCATATGTGTTTAATAACACCACATTAGTGTGTGTGCCATTAGTGACCTCCGCCTCATGGGGTTAATGATTTCAGTGTGCGTTTCTCCAATCAGATGACTTCCTGTCGCATTCAACCATCAATGCAAATCAGTTCATAACAGCAAGTCTGCTTTAAAATCCCTGGACATACACAGAGAAATACAGAGGGCATATTTCTAGTGTGGTTTAATCAGCCGGCTGTAGCGGCAGTGAGTGCATCGCGTCCACAGGGACAGAACGTCTCCTTCGATCATTAAGCAGCTTCCATCAACGCAGCATGTTGCGTCCATGACGCTGTTTGTTTAGCAGAGTCTTGCTGCACTGGAACATCCGTTGGTGGAAGACCGAGAGGCCCCGGCGTGCTTCGGGTTCCAAACACTGGTCGGGTGGAGCCGATCTGAAGGCTCTCAGGACAGAGGCAGGCTGCAGGCGGCATGGCTAACTGGCTAACTGGGCCGCCGGTGTCACCCCGGCTTCTCGTGCACGTTAACAAGACGCGATGGCCGCTCCGAGGCTCGAATAAACGATGGTTCCGGCTAAAGTCAGCCGCTTCAAAGTCCTGAACACATTCAGGATTTTCCCTGCCGAGAAATCACCTTTTTAAAGAAATGGAAAGGAATAAGAATTTCTACGTGGGGGATCACCTCGGGACAATTGCGCCGTCAGATTTAAGCCTTTGTACTGGTGCTGCCCAAATTTCTATTTTCATCCACTCGCCCTCTCAGACAGAAAATATTTATGATACAATAGCGTGAAAGTAGGCCACGAGCTTCAGAGACCGTGAAGGAGGGATTATGCAACCAGGGAAGTGTATTAAGTGTATGATGTTTTCTCCCCGGAGCTTTGCACCCCTCTGCCAACTCTTCTGTTTTTGTGAATCTAGTTTCAGTTAGATCACTTTCCGACACGCGGTGAAAGTGATAGAAGGGCTTTTGCATCCAAGCTGTTTAAGATATAAAACATCCACACAGTGTACAGCGGTGTTAATTCTACCCAATCAGGGGCTCTTTTATAGGAACGGCTCAACATTTTCTTTCTCGTTTCGTCACATATTCAGCTATTTCTTTCGCACGTGATACTAATCCGTCTGTCTTCCTCTCTCTGTCTTCCTTGATGTTAATTAACTGGACTTCCTCCCCAGAGGGCGCTCCGATGTAGCCTATTTCTGTCCCTGTGCTCCCTCGTTGTGTTGTACGAGATACATCTCAGCTCCTTCTGTCACAATAATGCGATGACGCATGTTAAATGCAGCCCGACGGCAACTCCGGGCCTCACTTCTGCCTCGTCAGAGGTCGCTCTGCATTAACATGAACGCCTTAAGATGCTGTGCTCTCAACAAGTGTTACCGTTGTAGCAGTGCTGTAGTGCCATAAGAGCTATTTTAGATCTCAACTGAGTAGCTTTATCACTTTGAGACACACAACGATTGGGAAAGACGGTGTCAAACAGCATGCAGGAGTTTCCCATGTTGCCGTCGTACTTCCCTCCCTCACTGGCGCCTTCTTTCCTCGTGTCTTGCAGTCTCCCAGTCCAACGGCAGCCTAAAGAAGCATCGCAGCCGCAGCATCTTCAGCCCCTTCTTCTGCTGCTTCCGCAAATACAATGACTACAATGTGGAGCCGCCAGCCGCCAACAACAAGTCGCTTCCTCTGCCCCCGCTGCCCGAGGAGAACGGCGGCCCCCCAAAGGTGAAGCTCTTCTCTTCTGGCCTCATTCTGCGCGCCATCCTGCACCCACGTGACACGTAAAGAGGAATCCTGTGTTTGGTTCTGTCACGGCGAGCCTGTTAAGGGTTTGCCTTTCTCCTGCAGAGAGCCCCGAGGCGCTGCGTTGCCCTCGCCGAGCTCCCCTGCACAATGTTTTCCAGCTGCTTCGAACCCGCTGAACTTGTGGGGGTGGGGAGCGGGGGGTTGTTTACCGTCCGCTGCTCGAAAAAAAAAAAACCACAGGCTCGTTTCCCATCTCGCATTCTTCGATATCTGCCTGCGCACACGAGCCCTCACACGAAATAACACACGGAGCGCAGAGCGTGCGGGGCCCCTCCCCAAGCCACACACACAGTCTCATCATCTCACCACATATCCATGACAACACATGTATGCACACACACACACACACACACACACACTGCTTTAATGCATAAAGTGGGCCTTGTGTGTGTCCGGTGTGATGGATTGCCTTGCGCCCGCGCTTCCTCCACAAACACGTTCTTCTGCTGCCAGGGCAGGTACGCTGGGCTATAAAAGGAGCGACATCATATCGCATTTCCACTCCTGTTTACCTCATTCGGGGGAAGGAATGCACCGCATGTGGGCCGCGCTGACCCGCTCGCTCCGGAGTGAACCTGGCGAACCTTTCGCCATAAAAAGCCCTATTACAGCGGCGGGCTGGTTTTCCCTCCCGGCGGCGTGCTGTTGCTGGATTTCTGGCGGGACGTGTTTGTTACTATGGCAGCTGTGGTGCTCTCTCTACCACAGTGTGTAGCGTTCATCCCTTTCCTCTCTCCCTCTTTCTCTCTCGTGTTCATTATCACAGTGTGGACGACGTTGTTTTCACCGCTATTCTTGTCTTTTTTTTCTTCTCCTACCACCGTGTGCCTCTCACTCACTCTCTCTCTCTCTCTCTCTCTGTTTATCCTCTACAGTGTGACCAGGTCCAGGTCATCCCCATCCCCAGTGTATGTATTATTATCTATTCATTTTTCTCCATCACAGTAACCCTCTTCCCTCCGCTGTGCTGCATGTGGATGTCGGCCTTCGAGGCTTTATGCTGCTTACCCTCCAAAAAGTTCCACATCTGTTCATTTCTCTGTCCTGAGGTCCGTTTCTCCTGTTTTCCTTCAATCGCGGGAACATAACGTGAAATTCATCATTTCATTCCTTATTAGATCAGATTCATTGAACTGAGTCTTTTAGAAGAGAGGCTACAATAGTTTTTACTCCATCAGAAATTCACGTTGTTTGTGCTGGAGATTTATTTATTTATTGAGCAACCCCTGCTGTGGCCGTGCTTTACTGTAATTTAGAGTATTCACACTCACAGCATCCAGCATAGCAGGCAAGTTTTAAACCACATCACACCTCCCTCGGCAGGAAGGCCATGTGGCGACACGGTCTGCTCGTAGTGCTCCCGGTGGCGTCCGGTCGAGAACTCTGAAAGGCGACTTAAATAACTCGAGCTGATCTGGATATGTTGTCTGTGCCGCTCAACTCGTTTAAATCAACCAGAAAAAAAACAAGACTCTGACATTTGTTGCTATTTTTATAAGTAGTTCTATTCTAATAAGCGGAGCTTCTTTATCTCCGTGCAGGTGTCAATGTCAAGGTGCCGGTCAATCACCCGTTCTTTGCCGGGCCTGACAGGGTGTCATTCGGCGTCCTTGCTCACAGGGAGTTCTTCCCATGATACTGTTGGGGTTTCGGAAAGCTCTCGAGGGAGGCCCGACTCCTTTGTTCTCGTCCCGGCCGGAAACAAAGAATCAAAAGAGTCAGCTTGCTTAAATTCAAAAATCCAAAAGTATTTAATAACTAAACAACGTTATAAGGAATACAATTACAAAGTGAAATACAAAGCGAACAGTAAAATATTTCGCGAAATAGAGAATCCTCTGAGCAAGTCTAAAGTGACTTATCAAAGCGGCTGCAGGAAAATTCTAACAGTCCTTTCCCCGCTTTGGTCCTTTGAAAAGTCTTGAGGTGTTTCTTCTTGGGTGCATTTGGATGTCATTGGCTTCTTCTTCAAAGTGTCCCCTCCTTCATTGTCCCCTTCACGTCGAGGTGTGAAGCTGCAGCTGTAACCTGAAACCTCACTGTACTATCTGTCCCTCACATTCCAATGCACTCAATGTAGATACATTTGTCTTTATGCCTCAATGAGTGAATATAACAAAGCAGCGCGCCGTCCTGCGATAAGATGCGATAACTAGAAGCGGGAACGAGCAGCAGCACGGGACTGTGTACGTGTAAGATGACAAAGTCCTTGCTGCTCACCTCTATATATATTTGTGTGATAGTGTGTGTGTGTATATGTGCCCCCTATGGCCCCACCATCTGCCCCGTGCCTGTCTGTAACCCCGGGCCTGCTTGGCAAAGGACACAAGCATCTCAATACTGATTTCAGGCTCTGCCATAAATGAGCTATTAACTAAATTGAGCTGTTATTAACTTAACTAACTTTGCTGTCTCAGCAAATTCTTTGCACTTTTGATGTCAGAACATCGACAATTTGATGGAACAGTCTGTAAATGCTCTTCCCTGAGCCGTCATCCATCATCGCACTCTCACTGTGGGTGTAATTTGCAGCACGTTCCCTGTCATGCACCTCTCCATATATACACAATAATGAAATTATGCTATGCATTGTCTCTGCAGCCGCCGGACAAGTTCCTTCTGCCAGAGGTCGGTACAGATGACTTTGGCAAAAACTGCGTGGTGATCGACCTGGACGAAACCCTCGTGCACAGCTCCTTCAAGGTAATTTACCAAACCCTCAAGCACACGTTTGAGTACATGCACTCGTGGCTTCAGACGTATTGTGCTCCTACTTCTCAGCCCACGAGGGACAACAAGGATTAAACCCCAATAAATCCAGAAGACGACATTCTTTGCTGTGAAAATGAGCACGCTGGCACGGCGGCAATTAGCACAAGGTGCCACCGAGCCGGTGCACATTATCTCAGGCAGGAATGCCTGTTATTATGGCTTTTATGCACCTAGCTGCCACTATAACAAGGTGTTGGCATGGCAACCGATTCTTCCTCTGCATCGTGCAGTTAATCACTATGAAGAGTTGTTTGGCAGGAAGTATAATCGCTGTCCGGGGAGAAAACATGTACTGTATCCACAGAATGTCAGCGTTTTATGAGCTGCCTCAGACCTCATCAGCGCCAACTCTTTCCCTGGGAGTCCACCACCCACATGTCAGCGAAACACTAATGCCACCTCAATGAAATGCTCACAACGACTGAATGCAGCGGGCCCACAATGCTATGATTGACAATGTTACATGGTAGTTATCTAAAAGGTGATAGAAGATTGGGCACCAACAGAGCAAAAAAAAAGCAAGAAATATTGGACCACGATCGGCAAAAATATTTTCAGCCAAGGAGAATTCTTGATATTTATACTGCGGACAAATGATGAGACTCACATGTCCTCCCTCTACTGACACACCCAGAGACCCACTTCGGCGCCGCTCTGCCTCGCCAGAGGGAGCGGCAAAGTTGTGCAGGAAAATAGCTGAAGGTGAAGCTGAGGAATCTTTTGTGTTCGCTCCGATTTCATCCAGCTGTGAAAGGAAGGTGTTCATTCAAGCAACTGCGTTAGAAAAAGGCTTTCAGTACATTTTCATATGACTGGGAGTTCATTTGCCGTGGAAAGTCAAGCGAAGGGAAAAATGTTCGCACACTGCGCCGCACACGCCCATTGCACTCCCGAGCCAATATGAGGGCCACACATACACACACATGGGTGTGTCAAGTACAGAGTACTGCTGCCTGCAATGACCGCAGGATGAATTTCCTAGAAATCCTGGAGTTGTTTTAATGGTCTGAAATGTTTCATTTTCCTCTCCTGACAAAACAAAACCCCCTTTTTCCCCTCCTCCTTTTCGGAGAACTCGGTTCCACACTTCATACTAAAAATGAATTTAGCTCAGAGTACAAGCATGAGGTATGAAATAAGTATGAAATTGATTCAGGCAATGCAAAGTATGAAAATCAGTTGGGAGAGGAAGAACAAAAAACAAAAAAAACACAGAAACTTTGGGTTTTCACTTCCGTTCAGAAACTTGCAGGATTTCCTGAAGATTATTTATTTTTAGACGTGAAGTGAGACGTAATTTTGCATCACAATGTAAAGCAATTCCAAGCCGTAAAAGTCCCCATGTGAGTTTGACAATTACTCCGGAAAAACAAGCTGCACGGACAATTGACAGATGGACATTACATAACACGTCACACACTGTATGCTTCATCCTGTGTTTTAATGATGAAAAGACCATTCCTGTGCTTCAGGATTAAATCCAGTGTGTGTTGGCTGTGTAAAGATGGCTGATCGGATATATGATAATAATAGTAGAGGTTATTTATGTAACACTTGTCAAAGCCAATGCTCTGTTAAAGCAGGAAAATCATTGAAATACAATAAAGAACATTTTCATTCTGATTTCATGGGCAATAATCTGCTGCTTTATCAGTGTCCACGTTTCTGCAGGCTGCCCATAAGATGTTGAGGCTCGGCTGCTGGGATTTGATCCCATTTAGCCACGAGAGCAAAAGGCAGGTCAGGTACCGGCGATGAGGCGCTGCGCCTCGTCTCACGGGTGTTCAATGGGGTCGAGGTCAGGCTAATATAATATATTCTATTTACTGTACATTCAATTATATGTGATACTTGCTGTCATATAGTAAAATGCACATTTATTAAACAAAACAAGGAATGCATCAACCTTAAATGCATAAATTATTTAAGGGCCACACAATAAAAAAAAATAGTTTTAAGAAGACGGTGTACAGTGATACCAAGGGTATCAAGTGTTACTTAATCAGGTGGTATCTATTCATGTAAAGGAATGATTTTATCAGTAATGAAATGCTCCAGCTGACGTTCATCCCTCCATCCGGTCTGTTGAGGTCAACGCCGGTCCAGCAGAAATCCATAATACACACACTCATACTGCCTTCTCCATCTACATAATCCCTCCCACACATACATCTCCCTCCATCATACCTCTCACCCTCTCGCATCCGGGCCCAGTGCAGAGCAGCTGTCGTGTGTCTTCACATGATGGAGCGATTCAGCAGAAGAAGATAACAAATCTCTCACCGTCCCTCTTCCATTTGCGTTCTGTGGCGTGAGCAGAACATATTGCCCAGCTGATGCAGAGAAAAGCTCACATCTGTCTGTTGTTTGTCTGGGAACCGGATCTTTTATTGTGCATTGTATCACTCCTGCATCACCTAACATCTCCACAGTGGGTTTATCGTTTCACTGTCGCCACCATGTTGATATTAGACAGAAGGAGCATGTGACATGTGGAGGATGAAAATGCTTTTTTATTATTCCTGCAGCAAACACCCCCCCTGCTGGGTGGCAGGTAACTGTACCTGCGGGGTGTCACGTTGAAGCATCACATTTGGTACAATCATCAGTACCATGTAAATTAGTGTGATTTTAGCATCTATAAGCAGCATACAGACATTTAACAAGTGGTTTCTAACCCATAAATGTAAGCGTTGATTAATATCGCGGGCAGATTTGAAATGCTGAATTATACATTTAAAAAGATTATAACTTGTCAGTGTAGGATTTAAATCTTCTTAAGCATTTCTTTACAAAAGAAAAATTATTCATTATTATTTTATAATATTATTATCCTCAATCCTTCTTTTTTTTATATCAACAGCAAACCAGGTGACGGCCGCAAAACCCTTTTTTTTTGTGCTAACGTTTCCTCCTCCACCACCACGTCCACCTTTACTTTCCCTCCCTTCCCGACATCACACCGCCGTGCCTCCCGCCGTATCCCTTCATCCTCATCTCCCGCCCCCCTCTCGCTTGTCTTCCACCCACACTCCTCCAGCATCTTCCTCCACCTGCCGTTCCCCTCCTCGCTCCCCTTTCTCGCTTCCAAAGATGACACGAGTCTCCCGTCCCGCCTGCTCGTCTCTGCTCTCGTTCAACTCCCGGGTTTCTCCCGGGAATCTGACTCCTGGTTTTTTGATTTGACACTGAGAGTTCAGGATCCACCGTGTGCTTAAAGACTCACTAGTTAGAACCTTATAGGAGTATTTCTTTCTTTTTATCTTTCTCCATTTGTTGGCTGTTTATCAGCCTAATTCCCAGGTTGTTTTAATCCCTTTCTCTGTCCGTTGTGTTCCTGCAGCCCATCAGCAACGCAGACTTCATCGTTCCAGTGGAGATTGATGGGACTGTTCATCAGGTACTGTGGCAATGATGTGGAGGACTTTGAGAAGTGGGCTTGAATAAAACATGAATAATATGTATTAATTTATAGCTGTGGCTCCATTTTCTTCCCCTTGGTATTCATTATTCTCTATTATCTCGTGCCTGCGTGGGACAACTTATCCTTTCCTCCTCGAATTTATTCAGTTTTTACTCTCAATGTTTTTGCTGGCTCTGAAAATAGATGTGCGGCGTGACTGTGTCACCCGGTAAACAAATGCCACAAAGCGCGTTGAAGATACCGTCGGATCAGCAGCTGAAGAGATTCCGTCACGGATTTAGAAATGAATGAAATGAAGCGACGCCCTCATTGTGACCTGAAGTGTTTGTGCTCCTGCACAAACGCGTGTTACCCGCCTCCTCTCTGAAGCGCGAGCCGCCAGACTGTCGCTGTGACCGGGTTCAAGTAATCCAGGATAGGCTTTCTGCGTCTGTGTTGGCCTGTGCTTGATTACTTGCACTCGGGGTCAGCAACTAACCGCTGGGGACCGACGGACGGCGACGAAGACGAGCTGAAATGGTAGGAAGAGCCACACACAAAGTCCGTGGTTGGGTAAGTTGCCCGGCGACTGTTTGAGAATGTCTGATCCTCACAGGCGTTCTTCTACGTCTCTGATGGGCTTTAAATAGCGATCTGTCTGTGCAGGTTTTCTTTTTCACAAACACCAGGGTGACATTTTATTATTCGAGATAACGAACTATTAAGTAACACGATGAAACGTTCTTTTTGCTTGTTTCGCTTCAGGTGTACGTGCTGAAGAGGCCCCATGTCGATGAGTTCCTCCAGAGGATGGGTCAGCTCTTTGAATGCGTCCTCTTCACGGCGAGCTTAGCTAAGGTTAACCTTTTTTTTTTTATTAACCCTCGAGTTTAACGCCGCCGCGGCTTTCAGGCGGTTTTTTAACTCGCTGGTTGTTTTGTCTTTTTTTTTTGGGGGGGGGGGGGGTGTTTGTTCAGTACGCCGACCCCGTGGCCGACCTGCTGGACCAGTGGGGGGTGTTTCGCGCCCGCCTCTTCAGGGAGTCCTGCGTCTTCCACAGAGGAAACTACGTCAAAGACCTCAGCCGGCTGGGCCGGGAGCTCAGTAAAGTCATCATCATAGACAACTCGCCTGCCTCCTACATCTTCCACCCCGAGAACGCGGTAAGTGCGTCCTGTCGATCGGTGAAGACAAAACGTCTTCTACTGACGGACAAGATTTTGCATCATGATTCCTGGTGATTCAATCATATGTAAGAAGATTCCTGGAAATCACAGCGTCGGAGGCAGAATGAAGCGGCATGAAGGCGTTTTAGCTTCATCTATTGAGGCGCTTTGAAACGCTGTGTTCCAGCTCCCAAAATGATGACTAAACATGTCAATAAAACAAATGATTATTTGACAAGAAATAAATGTATACATAGTTGAGGGAAGTAAATATTTCTTTTACTAAACCTGGTTCAAAATACACGGCTACGACCAAAACAAGTTAGTTACAAAGTCTCCAATGATGGTAAATGATTACAACTGCCGAACGTATTCAGCTTGATTCTGCATTGTTGTTTTAGAAGCAGCGTTGTACCAGAAGTCCCCAGTTTCTCTCCCCTGTTGAGAAGTTGCCGTCTTTGTGCCTTTCCATGCATCTCCCCCATTGATTATTTACACAAAACCTGCACCATCTCGTCGCCCATAATGCAATCCCCATCCTCCCCCCCACAGGTGCCGGTGCAGTCGTGGTTCGACGACATGACGGACACGGAGCTGCTTGACCTGATTCCTCTGTTTGAGGGACTCGGGAAGGAGGAGGACGTCTACAGTCTGTTACAGAGTCTGAGGAACAGGTAGCAGACGGCGGCTCCAGCTTGCAGCCTCTCCGACGCTGCAATGGAGGCCCCGGGCCCCCCCAAATCCCCCTCCCCCCGAAACCGAGGGGCCCCGGGACTCCCAATTGTTGTGACTGGAGTGAAATCCAGAGGCAACAACTGTCGGGATTCTGTCCAGACTCTTTGTACAGGACTCCTACTGATGAAATATTACGTGACCGTATGTACATACTATATGTTTCTAAGCAAAACTTACATAAAGTAATTTTTCTATGAGACAGTGGAGGTTTTACTATTCTAACAAGTAATATTTTAGTTACCAAAACAACCCAATAGACTCCATTCTTTTGTTGAGAATGAGGGGCGTTTTGTTTCTTTGTGTAGAGCTGTGCTATGCAGGTGGTTGTATCTCGTCTGACCTTTCATTCAAGCAACTGTGATTTATCTTCTCTTACAGAATGAAGTGCCTTCATTACTGCGCTGATTTGGTTGTTGTGTCGGGTTATGGGGGGGTGCACATTTTTATGCTGCATATTGTCTCAAATCTCCAAATACATATGAACTAAATCCTTTGAAGTTGGAAATCTGTGCGACCTGGATAGTATTTTGCTCGTGAATTTAATAATATTGTATTGTTAAATTTACCAAAGATTTCTAAAATTCAATGTGACGCGTGTTTGAATGACGTCATTTGATCTGCGACACTGAGTATAAATTTAAAAAAAAAAGATTGAAACCCCACTTTATAGATAGAAATCTTTATGATATCATTGCCGTCCACCAAAAAAACCTTTGAGGAAGTTATAATAAATAGCAAAGATAACCTGGTATTCTATTTATTGGGGAGTTTGGGTGCATTGTAAAGAGTAAAGACTGCTGTTTGAAATCGTACTGTACAACATCATTAAAGTTGCAAGTTTGCACTGTCGGTTTGTACCAGCGTGTCATCACTTATAGCTGCTATCTGTAATCTGCTATAATCTGCCGTGACGTTGCTCCGTGTCCTCTGAAGGCGTCAATGAGCGACTGCAGGTCAACTGTCATCTTAAGAGGAGCCGACACGTCAATGCTGTGTTCACCGTTTGTTTCTGCTGCCGCCTATTGGCCAGAAAAATCAGATGCGTGACTGTTTTTCATCTTTTAGTCTGTATTTTAAATCCAAACAGGTGTTTCGTTTTAAACCGTCATAAGTTTTGAGGTTTAAAAATGTCTTAACCGTGGAAACAAGCAGTTGACAAAACCATTTTCCCGATGAAGTTCAATTAGTAGCTGGTCTGGATCACGCGATCTTTGTGACCAGATGGAGTTTGTTTGTTTTAAACCACCATGGATGAGAAGTCCTTAAAGGGCTTAAAATGTTTGCTATTGCAATTAATTATATATACATGTTAAATTAAATCAACAAATAGAAGTATAATTTTCTATATTATGCATCTTGCATTCAAGGTAATTTTAAGCATTAAGTGGGCACAAGAGGACACACCTGACTGCTTTGCTCCATTCTCTGATCTGCAGGTGCATTGATGATATCCATAGAAATTTGGTTAATGTGCAACCAACAGGTGTCAAGCTTCATGTGATATCTTGATGTGAACCTTTAGCTTCCGCTTACGTAGCAGCCACTTTAACTGCAGCAGTGGATTAGGCATTACAGAGCCTGTTGTTCAAGCGTGACGAACTCCTTGCGCAGCTTTTATTTTTCCATTCGTCCCTCAGATATGTGGGGACTGAAGTTGTTGATGGACAGGATCATATTTTCATAATGGAGTACAGGGTCGAATCTAAAAACGAAAAGCCGTGGTCGAAGGTAAGACTTTCAGCCTGCAGTGGTGACTTCAAGCTGTTGGTTAACAAGGAGACCAGAGTAGTTACACAACAAATCTGGTTTCAGATTCCCCGGCAGGGGTTGCGTGAGCCGAGTAAGACAAAGACAAGCGCAGGGAGTCCCGTCCATGAATCATGCACTCACTGCAACATGGGACAGAAGAAGTTTGGAGATTGTTCAAACTGTTTGAAAAACGTTTGTGTGGAAAGTAGAGGCAGAGTTTGATGCTTTATGTGGACTAAAAGCAACTCGCCCACAAGGTGTTCATGCTGTTTCTTCACAACGTAGTGTGGTGCTGTGGATTAACATCCACACACTGCAAAGACGCTTATTGTATAATCTTTCAAAAAAAGTGCAAATGACTTGCAGCGTGTAAATAGCTTACCTGCATATGGCCAATAGCACAGGCCTCCAATGCCCCCTCAAAGCCCAACGCTGCAAACCTCCAATAGCGCCGAGCCTCCCGCCTCGAGTGTCTGTGCTGGTGGAGCACCTTGAGTCCAATTCCCAAAGCTGCTAGTTGTAACGCTTGTTGGATGAAGAATTGGTGTCAAGTGGCCCACCGGGCCGCCGAGGCCTCAGCCCGGCGTGAACGCGACCCCCGATGGAAGCGGTCAGGACCTCGAGTCCAATTCACGCATTGTACATGATTTTGTCTGGACTTTGCCGTCTCCCTTCGTTCGTCCTGACAACAAGGCAGAGTCTCCTCTCCCAAACAGCTTTGTTTCAGAAGGGGCCGGTAACAATGTAAAGGGAGGCGTATCGAGGTTGTCGCAGAGTAAATATTGAGGCAGGAAATTGCAGGTGTGTTCAGACGTGGGTGTGGAGACAAATAGACGCAGCGCTCTCTGCCACACACACTCCGGCTTGTGCACAGGAGGGACGGCCAGCGGTACTTCATCACGTATCCACATCATTTCACTAATCGAACTGCTCTCCACTCCGCTCAACCTACAGGACGCAGCGAGGCCTTCACTCCGCCAGAAACCAACCAAGGTAACCATCCACTATTCTGTTTTGGAGAGAGCTTCCTCTTTGACTATTTTAATATTTCTCTCCTGTCAATTTCCTGGATGGGAATCACTGCCGTTTAGGGAGGAGGAAATCCGCATTATTATATGTGTTGAAGATACATCTGTAAAAACAGACCTCATGCTGTGTTTCCGAACCTATGTCATGTTTTATAAATTGAAGGTGAATTTTCTTCATTTATTTAGAGAAGTGACAGAGCCCTTTGTGAGGCCGAGTCAATGGACACTGCATGTAGATCAAGGAGGAACCCGTCTTTCCTGTCCCATTAATGGAAGCAATGCCGGGATTCAATTGATCTTTTCAGAGATTATTTGTTTGTATTATGATTGGCGTCGGATTGCAGAGCACAATGATGGAGATGTACGTACAACTAACAATGGATTTTATTGGTTGACTAAATTACATTGAGATTTTTCAAAGTAATGTAGGGATGTGGAAGTGATAATAAATAAAGCAAATGAATATTCATCAATAATATATGCATAACAAGGGACATTATTTTAGTAAGAGTTTGATATATAGAGTAGGCATGGGTGTGGCCGCTCCTTTTACCCAAGCAACAATAAGACACGATATGATGATGATGAACAATTCTGGTACATTGGATCATTTGATCATTTGTAAGTTAATATCTGCTATCCACGAATGAACGAAGATTTATCGGCCTCCCGAAGAGCAATCACTGTGTTGTGAGTTGTATTTAGTTGTGCAAACATCCAGCACCCTGTGATATAACAACAGCACCTGCGAATGCAACACTTTGCTCACACAGGTAGGCGAAGCTTCGCGACAGACTCCAGATGTTTAGCGTCCCAGATGGGAAACCGCCTGCTCTGAGCGGGCAAGCGGCTCGGCTCGCACTTCTAGGCAGTTCACACCTCACACGCAAGCGCTAAGTCGTGTAGCATGAATTAGGCATTAGACTAAATAAACCAAATGTGCCAAATAGAGTCTCAAAGATGCCAGCGAATGAGGCAGGATTCAGCAACTTTGGGCCAAGCCCTGGAAAGTTACTAATACAGAAACCCTTTCTTCTGTTTGCTCAGTGTGTCACCTCGATTTTATCTGAAAACCTGAGCGCTGATAGTACATTAAATAGCGGGTGTGGTCAAGATCCTGCCATTGTACAGCTGACGTAATCTGCCTCACCTTGCACCACCCAGTCCGTCAATCACAGCCGTGCATTTCATTCCTTCACCCCGGAAAAAAAGATTAGAATCAGTGTTGATTATTATTAAATTATAGCCGATGTGCTTCCCCGGATAATAACTGCAGCCTACGCTCACGCAGCTGTTTGCCAATGGCATGACACACGCGTGGATCCTGTAATTGCCTTCATGATGTGAGGCCGGCAGCGTCCCACCGAACCTGTTTGCAACCTGTTTACAAGTGTGTTTGACCAGGATGAAACTCATTAAAGAGATGTTCTACCAGAGATCCAATCTTTTGAATTAGGAGGCTTCAGAAATGTGCTACAGTTTTTGTACCAGAGAGGAGTTGCAATTTAACATTTGTTTCATAACATTCTGTTAAAGGTGATAGCACATAATAAAGTTGGACCAAAAGCATTTTGTCGTATTGAAGTAGCGAAGTCCAAACAGTAAAGTAAAATACTATATTTATAAATGTTGTATACATTTTATGATCGATACATTATCTGAAAAAAAATGGGATAAAACATCTTTTTCCCCAAAATGGGCTTAAGAAGGGTTAATCTTTATTCACACAGCGCAGGAAACACTGTCTTTGTTTCAGTTCAGCAGAATGATGGACGATGACAATCAAGAAACATTTAAAAATGTCAGCCAGAAGCCAGGCCTGCAGATATGGACCATCAATGTAAGTCTGCTCCTCGAACAAATATCCTATTGATGTGTGTACATGCATGTGTGTGTGTGTGTGTGTGTGTGTGTGTGTGTGTGTGTGTCCGTCACTGGTCACACAGGTCTCACTTTTTGTGATCATAACTTCATATTTAACGTTTGCTCATTCAGAACATGCAGATGGTCCCTGTTCCAGCTCAAGGCTTTGGTAACTTCTTTGAGGGAGACTGTTACATAATTCTACATGTAAGTACATAACTAGTTTATTTCTCAAGAGTCTCAACGCCAAAGGAGGCATGTGGCTCAGACATGTCTTAACTGCGGTAACTGTACGAGTGTTGTTCCTCTATGTATTTCACCAGATAAGTCAGAACAAGGGCTCGGGCCAGTCGGCCGACATCCACTACTGGATAGGGAACTCCTCTTCCCAGGACGAGCAAGGGGCCGCGGCCATCTACGTCACCCAGCTGGACGAGCACCTGGGCGGCAGCCCGGTCCAACACAGGGAGTCGCAGGGCAACGAGTCTGCAATGTTCAGGAGCTACTTCAAGAACGGCCTCATGTGAGTCAAAGGAAAGAAGGACATGCGGTTGGACGTGAGCTAGAACGCACACTTAATCCTCCCCAGACGGGAGACGTTAGCCGGGTGCTTTTGCAATAGTGCCTCCTGCGTGTGTTCACAGCGCTTTTATGACACCTGAACTTTGGTAACGTACACAGCTACAAGAAGGGTGGAGTGGCCTCTGGTTTTCACCACGTTGAACCCAACGTCTACAACGTCCTGCGACTGCTGCACGTCAAGGGGAGGAAGCACGTGACGGCGACGGAGGTGAGAGCCGTCGACAGCTTTACTGCTCGCTGCCCTTTACCTTGAACTGCAGACATCACAGGCGCGACACAGCAACACGCCCTCTCTAACAGACCACGCCTCTCTTGTTGCCGTGGCGTTAATTGTCCGACATGTGCGACGACCGTGTGGTTTTGATTAATCCTTTACAAAACGTCTGTTTTCTTTTTATTGGTTTTATGACAGCATGTCATTTTCATCTCAATAAAGGTTAAGAAGTCTCCATCACAATAAGGTTTGTGCGTGTGTGTGTGTGTGTGTTTGTGCAGGTGGAGGTGTCATGGAACAGCTTTAACAATGGAGACATATTCCTACTCGACATGGGGAAAGCCATCGTGCAGTGGAACGGTCCCCAGAGCAACAAGAGGGAGAAGCTCAAGGTAATTGTCCGCTCTGATTGGTTACAAAAAGGTCAGTAATGCACATGAGGAAAGACAGAAGACTTAAATAACATTGTGGAATTTTGTTAATGTTGGTTATAACCAAATTACTTGAAAAATCTGGAAGAATTATTATATTTTGTTTCCACATTAGCGTCATTGAAAGGTACGGACAGCTGATATTACTTCACTTCCCTTGCAGGTGCAATTGCTCCTTTTAAATGTCTGAATGATGTGCAACTTTGTCTGTAAAACATTGATGCTTTTTGTTTCATATGCGAAAAAAAAAAAGAAGAAGACTCAATCCGTCTTTGTTTCCAGGCCGTCTTGTTGGCTCAGGACGTCCGGGACAGGGAGCGAGGGGGCCGGGCTCAGATCGGCGTGGTGGAGGGAGGAGCGGAGCGGGACTCCCCGGAACTCATGAAAATCATGACGGCGGTGCTGGGCCAGAGGAGCGGGCAGCTGAAGGAGGCCGTTGCTGACGACGAGCCGGACCAGGTGCAGAACGCCAGCGTCAGACTCTACCAGTGAGGGGCCCCTGGATCCGTCGGACGGTTCCCGCCGCGTTGTTGTTGTTGTTGTTGTTGTTGTTGAGCGTTGAATGCCATCACGCGCCGCTGTTCTCCCTTTTCTCTCCAGGGTTTTTGAAAACGGCGGCAATCTGGTGGTGCAAGAAGTGGCCACGCAGCCCCTGACCCAAGATCTGCTGCACTCCTCTGTAATTCTCTTTCACCCTTCGAACGTGTTCCTCAGACACACGTTACGCGGAGCGCGCTCACTCCTTCCCGTCCCCCTCTGTCTGACAGGACTGCTACATCGCGGACCAGGGAGGCTCGAGCGTGATGGTGTGGAAGGGAAAACAAGCTTCCAAGGTGGAGCGGCAGGAAGCCCTCAACAGGGCGCTGGTGAGTTTACATCAAAGGGTTCGACATATCAAGCGCTATGATTATTTAAGACGATAGTTCTTTCTTTCTTTTTCAGTAATAATTTATCAACTTTTTTCTCCAGGGCTACATGAAAGCCAAGAAATACCCACAGAGCACCAGCGTGGACGTGATGTCCGAGGGAGGAGAGTCAGCAATGTTCAAGCACCTGTTCAAATCCTGGAGAGATAAGGGGCAAACTCAGGGTCTGGGCGCCACCTACAACGTGGGGAAGATAGGTAACACAACGCAAAGCCGTCTTCTTCTTCTTCTATTTCATTATGGGATCATATATTTAGCTTGTATGTCATTTCAATGATTTTTTTTTTTTCTTAGTGTCTCATTTTGTTGATTAATTCTCTAAATACTTTGGGCCCACACAGCAAAGGTCGACCAGGTGAAGTTTGACGTGATGGAGCTCCACGCGCGTCCCGAACTGGCAGCGCAGCAGCGCATGGTGGACGACGCCTCCGGAGACGTCAAGGTCTGGTGCAAAAATGCAAAAATGCAAAAGCGTTATTATTATTATTGTATTCATATCATTTATTCTTTGCTAATGTCCGTGTTCGGGTCAGGTGTGGCGTATTGAGAAGTTGGAGCTGGCGGAAGTGAATCCAAACACTTACGGACAGTTTTACGGTGGAGACTGCTACTTGGTGCTGTACACATACCAGATATCAAACCAGCAGCAGTACATACTCTACATGTGGCAGGTCAGTAGCGTCACAGGAGGAACATTGGCCTTGTTTTCATATCTCTCTCTCTCTGATGAATAAAATCCAACAGCTACTTTCCTTAACTTGAGCTACTGGTTTTTACACCAGGGCCGTCACGCCACCAAAGATGAGATCACAGCCTGCGCCTTCCAGGCCGTCAATGTTGATAACAAGTACAATGGAGCCCCAGTGCAGGTCAGGGTGATCATGGGAAAGGAGCCTCGCCATTTCCTCGCCATTTTCAAAGGGAAACTCATCATCTTTGAGGTAAAACTGGTTCTGAATGCCCAACTGCAACGGCCTTTATCTTGCTTAAAAAAATTGTAGTTGGAGGAATTGTCACAGCGATATCAATACCCAATATTTGAGCCCTTTAAAGGGGAAAGTGCTGCATGATTCCTACATTGCCTTGTCTATGCTGCGTGTGTCTTCAGGGTGGAACGGGCCGACCCGGTGTGGTCAACCCTGAACGGGGACCCAGGCTCTTCCAAGTCAGAGGGACCAACGAGCTGAACACCAAAGCCACTGAAGTGCCGTCGAGGGCCTCGTCCCTCAACACCAACGATGTCTTCGTGCTCCAGACCGACCACGTGTGCAACCTGTGGTACGGAAAGGTACGGACTTTTGCGGGAACGCCACGACAAGCTGACAAAGCCTCGCCGATGAAAAATGGGAATTTGTCGTCCTTGCGGTTGCGTTGTCGCTCAAATGCCTCTATTGTCTGATGTGTGCTTGTGTTTACCTGCAGGGCTGCAGCGGGGATGAGAGGGTGATGGGGAGAAGTGTGTCTGAAGCGCTGTCCAAACAGGACAAGCAGGTGGTGATGGAGGGCCAGGAGCCAGCTGAATTCTGGGTAGCTCTGGGAGGGAAGGCTCCCTATGCGTGTGACAAGAGGTAAAGCGCACGCGGCAGCGGCAGCATCGCACCTTTTAATCAAGCTTTTTGTCTGGTGATTATTGCACGGCAGCCACATATCAACGGCCATCATCAATCAGCCCGGCCCGCGTTGTCCTCTCTGTGTTCTCTGTGTAGTAGTACATAAAGTCAGAAATGACAACTACAAAAACATACACACCAAAACGGATCCAAACAGCCTCTTTAATCATATTTTGAGACATTAATAAGCTTGCACAAGGATTCTTTTTGTATCAAAGTCACTGGAATACGCCTGGAATGTAGTCTACACACACACACACACACACACACACCTATCAAACTACACAGCTGTGTTGACGGCGGGAGCTCCGTGTTGTTTCAGACTGCAGCGGGAGGAACCTCCTCACAGCCCAAGGCTGTTCGAGTGCTCCAACCAAACAGGCTGCTTCAGGATGACCGAGGTGCACGACTACGCCCAGAGCGACCTGGACGAAGATGACGTCATGCTGCTGGACACCTGGGAGGAGGTGAGAGGTTGAGTACTGCAGATGTGTCCCAGTGGAACCATTGGAATTCCTTTCTTTGACGTTGTTCCAGGTAATAAGGCAGACCGATGCCGTTAAAGTGAAGTTGAGCAAAGTGGGGGGGGTTTGGGCAATAATCTACAAATTGTCAATTTGGGTACCATTCGAAGTGTTCCATCTTTGTGGATTTAATTTGATTTGATTGATCAACAGAAACCTGTTATCTATTGGCCCATAAAACCACCTTATTCCTTTACACGTGTGCAGTAATCATATCCATCCACGAGGGGGAGGAACAGGCCGTGTTTTAACTGAAGACCAATTTTAAACGTTCATCCATGCCACGTAAACGAACACAAGCAGTCAATCCGTTCAAACATACACCTACGTCTTTAAAAATGTCGTAATCAAATAAACAAACAACAAATCCAGTTTCAGATTCTTTGAAAAAAAAGTTGAAACCGTATCACCACAAAGGCTTATTTTCATGAAACATACGTTAAAAACCTATTTTCTGAGAGTAACACATTATTGTACATTAACCCATTCAGGGTGTAACAGTTCATTGTGCCACAGTCTGGTAACCTGCGACCGTTAATGTCCTTTCTCAAAACCCCCTCAGATCTTCTTGTGGGTCGGAGACTCAGCCAACGAGTACGAGACCAAGGAGGCGTGGAACAGCGCGCAGGACTACCTGAGGACCCACCCGGCGGGCCGCGACACCGAGACACCCATCGTCTCCGTCAAACAGGGATATGAGCCGCCCACCTTCACCGGCTGGTTCGGCGCGTGGGACCCTCATAAGTGGAGCGTGAGTTTTGACAGTGAGAGGCAGCAGAGGCAGCATTCCTCATGGTACTGTCAATCTGCCTTTTAAATGAAAGCAGCGCAGGTGATTCAAAAAGAGACGCAAGCATGTGAGAAAAAAAAATGTATGAAGAACATGAAGTCGCATGTGGATGATTACGTGGATTGTTTGAAGATTGAAGGCAAACTTGCATGTTTGAGATCTTTCAATCCTGGCTCGTTGATCTTCTCCACAGGGAGGAAACTCCTATGAGGAGATGACAAAAAAGCTGAGTGATCCAGCATCTCTCGCACAGATCAGTGTTGTAAGTGATTGATTGACACTAATGCTTTAATTAATTGCCTAACTAACAACTAATGTATCTATGTGCTAAATAATACCGTTGCTAATTGGAAGTATTTATACCTGAAAAGAACTCACTAACAATCTGATTTCACGCGGGGGCTTTGTCTGCAGGATCTGAGCAACTCTTTCTTCAATAAGAGTCCCGCTAGTGGAGGTGGTTACAGGGCCCCAGGGGGCCCCACGGGTTCCCCCAGACCCTCTTCCCCCATCAGCCCGTCGGCCCATAGGGCCCCGTCCCTGTCCCCCTCCTCCGGCTTCAGTCCTTCAGGCCCGGGCGGGATGTACCTGGACCCAGAGATCCTCATTAACAAGTCCCCCAGTGAGCTGCCTCAGGGAGTGGACCCCGGCAGCAGAGAGGTGGGGGAGGAATCACGCATTTTGGAAACGGGTGGAAGTCATTGAAGTCACCATTCAACAAGTGGTCGTGCATGTGATTGTGCATGTGTGAGTTTCCTGATGCATTAACACATGGAGTGCAGTAGAGGTCCGCCTAACCGTGTCCTGTCCCCTGTCCCCTGTCCCCCTGTGCTCTGATTCAAGGATCACCTCACCGACGCTGCTTTTGAGAACCTGCTCGGCACGACTCGCTCAGATTTCAAGCGCCTGCCGAAGTGGAGGCAGAGTGACTTGAAGAAAAAGGCCGGACTTTTCTGAGAAACGTTCGTGACTGTGTTTTACAGGGAAACAGCGTGGAACCGGTTTCATTGTTGCACAGACAACCTCTTCGTGGAAAACTGAAGCAAGCATTGTACCTGTCGGAAAAGACATTCCGGCAGGTCAATGATCATTTCACCTGAATATTATTGTTATTATTTGTGGTTGCTACCCACCATTAACCAAGTTAAAGTGATTACAAGTGGTAGAAATAACATATTAATATGATTGGGAATAAATACAAAATCAAAGACTACATTTACACTTAAATTACTATTATTTGCAATTGTTGTGGTTTATATTTATCCATATTTATCAATGTCTCTTGATAATTGTTAAATGATCTGATTTTCCTCAGGATCTGATTTTCATTATCACTTTATTATGAATAAACACACAGAAGCTTGAATCAGAGACTCTGCTGGTTTTATTTGACAGGTAGTGAAAATTCAGAAAAAAGGCAAGACAAGTATGTAGGTTTGAAAACGTATTTTTGGCATGAAATATTTGATAAGATGAATTAATACTCAATATGTTAATATCAATATTTACGATATAGTTCATTTCTTGATATGCCTATAAGGTTACAGTCCAAAATAAGTTTCACGTCATTGAAAGAATTAAAATGTATGTAACATATGTATTTAACATTTTTACATTTTTAAAATACTTTCCCACACCATTTACATCTCCATCCACTCTTCCCCTGTTAAAATACAAGAACTCCCATACAATACATAAAAAAAAAAAAATCTAAAAACGCTGAGTCAGCACCCTCGGATCGGCACATCACAAGTCCTTTTTTTGATCATATTTGATAAGAGTTCAGTTACACTTACACTGGACATATAGACCGTTTTTTAATGTTAAAGGCTGACATGCAGGATTATCCTACTCGGCGTCTGTGAGCATGAGGTGCACGAACAGTCCGGCCGAGGAGATGACGTCGCCTCTCTTGGTGAGCAGCGGGACATGGCGGTACCCTGGAGGGGGGGGAGAGGGGGAAGCTTTAGCTGGATCCAAAAATCGGAGTAAAATATGGTTTTTGCGTGACATAAAACAGGGAAACCACTCCCACCGTTCTGCGCGCTGCTGAGCGGGAGGCAGTAGTGCCCGATGAGGTCGTTCTGGGACGCCGCGTCGTAGTCCTCCACCACGAACCGCAGCATGGCCAGCTCGGGGACGTGGATTTGGAACCGGAAACTTTCATTCCACGTCGGGTTGAACCCTGCAGGGAGGCATCCTCGTTCAGCAACGTGTCACAAGTGATACAGCCGCGCGCGTGTGTGTGTGTCAGACTCACCGTTGTTATCGATGTGGTGCGTCGCCTTGATGGCGTTGTCCGCCGGCACGCCGTAGATCTCCACCCGCACCAGAGGGTCAACGATGGAGCTTTGTTTGTCCTTGTTGAGTTTGGGTAACTGCTGAGCTGAAATGACCTTTTTGTATCGGGGGAAACAAGAAAACACAAATATGTGCTCTCCTCACTAAACAAACATTTTCACTACAAATTGTCCATCTGGAATGAAGCCAACTAAGGAGCGTTCTCTCCTCTCACGCAGGCACAGAACACACGTGCACAAGAGACACAGGTGTCCTTCGTTGGTCCTCGTTGGTCAGTTAGTCGAGACCAATCTTTAAGGTTTGACCGCGTAACGCTGCTCACCATCACGTTCAAGGTCTTCTTCTGTAGCCAGGGCCCTTCGGAAAGTGTGCTGGGGTCAAACTGAGAGGACAGGCTCCTCTGGAATTCCGGTTTCAGGATGTAGCCCGATGCGCCGTTGGGCAGGAACCGACCCTGGTTGAGGTGCATCTCCTTGGAAGGTGTCTGGAAGTTCAACGCCACTGAAAAACAAGTCGGAGAGTGAAAACCGCGCCACCGAACCTGCCAGCGGCTGGATCTCTGCGTAAAGAAGTGCGATTGTACCTATCTGGCAGCCGGCGTTCCACAAGGGCACCGGGTTATAGTTGGAGGAGTCGGTCCTGGAGCCCGCGGGGTAGATCCTGCTGAGTTTCTCCGTGTTGTGATGGATGTAGGCAGTCGCTAGGAGAACACGTAGAAGCGGCTTTCACACCACGCTCATAACTGGAACACGTGGGTACGGTTTGGCGAGTCGTGATGTTTACCTGAAGTCTCAGCCAGGGTCAAAGCTTTGCTCTCCTTGAAGGAGGACATCTCGTAGAAGGCCTGCATTTCCTTGGCGTGGTCGAAGCTGTTGAAATGGACACTCTTGCAGTAGACGACAATGTTTGAGAGCTCTTTGGCCAGTTTGATCTTTGATTTCTAAACGGAGACAGGACAGCGGATCAGTTTCGTTGAACGTGTATTTGAAAACGTTTTCACCAACACTCGGCACACCTTTGGTTTGGCTTTCTGTCCGTTCTCACAATCGGCCGCCTCGTCCTCCTCAGACACGGTGCCTTCCTCCACAACGCCGTCGTTGCTGAGGGAAGGGTTCACTTTCTTCAAACACTTCCCTTTGATGAGGATCTTCCCCTTCAGCTCCTGCGCAGAACAACAACAAAATGTGCGTTCACGTGTTGTTGCAAAGCTAATGTGCTGCGTATTATCCAAACGTATGGAAGCGTATTCTGGATCCCGATTACCTCTCAGTTAATAAACAGCTTATTTCTAAGCGGCCACGCAGTACACAGTAACAAAATGCAAAACCTAACCTCCTGCGCTCATTATTCAAATGTGGAGGAGGACGGGAGGCCTGAGATTGATGCTGTTTGGATTACATGCTACTGGGTGTCTTTTCACATGATGAGGCTTTTACTTGAGTCTCATCACCATCGTCTCCCAGACAAATCTAAAAGTCACGTTAAAGTAAAGAGGAAAGTGAAGCGTTTCATTAACCTGACAGGCAGGATGTTCAGGTCCATTTGGGTGCAAAGCTCTAAAGACTGCGATTGTTTCATTAAAAAGGGAAGCTGGTGGGCGGAGATGCACACACCTCAGGTGAGGGGAAGTTGGTGGGCGTGACGTTGCGCAGAGGCTTTGTGACCAAGGCATCGCCCAGGATGGAGATCAGATGATGGGCCATGAGCCGCTGTTGGTCAATGGTGCAGTGGTTCTCCAGGGACAGGATCACTGGGTATTCGGATGTCTGGAGAAGCGAAGGAAACAACCGTTCAGTGAAGGTGAAGCCCTCCACGACTGTCTGAATGAGAAGGAGGGGCAGGTGCTATGCAACGCTATCCTCATTACTTTGAAGGCGAATTCTTTGATGACTTTAATGACGTCTTTAAACAGCACTTTGGACGTGAGTGTGTATCCGTGGTAGATGACGGGTTCGCCGTTAGCGCCGTCCCAACAGTCCAGCTCCACACAGCGACAGCCCTTCATCAGTGCTCTGCAAGGGAAAGAAAACACCTTCATGAAAAGTTCAACGCATGCTGAGGCGTTTAGGAGGAAAGTATGAAAACGTTGTTTCGATACATCGGAAGGCCAAACAAGATGTATGTCACACACACACATATGATATGTCAGTGAAAGCGGTTACTTTATGTAGGCTTCTGTGCTGCTGGGTCCTTTGAGTTGGTCCGCCATCAGGTATGTGTTGTGCGAGGAGGAGATGTAGTAATGGCTGAGGGGCTGGTGCATGTCCTGATACACCGGTTTGTGGGCCGGGTTGAAGATGGAGCCTTCCTCCTGGTTCATGAACCTCAGGAAGCCGTCTTTGGTCATGCGCTTCTGCTGCTTGGCTGGTGGACCAGAGGACGGACAGAGAGAGAGACGGTGAGAACACGGCACAATACGTACGACGTGACCAATAAAACTCAGCCCCACCTGTCTCATCCACTTCGTATTTTTCGATGAGCTTGAGAGCGTCCTGCATGGACACCTGCTCCCTCTGCTCTCTCAGCAGGAAGCCGAGCAGATCTCCGGCGCTCATCTGACCCTCTGTCTGAGCGTAATCCCCGTAAATCACATCTATCTCTTCCCGTTGTGTCAGCAGGTTGTAGAAGTGTTTGATCTCCGAGCCCTCCAGGGTGCCTGAATTGGACGCGTCACATTTCTGTGTGACAAAATGAAACACACAGTAGTCTTTAAGCGAGGCGGACTAACGCATTGTTATTGATATGCGTATCGATCGGCGGCTCACTGCGACCCGCCTTAAAGATCTCCTCTGCGTAAGTGTCGTCCACTTCGATGTTGACCTGCTTCAGGAAGTGCTTCACCTCCTTCAGGGTCATCATGTTGTCGCCATTCTTGTCCGCTTTCCGCATGCAGCTGAAGATCCAACTGGCGTTTTGATTTAAGGATTGTATTTGAACTAACTAAGAACAAAACCACAAACCTTAGTGGGCCCAAAAAAAAGCGCACTTTGGAAAGTTACCCTTTCTTTACTGTAAGAGCCGGAGCGGTGAAGGATACTGCTCACTGTTCTGCTGGCGGTTGAGGTTCAGCATGTTGTTAATGAGCTTGTCCAGGCCGTTGACCCACTGTTTTGCCTCCTCCCCGCTGGGCGCCAACAGGTCCAGATTTTTCGTCCTGTCCTTGAAGATGATGGAGAAGCACTGGTCCTCCAAGCCGTCGGCGGTGTGTTTATTCAACCCCTCGGACTGACGGCCCCTGCGCACTGAAGCGATGTCATCGATGGCGACTGTTTGGAGGGACGAAGGTGCTTAGTTAAGTTTGACACTCAAAGGATTGGAGCGAGGTATCATCGGTCTATATTAAATGACACAATTAACTTCTCCTTTGTCTTTATTGAAAAATGCCCTGTAGTGTTTTGTTTGTTGAATTACGTGTGCAGTGTGTTTGCAGTGTGTTTGCAGCGTAGGAATAACTGGGAACAAGCAGGACCCTTTGAAGCACTCAGACCAGTCAGTATCTGGTGGCAGCAGACTTTTTATTCCGGTGGAAAGAACAACACGGAGCGCCTCGATGCCTTCACATCTTATCTACAGGAAGGCTTTTGTTTCTTTGCTGTAGCCGCGTGCTGCGGCCTTCACTGACAAGCCACAACAGTTGAATATTCACACATCCAGCAAACACACAGCAGCATTCGCTGTCTTTTGCGTTTCAGTCTGATCCTGAGGGAAATATCTCTTCAGTTTCCCACGTTCACTTTATCAGCGGCGTGTCCGTCTGATGTAAAGTTGGAGGCCATCAAACCAAGAGAATGAGAGGAAAGACACAAAGTGTGACCCATGGCCTTTCCTCACGTGATTCATTTTAGGAATATTTATTGCAAAAATACTTTATATTGTCTGGAACAACTGAGAAGAAAGATTCACGCAGATTTAATGTTTGATGCATTCCGGCCTCACTTGATCTCTCCTCTCCTCCACACATGGGCAACACATAAAACACTATGACTGACACTTATTGTATTAAACGGTCGCACAATGACAACGTTTAAGCCTGTACATCGTGGGTCCCGCTGCGTTGTGAAGCAGCTTAATGTACGGAAGAGCACGCATGGCAGCGCGCGATGTAATCACGCTAAGCGGCAACAACAAAAACCCACCAGCTTAGCTGAGAGGCCACATGTGGACGCTGGGTTACAATCACACTGCCCCTCCCGCCCCTCCCTACATCCCGGGGCTGGGGAGTCTAGTGAAGAGCGACCATTGTTCCTGAGAGAGTCGGAGACTATCAAGGGGGAGGATGAATCCAAAGGTCAGACTACTTGGAGAGAAATATACGACAATCAGAAGGCGGAGTGGAGATTCTTTTTTTTAAAGCCCTAATACTATGACCGATACGTTTATCTCTGCAACAAATAGCAGACTGACAGCAATATGAGGAACATGAGGTTTTATATGCATGTGACCCTGACAAGTGTGTACGTGCCTGTGTGTGCTCGCCATTTATTAAAATGGCAGCCACAGAGTGTGGGAACGAAGAGAAGAGGAACTTTTACCCGTCTATTGCCAGTAATGATAAGTATTATAGAAACGTCTTCATTGCAACAAATTAACTTCTGCTTTGGTGACACATCAGAAAAACAATGACAGCTTGCTGGTGAAAGCGCAGGAAAACCATAAAACATGGGCGCTTGTTTCCTTTAACGTTCTGTCAACTATCTGCCGACACACGACCGCCGTCTGTAGGCGGAAGATTAGAAAGATGCTGCTTATCAGGTCCGGTGGCCCCTCCAGCTCCCAAAACCAGAGGGAAATAATCCCTCTCACACACATGGACAAAGAGTAGTTTCCAGTTTCGTGTTTAGCCTCAATATGGGTGTGAGCGCGATATCGCCGCCGCTCACGTACTCTGGAGCACTAGTGGGATTTCAGGAGTGTGTGTGCAAGACGGCTATTGTTGGGATCGGAAAGGAGAACTCCATGTTGACAGAATAAGAGCAAACAGATGAATGTTGGATAAACCCAAATGGAGAGAAGAAAAATCGAATATGAGCTTTGTAGAACTTCTCCCAATTCTGTGCATTATGTAATTGAAAAGGTGTGCAAAGTGTAGCAACAACACTCACAAGTCTGTTTCCGCCTGACTGTTTTGTGGGACTCATACCACAACGTCTTGCAGTCTTCCTGCAGTTTGAAGAAGCGGTTCTTCTGCCAGGATTTCGAGCGAACCTTGACCAGGTCCCCGCCGCCCAGCATGAACTGTAGATCCGCATCTCCCTCCAAACCTGCAGTGATCACGCACAGTTGTAATCAATTTCAATAACGAAAGAGGCACCAGCGAGGGGGCTGTTTCTGTGGAGGGAAATTGTTACATTGTTACTTCAGAAGAATTTGTGATTGTGTGTTTTAAATTCTTTAGAGAGATTCTCCAGAGTTGTTATTGCAACGACTAACAAGAGACAGATTTATAAAAAGGCAACAGTCAATGTTGTAGCATCTTTTTTAGCCGTCATGCCTCCACTTTGTAACGCATGTGTAACGCATGTGTAACGCATGTGTAACGCATGTGTAACAGCGATTTTATCAAAGTTCAAATCCCAAGACATCGTCCTGTTTTGTGTCATTTCATCAAATCAAAGTGGAGTCAAATGAAGAAAGGGAAATGTTAAAAGTGATTATTTGGGGATTTGCTTTTATACGTTTTGTAGTCTTCGGGAGAAATCGGACCCCAATGAAATCATTGTGGTTATTTTCTCATACTAGAAATCTCCCCCTACAGCCGGAGAAGGGATTACACTGTTATACTGTTTTCCCAGGCCGATACTCCAAGAATACATGTACAACTCCGTGAAATCAGTGGTGTGGCCCTTTAAACACAAACTACATGCCCTTCTATAAAACTTAAAGTTGGCTATGACTCATGGCTCATGGAGTCATTTTTTGTTTTTGTTGGGTGGCGGCCATTTCTTGCATTTTGATCTTGAAGATTTTTCCATATTATTTATAATATTAATCTATTTCTTGTAAAGTCTTATGTAATGTGGCTTATCGCTCAAGGTGAGGTAATCTGTTGATTATGGCTTATTGGGAAAGGAGTGTAACATCAATGGGAGGCGAACAATAGGCGCAGAAGACAATGTCAATGTTTAGTCAATTGGCTTTGCGTCTGTGAAGATGTGAGGTAATGCCGCTGTTAGTCAGTGCAGGCGGGCGGGGCCGAGTTGCCAACATCACGCCATCTGAAAATGGTGTCCACTCATAGGGGCGTTTGAGGCTAAATGCATTGCCAAAAACTCAGCAGTGTCGAGCTCGTGGGCAGGAACGAAACATTGCAGACATTGTGTGTTGTTATGAAAATACCACAGCGAGGTTTATGAAAATCTGTAATCAGTTCCAGTTTTGAGGTTGAATGAAACATGAGAGGCAAGCTAGGACAAGAAGATTCCAAGAATAAAGTGAAGTGCCTCTGAGGAAATGGGTTATAATGATGAGGTTCCTCACACGGGCTGGAAGGGGAGGCGGGCTGCAAGAAACAACTGTGCATTGAGATCTGAGCCAACAGATGCGCCCGGAGACCCATTGATACTAACAACATGGATGGTAGTATTCTCTTATTAGGCCTTTATAACAGCTAGAATTTTATTCCTCTGCGTTCGTCTTTTTGAAAATGACTAATAGATCATGAACACATCTGGATACATTTTGTTGTTGTTGTTGTTCAAAGAAAAGGAACTCTGTCCACTGGGCTCTGTACAAGGTTGGAACTCCTTCCTGCGTTTTTTCCTCTTTCAAAGACAAAAATGCCATGTCGTTTTCAACTACCTCTCCGTTCACACACACACACACAGCGACCCACACTCCTGTACCAGTTGGCATGTTGACGGATGGAATTCACGCTCCAGGCAATGCAGGAACTCTCATACGAAATGGTACCGTGCGTTAACACAATAACACACATGTGTTGCCCCCCCCCCCTCAAAAAAACAACTGACCAGAGCGTCAGTTTACGTAGACTCGGGTTAAACCCTTGAGTTAAACCTCTTGGAGGACTTACCCAGACGTTTCAAGTTCTGCTGCGCGACCCCTTTCACCTGCTCCCGGATCGCTCGCTCCTCTGATTTCGTCCTTTTCCCAAGTTTAGGTAAACAAGACATTGTTTCGTGCTTTTTTGTTTTGTTTTCTTACATTAAAAAAAGGAGGAATCCAGGAGTGTTTTTGTAATGTGCGCTCGTTGTGGAGTCTACACGTCGCCCTTCGACCCCCCTCCTCCTCCGTCTCCCCCCACGGGGCGGGTCGAAACTCGTCTACTCGGTTGTGCGCGCGCCGCAGGTACATCCAGCTGTGCGCGCTCAGGTGAATACTTCTATGAGGTCCGCACAGAACTTCTATGAGGTCTCCCTACATGCAGTCTTCGTAAAGTATCAGTGTGAACACGTCGCGTTGTCCTCGGGTTTAGACGCTTCTGATTGGTTCTGGTGACGCATTCAGGAATTTTAGGAAAATGATGTGCCCTCTTTCCTTAAAGAGGAGTCTCACGTCCCGTTGCGGTAAGAATGCGGAGTGCAACGCGGTACTTTACAACTTGAAATGCGTGTTACATCTGCGCAGTTTAAGGTCTTTTATTTGTGTTTCGAGAAGTCAGTTGAATCCTCTTTGAGTAAAGATGTGTCAAGTTGCGCCACCGTGTGGTGGTTGTGGTGTTATAGTCTGCTCAAACATCTGAAAACGTCTAATTCATTGACAAGCCCTCTGGTCGTGGACAGGCATGAGACCCGCACGTATTCTGCTAATGTGTGACACGTGATATTGTCCCAGCAACCACAGAAACTTAGAATGGCAAATGTCAGAGAGAGAAAAACCTGTGATGTGTCAACATCCCTAAAGGGACCTAAACCGCAAGTACACCAACAACAAAAAAATGGTTGAATGTATCATTTTTCTTTTCTCTAAATAAATTCCAAGCCACTGTTTGATAGAAACCTATGAAATAGTGTCACAAAAAAAATCACATCCCCATAAGTATACTTGATATTACTCATCCCTTGATATAAAACACTACTGGTGACGTCTTGGATACAGTAATAACAAAAATAAACTGTTTAGGCTGTTTATGTCCAACTCACCGTGTTTCCCAGACATTCCATTTGACTCCATTCTGATTCCAGTCAAGCTAAATCCTCACGGATCCTCTTCCACGGCAGTGTCACTCGTGTTTTTACGAGAATAATCACGACCATTCACTCGTCTGTGCGTCCCGTGAAGGGATTAGATCCAGTGTGTGCGTGTGTCCCTCTGAGCCGACCCACGCAGTCAATACCAGCATATCGGGCTGCAACCCAACGTCAGTCCACACCCACCGCCACACCGGTCTGACAAGTCCAACGCTGTGTTTGCCCACAGAACTTCCCCTCAGCTCTGTGACAGGGTGAAACCTACACAGCTATGGATGGAATTCAACACTTGCACTTGGTCCCCATTGAGACGTTGATAGGTTTAGGTTAAATGTCGGCTTTACATATATCCCTCATGCACAACTGAGTGCTGTGATTCGCGTTGGGCGTTGCCTCGGTGTGGTACAGACCTGTCATTCATACTTTGCTTCAGCCACTCCCCTCCAGCTCCTTACACTTAGTGTTCAAAGTGTGATCAGTCCCACAGGTCTTCTGTCCTTCTTCTGAGTAGGCATTCACACTGTAGCGTTGACTCAAACAGTAATATGTGCAGAAGCAACAGCTCAAAGCTATAGCAGGTGCTGGTCATCACGCGTGCTTAGCCCACCTTGTGTGAGCCAACAAGGTCAGTTTTATGTTGTTGTTGTTGTTGGTCCAACTGACATGTCAGGATGAAATTGTGTTTGTGAGCATTTCACACAGAAGCTCTTGCTGCTGCATGGCCTTTAATGTACATGAGGGGGTGCAGACAGAACATCGTCGCTGTATGCCAGCCTGTAAGCATGAACTCTCATGCCGGGGCTTGTGGGTGAAAAGAGACGCTCTGTTTGGCGAACCCACGAGAAGCTCTGAAGCGCGCTCAACAATCGACCTCTTTGATGATCCCACTTGAGTAGATGTTTCTGGAGTCTCTGGAATCTTTGCCTTGTTAACAAAATGTAGAATGTCTTTCTAGAGGATCTGGAGAAACTTGTCTTTTTGCCTGCGGCAACACACTTCTCACGAATTAGTGCGCCTCACGTGAGACTATAAAAGGCTGCAGAAATCCTCTAGTTGAAATAATTATAACATATATATATATATTTTGAAAGAGGTATATTTGAACTCAGCCCATCTGAAGGGGAAACAAGACACGTCCTGCAATAAGAGCCAAGTACATCATCATACAAGCACTCAGTGAACATACACACAATGAACACTGGCAGGATGTGGTGCAGCAACTGTGGTGAGGTTCATGTTTTATATGTGTGCATGATCCTATATACCTTCATGCTTGATATGGATCAGAGAGGTCAGCTAATTGTTTGAAATATAAACCTTTCCCACTGTCCTATTTCAGTGCAGCCCCAGCTTTGATAGAACCATAGAGGCAAAAGACAATCTTTTCTTTGTCATGTATAGAAAGTGAAATCAGAAATGTTTGCCTAGTGGTTTTGACATAAAAGCTATCTCAGATATCTATCCAAATAATCAGATGTTTTTGTGCACGTTCTCCCTGAAAGCTTGGCTGAAAATCCTCCCCCAGCCTTTCTGGCAAAGCCTTCAGAGGTGCTTTTCACTGACTACAGTGTGGGACACGTTTATGAGGTATGTTTCATATTTTACACAAAACGGAAAGCTTCTTCTCAAGGAGTTGCTGTGCTGCCCCATGGCCTTCCCTGTCCTATCCCGGACCACTCTGGTGCTGGAAAAACCTGATCATGTCTTTTTCAGTCATCGCCCCACAGCGGACGCGCCTTTAGCTGTTGCTATGGAAACCATGGGTACACAAACATGGCGGACACCATCGAGCGCCGGACGTCTTTGCTAAACTAGCCGCTGTGTGTTTGTAGGCTCATCTAAAGCATCGTTTAGTCATTTTAACTTCACGAGTGGGCGCACACACCATGCAAGACGAACCAGAGACGCGAGAAACATCGCGTCCCGATCCGTCCTCCGACGCTCACAGGCCCGCGTCGGGACAGTCACAGGTATGCGCACCTGTTGCTATGGTGACTGAGCCTCATTCCCTGTAACGACAAAGTAAAAGAAAAAAAACGACATCACGTTTTAAAACACGTCTCTGTCTCCTCTATCAGGACATTTCTCATCTGTTAGCGAGCGCTTTTAAGGACCTGTACACAAGAGACATCATCGGGAGAGACACTTTGTCCAGCCTGGTGAAGACCAACAAGGGGCGAAGCAGCCACCATGACACATATGTTGCAGAGTTGCAGCAGGTAACCCGACAACGGCATCGCTGACCAAATCAATAGAGGAAATCATGCAGTATTTATTGAGTTGAGTTATGTCATTTATTTCCAATCCGCACAGGCTCATTGTGAATACGACCGGCGTATAAAAGAGGCCGACATGCTGGAGAGTCACATCATCCAGGCCAGAGCGCGGGCGGCCACCGCAGAAAGCGCGGCCTATGAGAGAATGAAAGAGGAGATGGGGGGTGTTCGGGATCCCCGGACCCTTCTCACAGGTGTGAGGGAAACATCAGGAATTATCATGTCTTAAAAATGACCTGTAATTGAGCCCTGTAATTGATGTATTCACTGAATGTAAAGGGATGTTATTTGACGCATTTGTCTATTTTCAGTCAATTCCGCCTTTTCATGGTGTGTGGACAATGATCTTCTCAAAATGAACGGCCTGATTTCCCCCCAGGACTACTTACCTACACAAAAACCACAATATAGAGCCCCAGCACCAAGTAAATGACCCCCATTTTAGATTTATCCCAAAATATCATAGCCAATGTGTTTTGGCTCCATATTTGATTTATTCTTCTCTCATCAGTAAAATCGAATCCCGCCAAACCTACCATCGCCTACGCCATGCATGTGTCCAAAGAGCCTCAGGATGATGGGTATACTCTAATGCCCAGCCCAGGAAAGGTCGTCCAAGGAATGAACGAGTCAAAACGCAGCCCGACTCTCGACTCCAGCTCAGATATCGCAAAGAGTAAGAAATCTACCCGAGAGGTGAGGAGTCACAAGTTCTGAATCTGCAATTGTGAGTAACTCTGGGAACAAGGGGAGGCTTGATAACATCATTGTTCTTTTGCTGTGTTTCAGAGGGCCGACCGGTCTAAAGCCAGGCCAAAGTGGAAGGATGAGCCAAGCGCAGTGGATCGGGCAGAGGGATGCGAAAAACTTCAGAGGCTGAAAGATCGCCAGAACTTCCTACGCAATCCTCGCTTCCTTCCAACGAACGCACAGCAGGGTGGCACATCCCTCGTCCATCCCAGAACAAACTATAACTATAGTAACAGAAGGTCAGGTTCATGTTTTATATGTGTGCAGGATCCTTTATACCTTCATGCTTGATATGGATCAGAGAGGTCAGCTAATTGTTTGAAATATAAACCTTTCCCACTGTCCTATTTCAGTGCAGCCCCAGCTTTGATAGAACCATAGAGGCAAAAGACAATCTTTTCTTTGTCATGTATAGAAAGTGAAATCAGAAATGTTTGCCTTGTGGTTTTGACATAAAAGCTATCTCAGATATCTATCCAAATAATCAGATGTTTTTGTGCACGTTCTCCCTGAAAGCTCGGCGGAAAATCCTCCCCCAGCCTTTCTGGCAAAGCCTTCAGAGGTGCTTTTCACTGACTACAGTGTGGGACACGTTTATGAGGTATGTTTCATATTTTACACAAAACGGAAAGCTTCTTCTCAATGAGTTGCTCTGCTGCAGCATGGCCTTCCCTGTCCTATCCCAGACCACTCTGGAGCTGAAAAACCTGACTTCGGCGAGCCGCACTCTCCGAGTCATCGCTCCTACCACTCCTTACTTTTCTATTGGCCTGGGTGAGCCCTTTTTCTTCGTATTGGATCATACTGCTTCCTCATTCCTCATTCCTGTTCTTGTTGAGAATTACGTCATAATCAACCGTATTAAAATGTTAGTGGCTAAAAGGCATGCAAGATTCCCTGCAATCCAAATTGTGATCCTGTTTTGTTGTTGTACACAAAGAATTGTAACAAAACCTATAAGAAGATAAATAGCACTCGAGGGAACTCATGGGGATTAATATTAAGGTATGTCTCTGCAGGGAGATTCCCTGGTGAGGGTGGTGTGGTCGCCCCAGGGATGAGTTGTAAGTACACGGTGCGCTTCGCTCCGGAATCCTTGGGGGACTACGAGGACCAAATAGCGGTGGAGACCCATGCTGGACAACGTTTCTGGGTTCCCGTCGCAGCCAGAAGACCCCCCCCAATACTCACACGTGAGCGTCATGACGATCCACCAACCTCCCATCGTTGTCTACTGCTTTAATTGGTCCCCTGATTATTTTTGCAGTGCCAAGAGTTCTGGACTGTGGTTGTTGCCTGATCGGAGGAGTGCGATTTGTTGAGTTCTTGTGCCGAAATGTAGGCTTCAGCGCCGGGACCTTTTGCATCATCCCAAAGAACCAGTGGCCAGCCTCGAACCTCAGGGTAACAACCCATCTGACACATTATCTAAGACACGGTAAATGTTTAAGCTCCAATGACCTACATGGCGTTTTCTTTCCTTTTCTTCATATAGTCCGTGGCAAGGACTTTTTTCTGTGAGCAGCCGCCGTTTGCAATCGGCCCGACTCTTTTTGCACTTCAGCCAGGAGAGGCCACTGTAGTGGAGGCGAGTGTGTGGTGGAGGCTGTCGGGGGAGAAACAGAAAGTAGATTTTTATAGAAATGCACTCCTGAATAAATCCTCTGTATGGTTCAAATAACTCTCAGAGTGTATGTGTGTGTTTGCAGGTGGCGTTCTTTCCCATCGCTGCCGAGAGGAGCCGTCAGGCGTTCACTATTGTGTGTGACAACTGCCAAGTGAAAGACATTTCCATTGAAGGTGAGTCTTTTCAGTGACCAGGAAACTGATGAAGACGTGACGTGTGATATATTCACTGCGTTTGTTTAGTGCCTGTATTCCTGCGTCTCCCAGGTGAGGGCCAGCTGATTGCACTCCAGCTTCTGTCTGTATCTGGGAGGAAGGAGCCCCCTGTGGTGGCAGAGGTGCATGACCTCACTGCGGAGCACTTTGTCCGCTTCGGCCCGTGTAACCCTCACTCTGTGCAAGAGAAGAAAGTCACCATTAGAAACAATGTGTAAGCCTCACCCTCTGATACCTATATCCCCACCACGAAACGTGTATCCTGTTTGTATGAATGTTCCCCGTCTCTTCTCGAGTGCCGCCATCACGCGGGACGCTTTTTGGCCACAGGATTAATATAGTAAGAAGGGAGACCTCTTCAACTGGAGCACGGGGACTCAAGTGTTGGCAGGATTAAGTAATTGTGTCCTCGAGTGAGAAAGAAAGTACTGATTAGCTAAGAGACACGGGCTGCTGCTCTGCGCGCTGACCCTGCGCGGCGGCACAAGGGGAATAAGAGCCTCCCCTCAGGGATAATTAGATATCTCATTGAATCTCTCTCTCTCTCTCGTTCTCTCTCTGGGGCCGAAGCCACTTGGAGCTGCCTTTCCACTGGCAGATCGTGAAGCCAAAGCTGCACCCATTCCTTCCCGGGGAAACCCTGGAGTCTTCCCACGTCCAGGTCCACCTGGCCGCGGACAAGGTTTTCCATGTCAGCCCCCTGACAGGAGTCCTGCCCCCCTGCCAGGATCAAGAGTTTTTATTCACCTTCTGCCCTAAACAAGTACAGAGTACTCCAAAGACATAGCAGAAAGCAGTACTTTAATAACACAGTATTTATTACCTCACGAGTCTCCCGTTTGCAATCTAAGAGCTGATTTTTGTGCGTTTGTGTTTTCTGAAGTTGAAGGATTATCACAGTGTCTGTCACTTAGTCCTGAAGGATGTTCCCCATCTGCCACCAGATTCCACTGACAATGGGTAAATGTCCTGTGACTTTGGTAGAAGGTCATCAAATACAAAGAAGGCACATCACGCAGTAAAGCTGAGCACACTTTACCTGACAAAGAATTGGGGTGTGTCCGTGTGTAAATCTAGTGTTCTTCAGCCCGTGCGCATCGGGGCTACCGCGGGCGATGTCATCGCCATGGAGATAGAGGTGAAGGGATCAACAGAGCCGTACCAGGTCCTACTGGAGCCCTACGCTGTTATTATCCCCGGGGAGATTTTTATTTCCTCCACCACCCGCAGGAAATTCAAGGTTTATTTAAGTCACTTTTTCTTTACTATAAATGACAGATATTCAAATATGTCGTCCCACAATCTCAGATAATCCTGCTGGTTTCTGTGCCTTGTGTGTTTCAGATGTGGAACCACAGCAAAACCTGCATCTTTTTCCAATGGGAGAGAACGAGCAGCAGCAGCCACATAATGGAAGTGGAGCCCCCTGCTGGCAGCATAGGTGTGTCACACAGTACAACGCAGAATAACATTAACTGGCTTGAATTGGTACGAATTGTAAACGCAAATTCATGTAGTTCATTTATCGTTTTTTTTTTTTGTTGATCTGTCCGTGGGTCAAGAGGAAAACGAGTGTTTCGATTTCGACCTGATCTTAAGTGGCGGGAAACCAGAGAAGGTTGTGACCAGCGTGGTCTGCCACATAGAGCACCGCCACGAGCCCGTCACTCTGCCCGTCGAAGTCTGCTTTAAAGTAAAAATCATCCTGAACGCCATCTTCACAAAATACTGTATCATTCTGAAATGCTAATGTGTTGCTGTGATAATAATAGATGCTGAGACCTCTTTGTGTCCCTCCTTTGACTTTGGTCAGGGTCCCACATTGACCCTCAGTGTGCCCAGTGTGGACTTTGGGCTCATGAAGCTCGGGGAGCAGACACACACCGCCGTGCTCCTGACTAACGTCACCCAGCTGGAGGCCTCCTGGACACTGAAGGAGCGGTGTGACAGTCAGCAGGACCACCAGGACGCACAGGTTCTACACACTGTGGAAGGCTGCAGTACGAAGCGAAACGTTTGCAACAAAATAAAACGGCATGTGCGCGCATCTCCGTGGCTTAGGTCTCAGTGGAACCAGGCGGAGGAGTGCTGCTCCCCTTGGCCTCTCGCAGGGTGGAGGTGCGATTCCGTCCTCGCGTCTGCCAGCGGTATGAAACAGAGCTGGAGCTGGCGGTGGAGAATGGAACCGGATGGTAAACGTCCGCCGTCCCCGTCTTTGAGGTGAAACCACTGCATCTAACGGAGGACGGTCGACCTCAAACGCCGCCCGTGTGTTTGTTGGCAGTCACCTGACGGTGCGGGCGGATGTGCACTCCCCCCGGGTGTGTCTGCTCAACTGCCGGCTGCTCTTCTCTGGACTCCACGTGGGAGTTCCCGCCGAGGCCAGCGTCACTCTCTTCAACCAGACCCCGCTGCCCTCACGCTTCAGCTGGATGGCACGTTTTGTTACCGCTTCATCTACTGCGAGAGGAATGAACGATGCGTTCATGGGAGAAACTGGTCTGCACTACTAATGTTTCATTGTCACCCTCCCCCCCCCACTAGGCTCAGCTCCAGGGTAAACAGGCCCAGATGTGTGCAGCCAGGTTTGAGCCCTCTTCTGGCACCCTGGGGCCTAATGTTAGTTTGCAGATCCGAGTACATTTCATCTCTCACACAGATGTAAGTATCGAGGTTATTAAAGTCCCAGTGGAAGTGAAGTTAGAGCGTATTTATTTTGTTTTACAGGGAGAAAAAAGAACAAATTTAGGTATAAAACCTTAGATGAAATACAAAGTGTCTTGTATTTTTTTAAATAGGTAAATAATATCACCGGAGGACTTGTCGCCTGAGTATGCGAACGCAAAGGAGGCAAACTGCACTTCTTGCTCTAATACTGTGATGTGAGCAGCAAAAAGATGCGCTGGTTCCATCTTTAATAACACTCTTCATATGTGTGTCTTTGTCCAGCTGGATCTGACTGAGGTGGCTGCTCTCTGTGAAGTCCAGGGGATGAGTTCTCCTCTCGTTGTTGCAATCACGGCTTCCAAAACCCAAACTCTCAGAGTGTCCTACTCACTGCCCACAGTCTGGTAGTCACCTCGTCTTAAAGTCTATTATCCACCTTCACTCACCGCACAGCATGAGTGTCATCTTTCTTTCTCCTTAGCTCTCCTCCAGATGGAGGCAGCCCCTCGAAACTGTTGCTTGACTTTGGCGGCGATGTCATCTTACGCCAGGCCGTAACCAAGCAGTTATTGATAACCAATGAAACTGCCATCGCTGCCCCTTTCCACATAGAGGCGGATTATTTCACCGGCCGTGCTTCGAAGCCAGATGTGCGGTCAGAGAAAAGGTAAAAGGAGCCGGCTCCCTAACCCAAATAATCCATTAAAGAAGTTACGGCGATGTGACACGTGCGGCATTTCAACCACAGATTGAGGTACGTGAAGAAGCCCCTTCACTCTGTTCAAGCCCAGAAAGAAGCAGAAAAAGCACTCGAGGGTGAGCTCAGCTTTTCATCACAGCATCACACATCGCACTTTCTGTGCGCGCTCAGACTTCCTGTATCCATCGGCAGAGTTTGTTAGCGGCCTGCTGGCTCACGGAAAAGGCGCAGCGTTCTTTGTCCGGCCAGACTCCGGCATGCTGGGACCTTTTGAGACCCAGACTGTGGATGTCACCGCCTACACGGACATGTGGGGCGAATACAGAGATCACCTCGCGTGCAAAGTAGGATCCCATGTGGCACAAGTGGCAGCTATTTAATCTTTAGAAAGTACTTTTCCTCTTCATTTCATGTTGAAATGTCATCGTCCCCCTTGTAGGTGGGGGACCTCCGGCCCACGTTCATTCCCATGCAGATGACGGTGACGGGCTGCCCGCTCTACTTCCAAGCGACAGGCCCACGGCCACACAGACAGAAGCAGGCTCCAGTAACGCAGTCGGTTCCCCCGCTCCTCCTCTCACGTTGAAACACGTGCGGCGATGGCATTATGTCTGCATCACTGGGACATTCCTGTTTGCGTCCTTAGGTTTGGCACTCACGTATCCGGGGGCAACGCGGCGTCTCGTTCTCTTCGCGTCAACAATCCGACCACGTTCGGTAAGTGGCAACTACCCACAATGCTCCAGGTGTTTTTAGACGCTCAACTGTTTTCTGAGAGGTTTCCTGAGCTGCGCCGAGGTCTCAACACGGACCATGTTTGTTTGTTAGTCTTTGCGCTGGTCTCGATACGTAGTCTACTGGGACCTCTCAAACTCTCACTGTCCAAGTTGTATAATCTAAACTCCACCAGACATTCGCTTGGACTGGGAGACATATAACGTAGAGCAGAATGACGATAAACTGGTGGACCTCGTGGTGGCGTACGGAGACGCATTCCCAGTTAAAGATGCTGATGGCAACGAGCTGTTAAGTGCGGCCTCAAGCGTCTCTGGTGGGAGCGTTCAAACAGCCCGGCAAAGAAATACGACCCCGGGTTCTGAGGGGACGAGCTCCTCCGTCTGTAGCGTGGCCGTGAGTACAATTTTAAATCGCAACACGGATGCATGAGCATAAACTTTAATGACTTTTGTGACGACGCCTGTGGGAAATTCTTGCCGCTGCGTTTGCGGCGAGTGAAGCCACATATCGTCGGCTCAAGCCGGCTTAATTCTATTGATTTCAGCGCGAGGAAGAGGAGGAACATGTGTCCGAGGATGACTGCGGTGAAGAGGAAACCCGTCTCTATCCCGCTCCTGCGAAGAAGAAATTGATCTCCGTTCGCATCAGACCTCACGTGGGGACCCTCTTGGATTACCCATACTGCCTCACACCCAAGCAAATGGTACGGCGATGAGACTTTGGCTAAACGAACCCACTTTGCCGCTCTGCTTTGAGCCACTCTTTGTTATATTTTTCTTCTCTCAAGGTGATTCCGGCAAAGAGCAGCAGCACCATCTGTGTGTCTTTCACTCCTTTGACTGTTTCCGGGTCGGGTTGCGAGGTCACATGTGCGGGCCTGGCTCTGGGCTTCATGAGTCTGGACTCCGAGGTGACAGCCTCCACGCGCAAAAACACTGTGTTTTCAATTTCGAATTGACCTAAACTTCCCTCATCATTGTGTTGTGTTTGTGAACAGGCGGCGGCCTGCGTCCCGGGTAAAGTTGGAAGAGCGCAGGGTTTGGATTTGGACCCTGTCAGAATGAATCTACTAGCAGCCATTAAGCCTGCAGCGTGAGCAATTACATTCATACCGAGTCCACAGCGCCCCTAAGGAATTCCTTAAATTAAAAAGAGCTGAGGTTGGGCGAGAGGTGGTCTGATTACGTTTTATATCTCCCCCCTGGCTCGATGCTGCTGCAGGCTGTTGGTGCAGATAGACGAGGACGACGGGGTGCTGGGCTTTCACGCCTCGGCAGGTGATTTAGTGAGAGCAGAATCAGAGGAGGTCGGTCTGACAAATCTACGACGCTAATCAAACGTCCCCCGAGACACCGCCGAGCGAGAATACGGTATCGACCGCTTTCCTGGTGTTTTCTTTCTAGCTGGTGGTTCGTGAATTTGACACCACGCGGGGCTTTCGGTTGAGAAACAACTGTGAAATGGCCCTACACTTCAGGCTGGAGACTCAGCCTCCCTTCAGAGTACTCGAGCAGCAGCTTCAGCACCGGGCCGGCGCCCGCAGCAACCCACCGACCTTTGACAGCCGCTTTCTGGTGCTTCACCCTCAGCAAAGCATGCAGGTGAGACGAGGACGTCACGTTGGGGATAATACAGACTTAGCATGCATTGGCAGGTGGTATGTTCCCCTGAAGGACTCTCTTTTCCCTGTGAATACTAGGTGACGGTGGCCTTCCGCTGCTCCCTGCCCCTTCTGGATCATGCAGACCAGGCAGGCGAGGAGGCCCCTCCTGGGGTGATGCTGATCCAGTGTGCAAGACGGGGAAGGAAGCTGAAGTTCCAGCAGAACCTCTTTATTCTCCACAGCAGCAACAGCCTGCAGGTGAGGAAGCTGCAGGAGATCCTAAACGCATCGGACGTAATGGCGTAACACGAGCTGTTGAACACTTGATTCCCTCCCTGCTCCGTGCAGACGGTGCCCCTCTGCGCCCATTTGTCGCTCGCCACAATGCGACTGTCCAGGGAAGGCGTGGACTTTGGGTTCTGCTACGTGGGGCAGACACGGATAATGGAAGTCAACCTCTGCAAACACGGAGCTCACACCTACTGGGAATCCGTTATAGGTATCCGCCCAACCTCCACATATTTCGGGGCATAAACAAATAGGTTGGACACATAGAATAGTCTTGGCACAATCTTTATTGCATCTGGAGTTTCGACCGCATCCTCTGAGGCCGCACAACTAAATGCCTGTTTTTAGGGTGATTGAAATACTCGCTTGCACAGAGACGTTTTTCGTCTCTGGCTGCAGACGTTTTACCCACAGGTTGCTCTATTGGCACTGGGCCTACGCGGCGAGGTGGCTCACTCCTCGGCTACATCCACCATCAAATAAAGAAAGGTTTTCGTTTGTTTTTGGGGAAAGCAAGTTGGTAGATTTACAATTTTTCTTGCGAGCATTATTGTTGAGCCTGTGGTTGTCTGACTCAACCTTCATTTTAATATAATCAGAGAGTTTAAAATGCAATTATTTCTATTTTGTTTGCTGTAATAATGAAATGGTCAATTATGAGTCATCCTCCCTGTAATTGCATTTTCTGTTGTGGTGTGTGTGTGTGTGTGTTTGTAGAGGCCGAGCAGGGAGACTCTGGTGCGTTCAGTGTGACTCCAGACTTTGGGCTTCTCGGCTCAAAGGAGCTCCACGTCACCAGCTGCAGTCAGTGCCTCCAGATCGGCTTCGCTCCCAGGTCACAAACCGCAGAGGAGTCAACCATCATGACCCCGATATCCAAAACGTGCTTGAGTTTGAGACGCCTGCATTTGATGTGTTGTAGTGAGGACAGAGAGTTCAGGGCCTCTGTGGTAATCCGGTCCCGTCTGGTGAAGACCCCCCTCCGTCTGCAGCTGCAGGGAGCGGGATCCTATGACGAGGTCTACAGGTCCAACTAGATCGCAGACACGCGATCACCGCCTGCTCTCCCCAAAGCAACCGGTGCATTGGTTCTTATGCAAGAATGTGAATAAATATGAAGAACAACTAGTCGGGTCTCTATCACTTTATTACATTTTGTTGGTAAGTAAATGATGATCTTGCCAGAGGTTTGCTGTCAATACAAGACAATACATTTAATGTGATGAGACTCAACTAACAGTTGACGGTCACTGAGTTACACTCACTCATTCTTTATGTAGACTTATTAATAAAGGATTTATACAATTAAATATGAAAGTGAGATCTGACACATGTAGTGCATGTGTCACATGTAATCAGCTGATATTAAACATGTGTGTACAATGCCATTAGCTATGTGTCACGTACGTATACATGTTATCAAAGCAGCACTGAATTGCCTCATTAAGAGACGTTCCAAATCTGTCTTTGTAACCACAGTAACAAGTCTTGATTTCTAGTCTTCCCCTAGAGTCCAATAAATCGAAGACAGCAGCAGGAAGCTCCCACTCGAGTCCCAGTGCACATGGACAAAATGTGACGAGCTCAGCAGACACTTTTCACAACAGGGAAATACAGGAAAGGATTATCAGCAAAGCCTTTTTAATGTGTTTTTCTTCTCTAAATGAGCTCTGGGGCTGTTTAACACTGTCTGAACAGATGGATGCAAATAACTAATTGCTATTATCTTCATCCCAAAGGTCCACCCAATAAAATATGATACACAAACTTATTGAAACTCACAATCATGAATTGGAATTGTGCACTTGGAACATCATCAGGTGATCCATTGTTTACTCAGGTTTTATCCGTCAAAACAATTCCACCGTTTTTTTCTCCCGTGGAGCTCACCTGACTGGTGAGTCCATATCAGCCCCAGTTTGCCCCGAGGAAAAGGGATTTTTTCCAAGAATACCTTTTTAACGAGGATGAAAAAAGTAAGCATAAGTGACAAACGTATTTGTGTGATTGCTTTTCATCAAACAAATGTAAATGTAACCCACGAGAAACACACACACGCACACAGACACACTGCCTGTTATTGTTCATAACAACAGCCTCTGGTGTTCATCTACTGCACAGAACTCAGAAGTCCTGAGAGGGACGCAAATGTCCAATTGATATTCAGCGCAATGAAGCAGGCTCACGTCAAAACACGTCTGATCACAACACAAGATGTCTGATCAATGTGTAGAGCTAATCTGAGGAGATCGACGCTGTGGACGAGGTCAGTGGAGACAGGATTTACCCAGATTTACCTTTTTGTGCCTGTTGTTCACAATGTTGGTGTACAGGCGGTCTCTTTTTGTAGCTTGAAAAGTCCTGGTTCCGTCTGACAGGATGAGTTAGAATACACTGCTGCATGGTCCGTTTCATTGACACGGCCCATTAGTCTGGAGCTTCCGTCATCTTTGTCGTGTCCTAACAATTTAGATTCTGTCAGCTAAAAAACTGGAATAGTAATATGTATATTAACCTTAAAGCACAACATACATACATTATCAAGCAGTCTAGCAAAACACAACCCTCATAGTTTTAACAATCCACGAACCTAAAATACATTTACTTTCTTTTTACTAAAGTCGTTGTGGTTTGTTGTATTACTCTATTTATTGAAGGAATGGAATGCAATATGTATTGTATTTTGTGTCATTTTTTTAGATGAGTTTTGTAAAAACGAATATAACCATATATATTATTCGTTATTATTGCTATAAGGATTTTTTTATTTAGTGTTTGTGTCACTACGGCATAAATAAATAAATAAATAAGAGCCGGCCTGTTGCAGCAGCGTGTTGTACTTGCTCCAGCTGTCCTCGGGGAGGCGCTGTTTCCCGCACTCTGACGCCGCCGCCGCCGCCTCGGAAACGCACCAGCGGCGGACAGCGTCACCGCTTCCTGGAGCTCACGTTGTTGATGACATCACAGGCGCTGACGATCCAGGGAGAAACTCGAGCTCCTCTCCGTAGTGTGTGTGTGGAGACCAGCAAAGAGCAAGCTGACAAAAAAAATAAAAAAAATAACAATAAACTTTCCTCCGGATCGCATCACCGGGCGTCGCGGCGTATTCCTCCCGGTAAACACGAGCCGAAGCGGAGCTCTTTCTGCACGAGCACAGCTCGGGTTTGTAATTCTTCAGCACTCAGCGCAGTTTCCGGAAATATCGTTACCACTGTTTTTTGGGGTGAAGATTTTTGCTCTGCATCTGCTGGGATTTTTTTTTTTTCGCTGTTCCCGACGTGTTTGTTCGTGATAATTTACTGTCGACCTGTTCATCTTCACTCGTCCTGCAGCCACAACCGCAACGCGGAGACACATTGATCACCAGGTAACAGCTCGCTCCTGATTTACTGCGTTTAGACTGTTATTTCCTGTTTATACAAAACGCAATGCCGCTACATTTCACACTGTAAAGTTGCTCGTTTGTAGTTCAATCAGCTGTTCTAATAAAACGACCATGCTGCAAACTTACTAAATAGTACTTCATGCAACTGTTACTTTATAACCACAGATGTATTTCATTTCATGTATTTATTCAGTATGATCATTTGGATCAGTAGAGGCACACAAGTGGCCCCATATTTAGAAGAAGATTCGCTAGTTAGAAGATTTTTTTTTGATAAATTCATCTTTTGTTGCTCGAAAACGTGTTTGCATTTTTTTATTTTTTTATTTTTTGCTTACAAGTGAGCAATTCCTGTCCGAATCCCTTTTTTCACGTGCTTTTAACAGTGTTTTGTGCTTCTCATCATGTCTCAGTAACTTCTGGGAAGTCGTTGTCATCTTGTGCCCCTCATTCATGTCCTGCGTCCGTTTTGTTCTCTGCTGTCACCCTTCCAGGCCTCTGTGACTCAGTGAGTCCGTTAAGCCGCCGTTTTCCTTTAAAGGAGAAAAGGCAGCGCTCTGAAAAGTCCTTCGCGTGTTCCTATTTGTTTTTCCCCATTTTCAAAGTATTTTTGAGTCCAAGCTGCTCGCCTGGTAAAAGTGAGAACGATGCCGGTGAGCTTCACCAGACATTCCTGCCGGGGGACCGACCTCTGAGACGAAATGAGTCTTTAATCAGGCCATCATGTTCATCGAACCAAACCAATGTGTCTCCAGCAGCCGACTGAGGGCCCCCCCCACCCGGCGTGCCCCAGGGGCCTCAGAAATAGTGAGAGTCAAACCGTCAAGTGGAAGCCGCCCCCACAGATATGCTCGCTGTGCCTGAAGCAGAACCATCCGCTTGGCTGATAGCGGGACTGGATCCCAGTAAACACGGCAGCCAGCAGCAGAATCAACGGGTCGCTAATTGTGTTTTGATAGTACTAATGGGGGAGAGTTTACGCGGGGGGGTTAACCAAAGTGAGAGGAAGTTGCCCCCCCCTTCCCCGACCCCCCCTTCCATTGAGAGGGGCGAAGTGGTGCCGTCATACGCCGAATTCACTCAGAGAGCCTCGTTGCTCGCCAGACGCCCACTGACCAGAGGGCTGGAGGTGAAAGGTTGCGGTTGACTCATAGAACGGGGCCTATTATCTGCCCTCAAAGGACGTTGCCTGGTTACACCAGTCAACAAAACACGTTTGCCATTACGCGCCGTCGCTCGTTAACGTGGATTATTGGTAAATAACCGCGCGTAGCGTCTCTCTCTCTCTCTCTCTCTCTCTGAGCTCTTGCTTTGGAAATTCCTTCACTTTTTAAAGATTCTGCAGTTGTGTTGAGAGCACAGACTTGAAGCTTTCAAGAAAAAGGCAAAAACAAATGAAAAAGCTGCTGATTGCATTCTGGGAAATGTAGGAGCCGGCCTCTTAGGAGGTTGACCGAGGACAAAACTAAGGAAATCTTGGCCTCTGCTGCCTTGGCTTTCGCCATTTTTCCTCCCTGATCTGCTGTCCAATTGGTTAGCCGGAGGGGCCCTTTCCATAACTCTTTAAGCATTAACCCATAACTACAAAGCAAACCCGCTCTATTGATTCTATTGATACCTGACGTACATATGTGACACAAAGTGAGCTCAGACAAACCTCCTTTCCTTCCATCTCCGTTGCAATAAGTTAAATATTTGCAGACCAAATTCTTTTCTCGGGACATAATAAACAAAAGGCCACATGTGTTAAAACCAAGCTGTTAAGTCCAGGGAATCCTTATTATTATTATTATTATTAATAATTAGATAGCATTGGTTTGGAGCCCGTCGGAGAAATTAAAAAACAAGTAACCGTCCTCTGTCATCTGCAGAACAAGCAGCAACTATTTCTTCCAGCGATCAGAGCCGCGTGGCGATGGAGAGACACTCGAGTAAAACCAAAGAAAGCCTCCTCCGACCTCGCCAGATGGCTCAGCGGATTCCGAGCATGAGAGGGAAAAAAAAAAAAAAAGATGTCCAACAAGACTAAAAATTGGGCTCTAATTGCCGAGTGCCGTGTCTGGCACAACCGAAATAACCAGCCACAAGCTACCGAAACGGGGCGAGGACAGGGCGGGGGGAGGAAATGAGCCGGGACACACACACACAGACGCCTCCCTGAAGAAGAAGGTGGCAGCGATTCACTGAGAAAATGCTGCACTTAATGGTCGATTTTGGCACCGCACGAAACACGGGTGTGCAAAAGCCGGTCGCGGGACACCCGAGATGACGTGAAGCAGCTCCTGCTGACTGCGTTGGGAGCGCCGGAGTCCCGTATCTAACGTGACGTTTTATTTTAAACCGCTGCAGAAATAATAACAGGTTATTTCACGAAGGCTAATCGCAAACCATTGTGGCTCTTGAATCGGAGCCCAGCAGGAAGTAGAAAGTGAAGGCGTCCGACCGGTTCCCCCCCCTACCCCTCCCCCCTCTGACCTCCCCTCTGCTCTACACAAACCAAGAGGAAGTTGTCCTGATTGAGCTTTGTCTGGCGCGGCCCGTCTGACCGTGAGGACAAAAGCCGTCAGCGGCAGAGACGGCGAGGACGGCCGGATAGACACAACACACCGCCGGCCCGGACTCGTACAATAACACTGAGGCCTGAGGTCAAAAGCCCCGAAACCGGAGGCGTTCTCCGCGGATGAAGCTTCGGTGGCGACTTTGGCGGCTTGTGTCCACGACGCCTCTCGCGTGGCTGCGTTTGGGTGGAGAGAGACAACGAGTCCGTGCGCTTGTAGTTGCGTGTCTCCGCATGATGGAAAGGGCAGCTTCCTTTACAGATTGTGCGATGCAGGCGGTGGATGCACTGTGTGGACAGCAGGAGAATCGCTCCTTCAGTTGGCTATTTTTAGCCGGTGCTGTGTGGTAGATGATAATGGCAGATCTACTTATCTGACCATGGAGCCATCACTTTCACTGAGGAGGATCCTCTTACGCTGGAGTCCCGTTGGTGCAGGTGGAAGGCAGTAACACAGCCAATCCAGCAAGAAAAGCATTGACACTAGGGCCCAAACTTAGAATCCATTAAATGTTTAAGTCACATTTGGTCGTTCCAGATCCTTAAATTAGAGGATTTGTTGTTTATCTCTGAAATCTTTTTTTTAAAATTGGCTTCTTTCTTTGCCAAATAAAGCAAGCGATTCCAAGGTGTCTCGCTGGGCTTCGGGTGATTAATGAGGCACTTTTTTAAATACTTTTCAGCAGAGAGCACGTTTGTCTACCAAACTCTTGTTTTAAGACTCTAAAAGAGAAATGTAAAGTCCACAGCCCCATAGCAGCTCTGTGAGAGCATCCGCGCTTTAGCGAAAAGCCGCGGCATGCTGACATGCTCACAAGGACAACGCTAATTCTAATCAGTCCTGCAGGTGATTTGTCAAAGGCTCGGGGAAAAACAGAAACATTTGTCCTCGTGATGATGCTAGATGAAACTTTTAGTGGTCACTTAAGTTGTTAGAAGGCATCAGCTGGTAATCATGAATGTCTGCACCAGATGTGCCAGTGTTCATCCAGTAAATGTTCAGACATTTTACAGTGGAGATTTTTGACCTGCTGGTGGTACGAGATGAAAACAGTCCGATGAGTAGCATTCATCCTCAGAGATCATGAATGTCTGTCCAAAACGTGGTAAACGCCAATCATTGAAATATCTCAACAAATACTTCATGGATTCCCGTCCTGCTCATGGACTTTTTTCTAGACTTGCTCTATTAATAGTTGAAACAAGAGATACACATCTGCAAATCATGTCATCAAATCAGAAGGGGAACTTCTTTATTTGAATTGAAACATACATATGTCATAGGAAAGAGTTATTCAGCCTTGTGTCCCACTGGAGGGGGCGGACGTTGCATCTCTTGTGCAATAACTCCTGTGAGACGAAGCGAGAGGAGCCAAGGTTGTGATCTATGAGCTCGGAGGCCCCACGTGGAGTGAGTTTTTTTTTTTTTTTTGCTGCCCACGCGCTCCTTCCGCCCCCCATAAATCCTCCAAGTGCCTCTCTGTATAGACGACTGTGGGAAGTCGCCCTGCACACACAGTTATCTGATTTCCCAGCGTGAGCCGGCTGTAGGGCTCTGACTCATGTGGCCACAGCGCAGCGTTGGCTAGCGTTCAGCGGACGGGACACCGTCACCAACACCACCACCACCACCACCGCCCACCTCTGACCTTATAAAAAGAGTAAGTCACCCAGAGATCCACCGATCGCCCTTCACTCTCCGCCTGTGTTGCAACTCCCGACAGTCTAGCGGGTGTTGTGAGCGGCTCGACGTCTCCTCGTGATACCGGGCCTGGGACGCATTACATGTGATCTCATCAGCAGAGCAGAATTCGCATTGTTTTGTTTTGGATACAGCAGCGTCAGCAACACGTGACGTGTGATTGTTAAAGGAGCACGCCATTGTTTTGTTTTTTTTCTTTTCTTTGCACAACGCGCGATGACGTCCTTTTGCATTCACAGCTGGTCCTTTTGTCCGGTGGCTAGATGTCAAGATTGACACGTCTGTCCCGACTGCAATCTAGACATGGAGCTAGGAGCTAGCTGGTCAGCTTAGCTTAGCTTAGCGTCAAGGCTGGAAAGAAGACAGCCCGGCTCTGTCCAACGGCAACAAAGTCCATAAGATTCTCCCCACGTCTTCTCAAAGTGCTTTGAACAGTTCCATGTCCTCATCGAACAAACTCTCACAGGTGTCCCCCCCCCCCCCACTGGTTTCTGTGGTTCCCGTCATGGTGCCGTCTGTTTTGCCGCGTGATGTCTGCTAAAAGGTGGAGAATGGAAACCCTGCGAGGCCAGCGAGCGCGTTTGCATAGTGCTTCACGCCACGGCAGCTGGAGACCAGGCCTTCCACTTCCCTCGTCCAAAGTGGGAGGGGAAGACAGGGCGTTGGGGGGGGGATTTCCCCTCAGAGACCGGCGGCCAACATTGCGCCGTTTTCTCGGTGAGGGAGTGATGTAACAGAGCTGAAAGAGGCCAGCGAGTGTGCGCGCACGGGGCCTCGGTTTTTTTAATAGAAATCAGAATGCAGTTTGTGGTTTGAGGAGCTCAGCCCGTCCTCGTCTGTCCCCTTCTTTTTTTAATTAACTTCCTCCGTCACGTCAGCCCTCGTGCTGTGACAAAAAAGGGAGACCTCTGCCAGTGAGGCGTTGGGCCAGACTCTCAGAGCACATCTGGACGCGGCGAGCACGCCGAGGCCCGTTTTCGTCTCACGAATCCGGTGTGGGGAGAGAGAGAGAGAGAGAGAGAGACGTTGGGCCGTCGCCGCCTCGGGGGAGCGAGAGCGAGCGGGCGGCGATTTAGCAATCTGATCCACCAAAACCTGCCGCCTGCCAAAGGGCCGCCGGGAGAATCGGGCCGGCGATCTGTGGGCACCGCGAGCGTCGCGTCCCGCCGGGCGGAGCGGCGAAGCAGATGGGCCATCTGGTGACTCGCTGGCACGGGACGGGGCTTCTCTGCCCGCGTGTGCGTGTTAGGAGGCCACCTGTCTGCTGGCTGTTCATCTCTTTCATGTACGGTCAGCAGCACCATACTAAAAACAGCCTGACACTGAGCTTTTTTGGGGGGGGGGCATATTGTACACAACAATCCCTCTTTTGCACCCTGATATCAGTGCGTTAAAGTGCGTTTTGGGGCTCAATTTAAGTTTGACCGTATTTGGCGTTTGCGTTGCGATGCATTCAGAACGCCCTGCTCTTGGAAAGTGATCCTGCTTGAACATTTCTGTTGTATTAACTCTATTAACGGACTCGGGCCCTCGGGCCGTAACGTTGCCGTCTGTGTTGCTTTTATGAAAAGTTTTCCTTTATCGTTTATTGGTGTCGAATGTTTCCCGTAAAAGACACAAGGACACAAACAACATGGGGACTGGGGAAAACAAAACGTAAACCTTGATATTCACGGCCTCTACAAACTCAATCTGCCATACGAGTTTATATACAGACACTTTATTCATCGTCAATTTAGAATTTCTATTTTTTTTTTCTCTCCATAAGCTTTTTACGATTCCTCCTACAAACGATGAGCTGATTTCATAGACAGTAAAGTGTCATCTGCTCATAATGGGCTCATGTTACAAGAATCTAATGGTGAGTCATCCGTAGAGTATCTTTTAAAGAAGCCTTTATTCTCGCAAAGAGGCCTTTTTGGCTCCTGCAACGGCCCGTCGGTCACAGTTGGTCTCTGCGGTTGACGCTCTCTCACAATACACCAGAAGAGACCGTTTAATATGACGAGCTACTGGACTGCGTTTGCTCCTCTTCCCCTTTTTCTCTTAAGCTTAAATTGTAAGAAAAAGTCTCCCACGGTTTTTGTGTGTGAGACTTTTTTTTCCGGATGTGACATTTTCCGTATTTAAACTTTTCGCTGAACTCTTTTCTATGAAATGCTGGTTTGGTCGTGAGCAGCGTGAAAGGGGAAGGAAAGTCGTTTTTCTTGATGTCATCAGCGGAACAGAAAGAAACCGAGCCAAAAGCGATTTCTCCATTATGGGATTGGACAAACGCTTCTTCGCTCTCCATCTGAACGCACAAAGAAGGCTTCGTGTCATCAGTGCTCGGGTTGTCATGTTGTTATTTGTTTCCCAGGAGTTAAGAAAATAAAATAAAGTACACGCCAGGATACACTGCTGGTGAAATAAAGATTATTAACTCACAGCTTTGTGTTGAAACTACCACCTGCGTCCTGTTTTGTCATTGTTTTGTTTTTTTGTGCGATCATGTTATGGCCGCCGAGCTGAAGGAAAGTGCCGCAGTCCTTGGATGTTGAAACCGGCTTATTTTTGTGTGGTTTTTTTGCTCTCAGGATGAAATCTTCGCTTGCAGAGAGAAGAAGTTGAGCTCTGGGCTCGAGTTCAACGGGGCCACTTCCTGATGATGACAGTAAATATGGGTGAGTAGCGTAGCGGTATAGCACTGTACATACAGAAAACACACACACACACACACACACACACCTCGCACATCCTCTGGCAGAAACACAACGGAAGAAACTCAACACAAAACGCCTGTTTTGACCTTGCTTGTTTTCGCTCTTTTTAAACAATGTTGTATTCCTGTTTTTGTACTTTTATTAGTTGGCAAAACTCGAGGTGCACACAATGCTCCCTTCGAAATAATAAGTGTACCGCTGGTGCACATCATATTTATATTCACACCTACCAAGCCTATTATTCAGTTGCACAATTCAAGCAATACAAAATAAACAGACACTACAGAAATACTGAATATCACTGTGAAGCAAAAAGCCAACTTAAAGCTTCCACCAATATATTATTAAATTATTTTACAATCATAAAACGGAATATGCGTCCGATAGACAACAAAAGAAAAGGAACATACACATTACTGTTATGCAAAACCATTCCCCAACACTCAAGAGAACAGTTTCTGTGCATACCACAACCCCAACAACAGAAGGACCTGTAGTGTGTTTGCATGTGCACGGGTACTGTTGGCTTCGGCAGTTGGAGACTAAAGTTGTCGTTAACTGACCACTGTAAACAAAGCTCCGAACATGGAATCTGTACTTGCTGGTCTGCGCTTACGATTGGAAACGAAGAACAACGCGCTACTTGCGCACCGCAACTCGGCCCTTTTATTTTTGACCCCACTGAGATCCAAAACCGCGCTGTTGCCTTTGTTCCCGCAGATGACGGTCTCCAAAATGGACCGGGACCGCACAGGAACTCGCAAGGTAAACCTTTTTTTTTTTTTTTTTATTGTCTTGGATGAGAAATCAACATGACTGCAGTTGGTTGACCTCTTGTGGAACACGGTGATCCTCCTTCCTGTCAGAGGACGGTTGGTCAGTCTTATTCCACGCGGCGTTAAATTGAGCAGTGTCGGTGGGGGTCGCCGGCGTTCCTGCTGCTCTCTGGGGTTATTGCGCTTCGGCTCAAAGACCAGTAACAAGTATCACTAATTTATACTTAATATTTAACGCTGACGCAGCAAACTTTAGGCGTAAATAAAAAGGATAATTGCAAATGCGCGTGTATTTGAAAAGCCTCTCCTTCAGTGCACCGAAAGTCGTCTCTAAGAGCTCGCTGCCGACCAGTGAAAGTGTGCATGTGCAGGAATGTCGCAGACTTTAGATGCTGTGTAGGAATGATTGCCGACATTCTCCGGGCGAAGGACTTTCGGTAGAGTCCTTGTGCAAACATTGATTGTGCAATTCTCACACGCACACCGCAGCGTACCGTACTTCACAGTAATTATTCTCACTGACAGATTAACTTCAGGGGTTTAAACGTTACACCCATTAGTCGCTAAATTATCTGTGTCGCAGTTTCGATAACCGGCAAGGTGTGTAGAAAGAAAATGATCCTTGCTTAATGTGTATCTACGTGTGTGTGTGTGTGTGTGTGTGTGTGTGTGTGTGTGTGTGTGTGTGTGTGTGTGTGTGTGTGTGTGTGTGTGTGTGTGTGTGTGTGTGTGTGTGTGTGTGTTGTGCGTCAGAGCATCAGCCCGTGGTGCAGATTGAGGACACATTTGGCTCCAGCTGCTGGTGCTGCCGGATGCCTTTGCAATGATGTGTCTCTCTGCACCAGGAAATCCCCACAATGTCTTCATTCAGGCTCCACACACACACACACACACACACACACACACACACACACACACACACAAAGATTGTTAGCTTGCATGTTGCAGCACTAGCCTCTGGAACCCAGTGGTCGTTCTGTTTTTTGGAGACAGCTACAGCTTTTTTTTCCCCATTAACACAAAACAGGAATCTTTTTTTTCTTCTGTGCGGCGGAAGAAATATTCTTTTTGGCGGGACCCCGGCTCTCTTTTGGGTATAAAAATTTTTGTGCCGAGATTTTCAGATTTTGTTCCACACAGTCCTCTTAGATATTTTGGAGGGTCAGCCGGAGACCCCCCCCCCCCCCCCCCCCCCCCCCAAAAAAAAAAAACATCTCATGATGCAGGAGTGATGATGCAATGCGCAGCAATCCACCTCCATTGTGTAACATCGCTCAGTCTGCTGAGCTTCCTGGAATCCCCCCTCCTCCCCCCTCCCTCCCCCTTTTCTTACGCGTCACTTTTCACCCAAGACACAAGAAGAAGGCCAGGAGAGCGGAGATGAAGGTACTTCTGCCCGTCCAAATACCAGACGGCACATTCTCAGCCGTCCTCTCTGGCAACGTCGACTTGGGTTCTTTGAGTTCCTTGCAATCGTTTTTCTTTTTTCTTTTTTTTTTTTCCACGAGGCTGCTGCTGGCAGCGACGCGCGAGCTGGTCGCTTTCCACTGCGATGGCGGTTAGCCTTGGCTGGCCTCGGCCTGGCAGCAGCCAGCGCCGCCGCCGCCGACCAGGCCTCGGTGATGTCAGGAAATGAATTCATACGCCGCCGCTGCCCTGGCTCTGTACGCCACCACGCAATTCTCACACTCTCTCTCACCGCCCCCTTTGGCCCAGCCGCCCCTCCGCCTCTCGCCCTCTGCTTTTATCCTCGTGGGTCACGCGCACAGAAACACGGATGCACGCGGGCTGCTGTTTGTTTTGTATCCTTGACAGTCCGGAGCGCCGAGCCTGCAGGCCCGACTCAAGCAACGCGTGCAGAGAGAGCGAGGCAACGAAGGCTGTTGCTGCTATTCCTTAACAATAATTAATGCACACGCTTCTTGCCGTGCAGTACAGTGGCAGCGTGTGCCCCCCCCCCCCTCACCGTTGTCTGTCTATGACCGACTCAATTTGAGAAGCCGTTCATCTCCTGCTGCGGAACGACGCGGTTAGCCGCGCTCCGCACTCGGAGCAGAGAGACGGTGACTCAGTTCCGTCATGTCCGGGGGGAAGGAAACGGGCCCCCGTCGAGCCGGTTAGTCACCCGGCGCTCCTGGGCGGCTCGCGTTTCGACGGACGTCCCCCGTCCTCTGCGAAACACTCAAGATGTCCCTTTTTGTCTGTTCTCCCTGTGGCTCCTTTTTGTCTTATATCTTGACCTCACCTGAACTTATCGCGGTCGCACAAGCCGCTGCCACGGAGGGGAATGTGCTGACGAGGTCGAGCCTACGCGATTGTCTCATAATTATAGTTAATTCTCAATCATTTAGTTCTGGTGAAGGTGCTTTGGTTTGCTTCTGTTAGTGTTTGCTCAGAGGGCTGAGCTTTTGTCGGCGTGTCCCTCACTTATCGCTCTGCCTTATTTATCTTCTCTTTAAGTGACGAGAGTGCGCCGGCGTTCTGAAGCTATATTGGGACCGTCAAACAAGACGCCCGCCACTCTGCTGATGTGGTTTGACCGCGATTTATCTCAGCTGTAGGTTTGAATTCACCCGAACAGAGGCTGTGGCTTTCCAGCGAAACCAACACTATGGATGAAGGTTATTCGATTGAAGCTGCATTTAAAGTGAGATTATGCAACTTTTAATGGACGACATTGTCCTCTACTTTGGAATTAAAAGGTTATAATATGTCTGTAGCTCATAGTAGCTAAAGCTAGGCTTTCATTAAATTCAAATTAACATGAATTGCAACCACGTATATTTGTGTCTTTCTTTATACTTGGACATTCCTAATGTAGGAGTGTAAATCTGTGTTTGTGTCTGTGTGCGTTGACCTCTGGGGGGGAACGAGATCAAATCCGTCTCCGACCACATCTGCTCCCCGTGCTGCTATCAAGGACCTTCACCGTGGTCTTCCAGACACACACACACACACACACACACACAGACCCTTTTTATTTTCCAGAATGTGGTCCCTTTCCGGCAGGTGGTGTTTGTGCTGCGTGGCACACACCTGGTGTGTGTGTGAATGTACCCGGGGCTCATCTGAGAGGCAGCCAGGAGCTGAGGTCAACGACCTCTTCTTTATATTGTAATCACTGCACTCACATAATTGGTTCTATCAAAGTCTCTTGATATGGTAATGTGTGACATGCTCATCTGCATGATTGCCCCCTTCAGATACGAGCGAGCGTGTGTGTGTGTGTGTGTGTGTGTGTGTGCGCGTGTGTGTGTGTGTGCGTGTGTGTGTGTGTCAGACAGATTGAAGTGGGAGATGAGGAGTGAGAAATGGGAACACGGGCTAGTTGTCTCTCCTGCACTCGCAGGTTTCGCTAAATGATTTTTTTAAGGGTTTAATGAACGCTGTGGACCTGCTCCCCTGAGGGAGGGCGAGGTACAAATTTGAAACGCACTTGACTCGGCGTTTGGCGAAAGAAGCGGATCAATCTTTCGTCTGATTTACGGGAGGTGCGATTTCAAACAAATGGCTTAGTTCCCGACGTCTCTCTCCGTTTGTTCGAGGACGAAAGAATAAAGTGGATAATAACAAAGCTCCAGGCCACACACACACACACACACACACACACACACACACGTGCTGCATTATTAAACAGCCTTTTTGCAGTGCAGAGCTCGAGAACCGCCAGCATCGTTAAGTTTATCAGAATTGCTGAGTTTGGCACGCGCACAAGAGAAGACCCCCCCGATATATTTTGCCTTTCTCTCCTCCTCACGGGACAATATGTTGTTTTGGTTATATAAGAGAGAAACCGCTGGATTCTTTCCAGTAGTGGAAACTCACTACGCAGATGGCACCAGAACAGGAAGTAGCAGACCAGGTGTTGCCTCATCGGCCGGCCTGAGCCAAACCCGAGCGTGGCGGTGCCTCCGCGAGGCCTCCGTCGCTCATCCGCCGCGTTCTAGTTGTCGGGCGACCGTGGAGAGCGAGTGCCACTCGTTTCACCGAAGCTCCGGCTTCGCTGACGTCTTCTTGTGTTTTCAGATGACGAGGAGGCGCTGAACTCCATCATGAAGGACCTGGCGGCCCTGGGCCGCTGCTTCACCCAGCAACACGGCCACAAGCCCAAGAACAGGAGCGTCCTCTACAAACAGGTAGGCGGGCTTCGCCACGAGGCGACGCTACATTCGAAGCGTACCCCGACATCGACCTCTGACCTCCCCGCAGGCTTCAAAGGATTAGTGGTATTACGTTGCAAAACCCAAACCTCAGCGTCGCTCTCCCTCAGATTCTCCTGTAGTGTCGGAGCGGACGTAACCCGTTTTGCGGACGCCGATGTGACACCGGGACGCTCACGTACGCTTGCAGGCATGCGAATCCTAGAATGGGCTAAATAAAGCTGACTTGCAGTGTAGCGTACGTAGCTGAAGGGCTATTTTGGCTTCGCTGGCGCTCCGACTGGTCTATTCTGACAAAGACAAATCACGTCGAAGTATCTTGAGGCTTTTTTAAGAGATCGCGTTCACAACAGGATTTTATTTCCCTCAATCACCTTGTGCCTCTTACTGGAGTGGTTTCCTTTCGCGTCGGCTCCCCCCCCCATGGAATGATAATTGGCAACTGCTCTTGAAGTGCCGATGTTTATGACGAGCCATAAACAAACGGCGCGGAGCAGATACACTTTGGAGCAAACCCGTGCTCTTTTTTTTTAAGCGGTCGCCCGCGTTGCTGTGATGTCACTGCAAGCTTATCACCATGACCTCATGCAGACTTCCAGGCTCCTGCGGATTCCTGTTGCCGCGGGTAATGACTTCGAAAATGGGAACCTCGTAATGTGTAATGCCGTCTTTGGAGTCAAGTTGAAGGAGCTGTATTCTTTGTACTGCAGGACAAAGTTTCGCCAGTGACCCTTTAAAATACGTTCAAATTATAATTCACTTAAATGCCAGTTTATTGCTCTCATCCGCTCCGGTCCCACGTTTTGACTTTCCACTGTTGTTATTTTCCCCCTCAACAGGATTTAAGAGTCAAGCTGGAGCACGAGAGAGAAAAACGGTATGTTGGAACGTCCGTATTGTTTTTTCTACTCCTCTGTCCAAACCTTAACGGGTCTTTTTTGTTTTGCTTCGCCTCGCCTGGGATTTTTAGTGTCTCGTGGAAATCCCAGTTACATGCCAGAGCGGCAGAAAGCGAGGGAAAATTCCTGCTTTGACATTTAGCCCGGGGGGGGGCCCTTGTGTTTTCAGGCCCGGACGGGCAGTTTGAGAGGGGTAAAAGTGAAGGCGAGAAGGGCCCGAGCAAAAAGACAAGTGTCCAGTGCTCCAGGGACGGCACTCCCCGAATTAATATTTAATCCCTGCGTGTTTACGCGTGCCTTCTTTCGGTCTTTCCACATCCTTCACCCGCCAGCCAACGACCGTCCTTCACACCACCGGCCTCAACAAGCAAAGCGCGGCTACATTAAAGGCCGGCGAGCTGTTTTCCCGCCAAGGTGCCTCACTGCACGTTTACCACGTCAGAGCACTTTAAAAGCTCAGGACGCCCAGTAAAAAAAACTAACAGAACCCGGAGAGGTTCCATGTATGGTGGCGGCGCGAGTCTCTCTTTAGCATCCTGGTGGAGGTCCAGAAGTTCACGGAGGAGGCCGCGGTTCGGTCGCGCTGCGATTAGAGAAGCCGCGGGCCGTCGGCAGTGAGGAGGGGGAACGGCCTCCAGCAGAAGACGGCTGCACGTCGGCCCCCGCGCCTTTTTCACAGCCCTAATTGGCTACTGCGGAGTCGCAGACGTGTTTTTCATGTGCTTGTCTCTCTCTCTCTCTCTCTCTCTCTTGTGTTCCTGCCTCCCTCTGTTTCTCCCGTCTTTCTGCTCTTTCTCAAGAGCTCCCCTCGCACCACGCTGCTCTCTGGAAAAAGACGCTCTGAAGCTCACCGTGGAAGTCTCCGTTCACGCATTTTTTAAAAAGCGGCATCCTCTCCTTGAAATCACAGTCCCCTCTTTCTTTTTCATCCCATGTTATTAGTCGTTGTTTTTTCATGTTGTACTTGGCGTGTCCTGGATTTCTGGATATTTTATGCAAGCAGACACATGAGTCCAGAGAAATGCTGTTGTGGCTTTTTTTTACTGGTGTATATGCAAACAGTCGACTGTTTGTTAGCAGGTTAACTATATCAGCTGATAGCTAGTTAAATAGGTCTTTCATAAAGAAAACAGTTAATGCAGGAGGAATGTTCACATTTTTAGGGAAAAGGAAAAGCAAGTAAGAAAACACACATAAAAATACAAAACACAAGCAGTACAACGCAGAGTTCAGAAAGGCACTTGGGATGAAGTTCAATATGATCAAATCAGATCACTAATCATCACGCAAACTTGCGTTCATTCTTGTAATAAAAAGACACGATATCCTTTTTGTGAAAAAAGTAACGTCATATTAGATCACAATCCGAGTTGCGGCCCCCGGTGTGAATTCCCCTTTTACATCTGAGCAATGCACTTGAGGCATTCGGAGTCCCTGAGTCAGGATAACCGTGTTTGTCTGTCCACAATGAAATGGAATTGGACGCTTTCTCTTTTGGTTGGCAAGCACCGAAGGCTGGGGGCAGGAAATAGGAGCTGTGTCTCTCTCTCCCCCCCCCTCCAGGCTCTGCCTCAGGGTCTCCTGCCAGAGAGAGGAGGAACAGCGCCAGGCCGTATTTTCTTTCTTTCTTTTCTTTTTCTTTTTTTTTTTTTCCTGTCGGCGTGCATGTGATTGTGTCCATGAGAGAAGGCGAGACTGCGCCGGGAATGTGTGAAAGCCTTCTTTTCACTCTGCAAATCTTTTGCGTCCACATGCTCGTGGAGAGGAAGGAAAGCCGTATCTTTTTGGAGCTGCATCCTCACAGCCCCCCCCCCCTACCCCAGTGCCCCCCAGTGCCCCCCCACAGCTCTTTATCAGACACATCATCAGCGAGTATAAACAGAGACGGAGAGCGTTTAGCTGTGCTGCCGCTGGCCTCTGATCTGCAGGCCTCCCTCTTCCTAGAATCCTCTCCTCGAATGGGGGAAATAATAAGCAGTCATTAAGATAGCCGCCGCTCTGGCCTCTGATGAGGGACCGCTGAGATGAAAACGGGTCCTTTTTTTTATCAGGATACTATAAAGAGATAGCGGGCTGTGGAGTCTTCAAAAAGCAGAGGGAAGGGGGGGAAAGAGCTGCCGGCGAGGGCCTCTTTCTTTCCTTTTTATTTTGTCAGGCTGTCTCCCTTTATTTTCCCTCTCGCAGTCTGTAGATTTCTCCGTCGTCTCCGTATCTGTCAGTCTTTTAAAATAGGAGGGAAAGACACACATCCTGCTGCTTTTGCTGTCGCTCCAGATTTTTTCTCCCCCCCTTTCCTCTCAGGAAGTTTCCCATCTGCCTGTGTGCGGGCTCAGTGGAGGGGCCCTCGCCGTGTTGAAACAGTGGCCGATGCACACACTGATTGCGATGCACGCTCATGCATGTCGAGTTTCACAAACACGCACGCATCTGAACAGACTCGGGCACCAAACACGGGCCCGTTTAAGCCCGGACAGAGAGAGAGAGAGAGGGAGAGAGAGAGTCACACACGTAGGCGTGCACTGGATAACGCATTCATATACGGTACGGTTCTGTTGTTGCTGCAGGAAATGAAAAGGCCCTTTGGCATCATCTGCTCTCCTTGAACCAAGTGACCTGTGCGTTTTTTCACTGGCATCAAATGGATAAGAAAGATGTGTCCTACATGCTCATCCAATGCAAAACATGTTTGAACACAAAAAAAGAAATGGAAAGAACAGGATAACTAGATTCATCGTGTCTGTAGCTCCTTTTCTGTGTGTCACAATGGCATTACATGAAGAAATACCAAACTGGGGAACCAGGAGCAGAAAGCGGCCGCTCAGCTCAGCTGCTGACTGAGCCAAAGTCTCACCTCACACTGGCTTTCAGAGTCTGCGCTCTTGGCTTTTGCGGCCAGACACAACACAAGCTCCTTTTGCCGACCTCTGACCGCGCCGGCGCTCTCTGCTTCCCAGGATCATCCCGTTTCAGAGGCCGCTGAAGATCAAGGAGCTGCTGCAGAAAGTGACTGAGGCCTTCGGCCAACAGATGGACATGTTCTTCATGGAAAAAGAGGTACGACAAACAGGGTTAGAAAACATGAAAGCCCCAAACGAGCTTCCAGTATTCATGTGTACTCTGTTAGTATCTCTAACACATCATATGTCATATTCCCCAATGATTATTGAGTCTTTAAGGGAATTCTACACCCATAAGAATATAAATTAGTCCACCGTGTTATCTTCTATTCTTTAAGATTACGTCCTTTTTAGCGCCCGCCGCAAAGGATGCATGCATGTTTTTAGGAAGCAGTGTGCATACAGCTGGACAAACTAGCCTTGTGTTATGTTCTTTAGCTCTTCATTCTTCTTCAAGTATTCGGGGCTCACACAGGTCGAGTAATTAATATGCAAATGGTAATTCTGCGGGTCAGGTGATTCTGCCAGCGACGCCTGCAGTACGTCACGCATGCACTGATGCGTTGACATGCCGCCATTCTGGAACAATGGGGAACTGAAGGTCACGCACTGTGTGTTTTCTTGTCCTTTCAGTTGCCGCTGCCCCTGAAGACCCAGGAGGACCTGGATCAGGCGGTGCTGACGCTGGGCTGCAGCTCGGGGACCAACGGGCTGCTCAGGATACTGCTGAAGACGTCTAAGAACAACCATGTGAGTGGTGTTTGGAGACATGACACTGCTCCTGGCAGACAAGGCTGTACACGAAGAAGAAACGTGTAAATAGTTATGCCGCGTCGGAACGGGCTGCAGGTCGGCGTGGACTCGCCTGCAGGGAGTCAACAATCACTTCCTCTCCTGACTATTTTCTCTGCCTCGCCGCAGTACCTGCAGGTGAACAGCAGGGACAAACAGAGCGAGATGAAGTCATCGCGGTCACTCGGGGATCTGAAGGGCTCCCTGCTCAAGGGCTCGGAAAGGGTGCGCAAACACTCGACAGGTGAGAAAACACACGCAGAGATCAAATCCGTCAATGACCGCCGGTCCGATCACGGGGCCATTGGAGCTCTGCGAGGAGGGGGGTCGAAACGCAATTTCCCACAGGCAGGCAAAAAAGCGAAATCCTGCTGATGCCGAGACGTCTTTATCACCCGCTGAGGCCTCGAGGGTGGCGCGACGACGTCACTTTTACGGCGCGGAGGGATGCCAAAGTCGCAGGAATGTTGATGGGATGTTAATGGGAAGATGAGGGACGTGCTTCGGCCCAACGGACGAATGCAAATCGGGGGTCACAACTTCAACAGCCTGAGAGATGTTGGGTCAAAGCAGGGACAAGGACAGGCGCCTGCTCAGACAGCTCTCCGTCTCCGTTATAGCTGGGAATGTGCTTTGTCTGACCTTTAACGCGCTACGCCTTTTTAATTCTTCAATCAGTGAGTTGTGTCCAACCCCAAACTGGCGGCAACTTTGTTTAGTGTTTGGATTATTTAAGCTGTTTGCATCCCGCTCCTCAGACGGTTAGTTTACGACTAGTAGCTGTAAACAAGAGTCGCATTGATCTTGTCATTTGAATGTAAAACTACTCTTTTAGGGCAATCGAAGGTCTTTTTCTTGTCATCGTGTCCCACTCAGCCGTTTGGTAAACATGGCACGCTGCGCTTCTGTCGTCCCTCCCCCTTCTGTGTCGGTTTAATTTGCTGAGCTCTCCCCCACCCTCCCCCCCGGTCTGAATCTTTCCACTCCCTTAATGTCAGGTCCATCCGGAACGGTCAAAGTTGCGGTCACATTTTTCAAGCTCTGACAAATTCAGCAAAACCAGCCGAGCTCCTCTGCGTTCCTGCAAATCGTCTGTCGGCACCGATCGTTCTCACCTGCCGCCCGAGTCGTACAAGTCGCGTGGAATCACCCGGCTCGCTCCGAATTCCCTCAAGTCAGCGGGGATGGAGGTGGAGGTGGAGTGTTGGCAGATGGGGGAGGGGGGGGGGGGGTGAGAGGAGAGCGGCCGCAATAGACGCTCGAGTGAAGACGTGACGTGACCCCGGGTTCCTGGATGACGTTTTTGAGACTTGAGTTTTGTCTTCCGGGTTGTTTACTTCTATCCAGTCGTTCCGGTACATCTCGGCACCTATTGGCCTCAGTGCACTTTTTGATGCCGCCAGCGGCCCAGCTAGCGACAGACAGACCTTCAGCAGGTCTTCTCGCACCGTCAAGGACGGGTGCCGCGGCTCAGCCGGGCGGGGGGCGTTTGTCACAGTAATTGAGGTCAGAGGTGGCAGCAGCGTGGTTCAGTAAATCACTCCTTGAAGTCCCGGCCCTGTTGAACTTGTCCCCCTCGTGAATAACACCGTGACGCCGCTGTCTCCCCCTCCTCCCGCCTCCCTTTCGTCTCTTGGTCCTCCTCGCCCTTCACCCCTCAGCGTCTGCCTTTCGGTTCTCTGATCTCCTCTTTGCGTTCCAGGTTCCCTGCACACGGGCCGGACGTCCCCGCCCCCCGGCAGCGTCCCCGAGGAGCAGCAGCAGATTGCCCGCCAGGGCTCCTACACCAGCATCCACAGTGAGGGGGAGTTCATCCCCGAGAACGTAAGAGCATGTCGAGAACTGCGCCGGATGCCTTTTGCGTTGACTTTCGACTGTCACCTGTAGCGAGAGACGCCTGCTTGTCAAGCAAACACAGGAACTAGACATCCGTTTTTTCATTGAAAAAAATAATAAAAAAATGTCAGTACAGCAACTGCTGCTCTGGGCTTCATGGGGTTTGTTCAGCAACTACCACACTTTGTATTTCTTATTATTCCCAATATTATTATTATCATTATTATTCCTAACTCACTAATGGAAGTATTGTTCTGCTTATTTTTAGGAGGGACTCGCTAAAAAGTGACATCCCTGATAGAGCCACTTATTAAAAGAAACAAAACCAGAAAACTTGCTTTTATCCTGTCATTTATTATCGTGTGCCGCTGAGCAATTACGTCCCGAGTAAACATGATGAATCCTATTACTACGACACGGGGAAGATCCCTGGACGGTAGTTTGCGGCTTACTGTGCATCACACACACGGAGAAGCTCGGGTAGCTTAGTTATGGAGATGAAGTGCAGTTCATCATTATCAAATACAGTAGTCAGTGCACTCATGTTGCACTTACACTCACTACGCTTTCTGCGCTGCTTTGTATTTTCTCCCACATGATCGCACGCTCCGTGACCCTCGGTTCCCCTCTGTCATTATATCCGCCAGATGCTGGATCCTTTCGGGAGCGCGGACAACTCACTGTCGAGCAGCTGTCAATCAATAGATCAAGCGCTGGACAGGTGAGTCATCGTGCGATCGGGTGATTTATGAGTCCTGTCGGCTTAGATGCACGGCGCTCACGTTCGCAGCGGTACGAGACTCGCAGGCCCCGTGGACGCGCGCCGATCCGTCCTCGTATGTCGCAAAACACGCACGCAGAGTCTTGCGCGCGGTGTTAAAGGCCAGCGGAGCCCGAGGCCTGAAGGAGAGGAATCGCGTCGCTTTGCTGTTGCAGGAAGAGAAAGCGGAGACGGAGTGGGAGACGTGAGAGATTGAGCGAGAACATGCTGGATGAGAGGGGCCAGGAAATTTTAAAAAAGTGTTGAAAGAGTGAGAGTGGAGGGGAGTGTGTGGGGGGGGGGGGGTGATATTGCATGTTAATCAAAGGGAAAAAGAAAGAAGTGAGGTTGAGAGAGAGCGAGCGTAGGACGGAAACGTCTCTACCTGCACGAGGCTTATCTGGGCTCCAGGCTGCAGAACAATGGCAGGAAACCAGCGCATGGAACTTTTCCCTGCGAGGGGGCATGCGCGCCCCTTATCCAGGGTCTCGTGGCCCCGCGCCGCCCTGCGGTCAACAGTGACGTCACTCTGACGGGACGGGGGGGGGGAGCGTGCCAGATATAAATTGACCCATTTAATGATAGAAAGTTGTGTTTCACGGCCACTTGGGCAATTCAGCGCCGCAAACTTCACTTTGTTACAGTTAATGATGAGGCTCGTGGCTTATCTTTCCTATTTCGGCACATTGTTGTCGTTGTTTCACATCAAATTGTGACTGAAAGCTCTACTAGTCTGAATGCAGAAGTCATCTGGAGGCCTTTTGTGCCGCTTCGCGGGCTGAAGTTCGCGACCAGCCGCTGCAACCAGACTCTGTTTGAGGATGAGGGGAAAATGACCGACCCAAATAGGAAATCGTTTTTCAACTCTCTCCCCCTGTTCTCTTGTCATTTCAGTCCCCCCTTCTCGCAGAATAACCGTGACAATAATTACCTGAACCTCAACTACGAATACAAAGGTAAGCGAGGAGAGGAGCCTCCCTGCTGTCGAGTCAACTGAAACACAAAGACAAAGAGAGCTGCAGAAAGCGTGTTCATTATCAGAAAGTTCCTAGTTCTCTTGGTAAATAAAAGTCACATAATCAGTTTCACAGAAACCGAACCAAAGCTCCGTCCGTGCAGCTCCTGATTATCTAAACGGCTTCCTCACAAAGCGAAGAACCCTCTTGAGATTACTAATGAGGAGGGGGGTGATGTTGTTTTAATCTGGGAGTAAATAACTTAAAATGAGGGATGGCTTATTGTGGAGATATTTAATATCTGGGTTGTATTTCTCGTGTCTCAGTGATGAAGGGTGTGTGATGGCGTCGTAACTCTTCGCTGCTTTATCTTCTCCGCCGTCTCCTCTGTGTCCCCTTTGTCCGTCTCATTTGTCTCCCTCATCTCAACCTTTACACTGTTGTTCATGTTTTCTTTCCTAAACGTCACTGCAGCTCTCTAGTCTTCACATGATCGCTTCCCTTCACTGTCCCCCCCCCCCTCGCCTGTCCCCTGGCTCCCTGTCTGTCTCTCAAGTAGAGCAGGACGACCGATAACGCCGCGCTAATCCTCCCGAACAGACGAACCACGGCGGCTCTCCCGATCCGGCCGCCTCTTTTTCCTCGTGCTGTAAATTAAAAAGGCGGCGCTGCCCGCCGTGCACACGGACACACACACACACATACACACACACACACACTCCCCCCAGATGTAAAGCTGTGTGGCCCTTCCTGCTGAGGGATGGAGTATTTGTTTACCGTTCCCTGTGAGTCGATTTTTCCTCTCCATCCCGCGCTGCCAAACACAGAAAACAACCCCTGTCTCCATGGGATACGGCCACAAAAACAGTGCGAGGGGAAGCGGTCATCTGACAGAACAGCTGCTTTCAATTGCAAGCAGCTCCACTACTCTCCATTCATTGTGTGTGTGTGCGCGTTGGGGGGGGGGTAGAGTGTCAGCGCTTGCCTGCGTCAGCAGCGCTCCCCACCTGCCTTCAGTTACGGCTCCTGCGGGTTCAGCGCTAAGGCTAAGCTAGCACACATGGGCCGCTTTCTCTCTTGGCCCTAAGCGAAGGCGATTGGAGCGCTCTGTTCGGGAGGCCGTCCTCGACTCAACTTTGAGGTTGACGGCGCGCGGTAGACGAGCGAAAGTAGTGCAGCGTCTCGTCAGACGGGTTCGCCGTGGCTTTGTCCTTCGCGGGCCTCGTCGTGTCCCCCGTTTCTGACTCACTGCGAGCCGCCCGGGTCCATCACCGTGGGAGCACCGTGGCCATTAAACAAGATTTCCTTTGTTGTTGAGGCTCCGTTCTCCTTTTTTTTCCCCCTGACTGACAGCCGTGCCTCTTTTGCTCCATCTTCAGGTCGCCACGGGAAAGGAGGGACTTTCCCTCGCCAGTTCCAGTTGCCCAATCGCAGCAAGGATTACGGAGACCGTAAGGAACCGGCTTTGCTAGAGCAAACACAACGCGTCTATTGTTGCACAGATTGAACAGATATGCTGCTGTGTCAATAGCACGGGCCAAACACATTCCCACGCCACTACCAGACCGTCCTGGTCAGATTTCTTATGTATTTGAAATCCTTTTTACGGTGCCTCCTGCACATTCTTTTGCTATCTGAGTGGAGTTGGTACATGAAGTGCCGGCTTGCTGTTCCGGGCAGCTGCTAGTAATTGCTCACTCAGAGGCTAACCTTGGCTAGCAATGATTTACGTTTCCCCGCGGTGAACCCGAACTCGTCTGAAAAACACAGCGCCCCGCTTCCTGTCTGAGGGGAAGTAGGACGGGGCGGCGAGGAGCACTGCGCCCTGGCCGGGCCAGGAGCTCGTTTCATGCACAACACCTGTGAAGTAACTGTTTAAAACATGGTCTCCATCATTCACAGTAAAAAACAACAACAACTAACGATGCAGAGGCCTGTGTGTGAAGTCATTGAAATGTCTTTAATATACATATATGTGTGTGTGCGTGTGTGTGTTTTCAGGTCGCAGGACGCTTCCGCGTAGCTTCATGCCGCAGGAGAACCTGTTTCAGCTGGTTCCGTCTAGTCGCACGCGCAGTTATAACGGCGACAGCACGCTGCAGTACAGCGACCTGCGCTCGCTGGGCCGCACCGCCGACAAGAGCTGCCAGCGCGGCACAGCCAAGTGTAAGTGGTCCGATCGGGAAGATCTGACGATGAGCGGCTGCTTCTGGGCCTTTGTTGTGGATAACGTGCGTTGCATCTGCATGGTTCCTGTGGGATATTGATGAAATGAAGAGCGTTTAGTCTCTTCTTCTGCACATTGAGAATAGTGAGAGGCCGGCTTGCACACCTCGGTACGTTTTACATCAGTCTTATAAATCTGATCATATATATATGTGTGTGTATACGCACGATTTATTCAGTCGTAAACATGAACATGGGCTGGCAAAAAAATAAACCTCCCTCCTAGAATCATAAAGACCGTCTCTCTTTTGGAACAAATCCAGAATTCTGGCCTCAATTGTTTTTTTCATAATTCTGTTTATATATATATATATATATATATATATATATATATAAAAATATATAATTTCTATATATATATATATAAAATTTATATATTTCTCTATATATATATATAATTTATATATATATATACATATATATAATAATGTATATAAACCTTTTATATCTACAAGGGGTCGTTGTGGCGCAGGGGTTAGAGAAGGTGTGCTGGTAAGCACAAGGTTGTTGGTTTGATTCCAGGCTGCCCCATGTTCCACGTCGAAGTGTCCCTGAGCAAGACACCTAACCCCTAATTGCTCCCCGGGCAAAAATGCGAAAAAGCCATGGGTTTAAAAGTGTAATGTAAGTTGCTTTGGACAAAAGCGTCTGCTTTTAAATATACATATATATATATATTATATTTATATATTATATATTTATATATATATATATATATATATATATATTACGTAATAGTTTATTCTCCAGTAATCACTATGGCTTTCAAAGCTGTTTAAATTCTCAGTAGTAAGAGGGAGTAGAACTAATGTACAGTGATGTACTGTAAAACTGTAGGTCACAAAAGGCAGAATTCCCCTCTCTTCATCCGTCCACACGCTCGCTAATCCCATCTGTCCTCATTCAGTCCACACAACGTACTGCCCAAAGATGGTCTTTGTCATGAAACAAGCTCTGCTCGGCAGTCTGCGGTTGACGTTTTGAGTCTCTGGTGTCTTTCTCACCCACAAGAGACCAAACTGTCTGACCCCCGGCCTCAAAGAAGCCTGTTAATACCGAAACAAAGTCTCCGAGTCTGCGTCTGAGAAGATGAGAGACGCTTTTCGCCTAAAAAGCGTGGTTTTTACTCGACTGCCGTGGGTTTTTCCCATCTGAGAGGGTCTGCAGTGGGAATTATTTAACGACCCTGCGGCGGATTCTCTGGCGTCTGGTTCTCTCGCTGAGGTTTTCCCTGCAAGCTGCAGTCGAGTCTTTGGTGCGTGCTTCGGGGTTTTCTCAAACCGGCACATCACCGCGGATCCGTCCGCCTGCGGGAGCGTAGCAGACAGACAAATTACTTAAGGTTTTTTTTTTTTTCTTCTGCTCCAGCGCCGCGGGCGCCGGTCAACTGGCGACAAGGAAAGCTGCTGGGGCGCGGCGCGTTCGGGGAAGTCTACCTCTGCTACGACGTGGACACGGGCCGCGAGCTGGCCGCCAAGCAGGTGCCCTTCGATGCAGACTGTCAAGAAACCAGCAAGGTGGGCGAGTTCCCCTCTGCCCTGTTTGGAACGATTCCCACTCAGCCCTGTTTGGAACGAGTCCCACCCCGATTTTTACCACGCTAAATTAAGAATACTGTATGATTGTGTACCCTTACCATAACTGTGACCCTTTCTCGCTGCAGGAGGTGAACGCTTTGGAGTGTGAGATTCAGCTGCTGAAGAATCTGCGCCACGAGCGGATTGTTCAGTACTACGGTTGCCTTCGGGACCCCGAACAGAAGAAACTCACCATTTTTGTGGAGTTTATGCCCGGGGTGCGTATTTTTATTTTTCATTCAGTCAGGAAGATAGATTTAGATGCAATGAGGCTAAAATTCTGCGGATGTCATAATTTGATAATAATAATAATTTTGATAATTTTGTTTTGAGACGGGTATACAGACGTTGAGAGACGAGCGTCAAATCAAACCCATGGTGGACCCATCTGCAAAAAAACTATTTTACAATGTTACCAGTTGTCAGCAAACATGTATTTTGTGGTTGATTTCAGCAGAACAGCTCACTTTACGAGACCCCTTTCTCAGCGCTTCAATGATGTCCCCCAGCCTGGTTTTAATATATATATATATATATTATTTTTCTTCCGAGGGCCGTTGAGTGTCTTAGTCACACGTTCTCTTAGTCATGTTTGCGTTTCACTCTAGTTGTCTGGCACAGGGAAGAGGGGAAGTGAAAAAGCCCTGTGTGTGTGTGTCGATAACACCTTTTTTCGCCACATGCCGTCCTCCGGGGTGGGGGCGAGGGCATGTGTCACTCTGAGAGCCAGAGAGCCGTAGAGGTGTCTCGGCGACAGCTGAGAGTGGAGAGTAAGACGTTTTGTGAGCGCTGTGTCCCAGATGTGACGGTGTCAGATCTTTTCTGTAGATAAGATGAGATTTTTAGAGCTGAAAGCAGGAAATGAAAAGAAATGTGGGTAGTGTTTTGAGCGTAAATCGGTCAGCATATGGTGGGGGGGGGGTTTTAGCACTCGGTTCTTATGCATAGAAATTGGCTCAGGATCCGCTTTCGCAGTAAAACGAAATAAATCACCTTTAAATGGAAACATTTGAGTATGCATATATGGCTTAAAGGCAGGCCGACAATGAGCATCTCTCACCCTTCCACTCTGTCTCTCCAGGGCTCAATAAAGGACCAGCTGAAAGCCTATGGGGCCCTGACAGAGAAGGTAACAAGGAGATACACCAGGCAGATCCTCCAAGGAGTCTCCTACCTGCACAGCAACATGATTGTACACAGAGACGTGAAAGGTAACAGAAGCAGCCATCCTGCGAAGGCCACGATAGCGCTTTAATTGGATTTGCAACGAGTGAACACAGACACACGCACATGCAGACCTCCAGGGTTCATTCATTTTATTCTGGTTGACACTTCCTCATGTGGTTACTCACCGTCTACAAGTGGAGCCTTTTTTTTTAAACTCCCCTTTGAGATATTTTAGGCTTCATGCTGGTGAAATCGGCCGGTCTAAAAATGTCCCACACCGGATGGAAAGGCTTTAGCTCGGCTGCCCGTAAGAAGGGTGGAATTTACCGTGTGGTGGGGGGAAAAAAAAAAAGATAGTAGGTCTCACAGGACGCAGGCAGGGCCCTGTGAGAGTATATAAGCGGGTGGGATTTTCCACTTAAAAATGCTCTGTGTGGAATCTACGGTGTGTGCGCTCATCTCACCACACCAGTGCTCTTCTGTAAGCAGGAAAAGAGCGGTCGGCGCACGGCGGTTTTCTGATAGAGTTTGGCATCCCAGCCGTGACATTAGAGCACAACGTGTCTGTGAATCGAATGTTCCAAGGAGCCAAATGCAACTTTAACGTGATTCATTAGAGTCTCGAGTTTTCTTTTAAAAGAAACACACGGGCAGTGGAAACATCGCACACGAGCGAGAAGAGCGCAGGTCACGTATTTAGTCTCTCAATCTCTTTCCTGCTGCCCGCCATCCTAAAGTAGGTGTGGGGAGGGAGTGACGTGTTACATTAGTCACTAATCAAACAAGTGGAGCGCCTGAAGGAAAGGGGATCGCCGGCGCTGTGACATTTTGCGAATAAGTCTGCCGGCGCTGCATCACCACAGACTTGCCAAATGCGTAGGAAAGGTTTACCTTTCCCCCGAGGCGGTTCGGGCGGTTGAAGTGCCGGCACGTGCACTTTGTAACCGCACCACATTCGCTGAACCTCCAAACTGGGAAGAAAAAAAAAGGTGTCCCAGAGAGGATATTGACAGTCCTCCGGAGACCCCTTGAAGAAGTCTGAGCTCATATAGTTTTTTTTTCTTTTTTTTTTTCGTTCCGCCAGGTGCAAACATCTTGAGAGACTCCTCGGGGAACGTGAAGCTGGGAGACTTTGGAGCCAGCAAACGAATCCAGACCATCTGCATGTCTGGTACGGGAATCAAGTCTGTCACTGGCACCCCCTACTGGATGAGCCCGGAAGTGATCAACGGGGAGGGCTACGGCCGCAAGGCTGATGTATGGTAAGGAATCGGGGGCCGTTGCAGCTGTAATGAGGCCCAGAGGGGATGTTAGACTGCTGCAGCATAACATTATTTATTGCAAGAGGAAAAATACACGGTCGCAGTAAAAGCAATAAAGTGAAAAGCGATACAGGCAGTAACAGAGTAATACAATTTAGCAGTGACCAAGACATGAGTACTACGTAAGATGTGAATTACAAAATGTAATAAGAATTTGTGTTGTTAGGTCAATCCACAGGAAATCTTGTAAAATATAGTATATATTAAATGCAGGTAATACCACATTTGTAAAGTTTATGGTGAGATTACCATGTTTGGCACCCGGGACACTGTCACTAAGATTGTGACTGCTGATAATATGAAACGTTCAATGAATGGGACCACGTTGTATTTTCAATGATACATTTAATTCTTGTCTTTTCCATCATTGTGATCAATGTCAAAACGCTCTGTTATAATAATGCAGATACAATGCACCTCGTGGTACTTTTCTTGCTTTGGTTTAATGTATGTAAGCCAATGCTGCTCATAGTTCAATTCTCATATATATATATATATTACAGTATCTCTCCATACTGTAATATATATATATTTATATATATTACAGTATGGAGAGATACAGTATATATATATATATATATACATATATATCTCCATACTGTAATTCCGTGCAATAAACGTGTCAATTACGTGTCGTTCTGACAGTCCACCACCTCTGCTGTATGTCCTCAGGAGCGTCGCCTGCACTGTCGTGGAAATGTTGACTCAGAAACCTCCGTGGGCCGAGTACGAGGCCATGGCGGCCATTTTTAAGATTGCCACCCAGCCTACGAAGCCCATTCTTCCAGAGGGCGTGTCCGACGCCGGCAGGGACTTCCTGCGGCAGGTGTTTGTGGAGGAGAAGTGGCGGCCCACCGCAGACGCGCTGCTCAGCCACCCGTTCGTCCAGGGCAGCTTCTGAGGCCTGCCGACCCCCACCCCCCTCTTTTCCCCCCTCCCCTGCCCGTGAGGCAGCTCGCCTGCCCGCTCCATCCCCAGGGCACCCCGCCTCTCCTCCCCCTCCTCCTCCTCATACTACTCGGCTCCTCTCCTCAGCATCACTGTAACTTCCTGTCCGGCCACTATCGCCAACGCCTGCATTGGTAGGACGCCGGCGTCTCTCACCAGCCGGCTCAACCCGAGATTGCTCACCGGGAGGGCCGGGTAGGCGGCCGTCGGTCGGACCTCCTGAGTCCTCCGAGGCGGGGCGGCGTTTCGCCCCCCCCCCGGTGAGAGACTGAGGAGAAAAAGCACTTAGCAGTGTCAGAGACTACAGACTGCTGTCCGTTTTAAAACGAGAGCGGGGGGGGAACTTTCTTTTCGCCGTGATCGCGAATGACCGGTTGACATTGATCACATCCGACAGTACTGTAAGTCAGTCGACCCGATTGTCGAACTAAGATGGTAAATATGTTTCTATGACATACAATAACACCTTTAATTAAAAGTCATCTCAGCTGATGACTTTTTCTATTATCACCTAAAGAAATGTAAACCTATTGTTGTCAACGCCTTACAATACGAGTTTGTAAGTAAGAATGTCTTTTTTTTTCTTTTTTTTTCTTTTACATGGAGGGTTGGAGTGATGGAACCCTCCAACCCTTGGAGGGTTCCATCACGCTATTTCCGTGGCGCTCAGAACAGCCTTTAGAAGGATTGCCAATGTTGCACTTTTGATATCACGCATTGAAACATTTCCAACATGCAGGATAATCAAGCGAGATATTTTTCTATTTGAAACATTTTTGATATCATTTCATAAAGAAAAAATTGTGTATAAAAGAAGAAGAAAAAAAAAAGAGAACCGAACCTTCGCGTCAGTGTGCAATGTCGATAAAGCAATACCAACACTACTGTTGGGAGTAGGTGACATCCATTCCAGCTTCCCAGGTCGAGAGCCTCGAGTCCATCGGGGGGAAAAAAAAAGTGGCCAAAGAAAAGTTGCAGAAACTTCTGGCTAAAATGAATGTGCAGTATTAGTCACGTTGGTTTCGTCGCCCTCGGAGCGCTGTAGCCTTTTCTATGTTACGGCAGCTTTCGTGCAAAGCAGACTTGCACAGACCAAACCAGATGCATTGACGTCACGTTGCGTTAGTATGAAAAGTCGCGGCATTGAGATGGAAGCAAGCGTCTCGTTTACATGTTTCTGTTGTAACTTCAGAACGAATCCAGTCACCCCCCATCATGCCTTCACTTTGCTTTCCACACTATACGAATGGGTCACGCGATGACTGAGCTCTCTCTGTCTGCGCGATGCCCGCGTGAAAGGATATTACAAGTCGCCAAAAAAAGGGGTCACGGAAGAAATATGGAGCCAAATGCTGTATTCGTTGAAATGGAGAAGAGGTGAAACTTGAGAGTGGGGGGGGGGGGGGGGGTTGTTCGATGTAGGGAGTTGTCCTCGGTAGTGGAGCTCAAAGAACGATCAAAATCTCCTCGTCAGTGCCTTATCTGAGTCTGCCTGTTAACACAAATGTGCTCTGCGGAAGCAGAGCGCTTCTTAATGAGGTAATAAGGTTAAGTGGAAGCTGTTCAGTAGAGAGCACACACACAGGATTTGCTGAAGCTATTTTGTATGGAGTAAAAAAAAAAAGATTATACTGTAAATACATATTGTTCTGCACTTTTGTATGAAATTTCTTAACATTATATACAAATCTATTTGATGAAATAGCCACGTTATACAGTAGGTTGTACTGTGATTTCGACAGGAGGAGGTGTAATCGTCTCTCTGAGAGCCGGTTGGCAGGATGAACGAGCCGGGAGGCTTTCGATTGGGACAGATTTTGTTTTGTCTTAACGACAAAGCCTTGAAACATAAAATGTATCAAGTCATTGATCTTTTGTACATTTAACTTAATAAATCCAAGGTCTAAGACTATTTCCCTGTGTGGTTTTATTGTGTTTTTTATGAGCACATTTCCCTGGAAAGCCTTTGTTTAGGTTCTGTCCAAATCGTTTTGATAATACCTAGTTCGTAGCACTACATTATCTGATGTTTACATTATGTAATATAAAATCATTACAACATTTTTTCTCAGTTATATGTTTTGATTATCAGTTAAAAAAAAAACTTGTTCATCCATTTGTAGTTCCGATTTATTATCAATATGCTCAATGCTTTCCACCGTTGCATTTTTTTTTTTAGTTAAAAATGTTTATAATAAAATGGATTGTATGCGGTAAAGACTTTATTAGGTACTTTGGGAAAATATACCAATAATAATCGCTAATAAACCGCCGACTGGTGTGCCATGGGTTTATTATATTGAAGTGAAGTGATATTTTAACCCCTTGCAGTAAAGTCTCCTGCATATTATAAAACGCATGTAATAACGTGTTAATACTAACAATTAGAATCGCCATTACGACGTGTTGTTGTGCGCTCGTCTGGCTGTTGAACAACCACCTTACAAAACCCGGCGTTTGGTAACAACGTGTCCGACGACGTGACGGAGCCACTGTGTCCGAGCAGCTGGCACCGAGGACGGGGAGAAACTGCCCTCCGATACCCGAGCACGTCGGTGCGACTGGTTCACCTCCGCTGCGCCGTAAACGTCCAACGTGAAGCATGTCCACGTCCCGCACCGTCATTTGTCTACTGAGAAACGACCTGCGTCTCCACGACAATGAGGTAAAGACCACGAACGGCGGGGAAACGTGTCGTTATTTACGGCCAGAGCAGCCATTGAACCGACTAGTACTACCGACAAGCACTACTGTGCTACTACTGCTGCGTGTAGTATTTGTTTTGTCACTACGGGGAAATGTTGAGCATACAATGTAACGTTAACTGTTAGCTAACGTATGTAACAGTTAGCATGAAGCTAGTTTTTCTTTCGCCAGCAGCAGCAGCAACATTACTACTTCCGGTTTTTATTAGTTAAGAATAGGCCTGTTCTTCACCGTTCCGTGACAAAATGTATTTAATAAAGAATCTCCCAATTTTGCTTTTGTAAGCAAATTAACTTCGGGCCTTATAGTAATACAGGAGGTTATTGGCACCAACATTTGACGTTAGTTAACGTACGACTTCTGGTTGGATTTTTCAAAATAAAAGACTGCTTTTCAAGACTGACCAGATATACATTTGTTTACTTAGTTTCTCAAAATAGCTAATTCGATTTCAGGTTATTTGTTCTAACTTTACCTGGCATGTTGTAGTTAATAGTAAATCACAACTTGTACAGCTGCCACAATTGTGTTTTCAAGACGGTTTGAAATCGCCTGAAAGTGTTTTCTGATATGTATTTCCCATATTTTTTTACTCTTCAACGTGCAGCTTTTCCACTGGGCGCAAAGAAATGCAGAGTACATTGTCCCACTATACTGCTTCGACCCCAGGCATTATGTGGGAACATACAACTACAACCTACCAAAGACTGGGCCTTTCCGCCTGCACTTCTTACTGGAGGGTGTCAAGGACCTCAGAAACACGATGCTCAGCAAGGGCAGGTAACTAAACAATGCACGCCTCTTATATTGCTTTATTTGTGTTGCTGAATATCTCAACAGTGTAGATGTGCCTTCGTTATAGAATTTTAATTATGAATGAAATCATAAATCATGAATTTATGTGTCGTGTTATTGCTACAGAGGATGCAGCTCATATCTGGGACATATTCTGTGTTCATGTGGTTCTTTTAATGTGTGTGTGTGTGTGTGTGACAGCAACCTCGTGGTGAGACGGGGTAAGCCAGAGGAGGTAGTTGCAGATCTCATCAAGCGATTGGGCTCCGTCAGCACTGTGGCGTTCCATGAAGAGGTAGTTCCAACCAGTCCTCCCTCCCCCCAAATGATCGCGTCACAATTACGCCTGCTCATGCTTTTTAGAGTTTTAACCTCACGTTCCAGGTGACCTCGGAAGAACTGAGTGTCGAGAAACGAGTGAAGGATGTCTGCGCGCGGATGAAAGTCAAAGTTCACACCTGCTGGGGCTCGACGCTGTACCACAGAGATGATGTTCCGTTTCACCATATATCCAGGTGGGAGAGAGAGAGAGAGGATATAGCCGTCCCGGGACAAAGCATCCGTGTTCCCCTTTAACGTCCTGTTTTTCAATTCTGCGAGATGTAGATCATGGGCATTTCTTCCTGGTTTGTTAGGCTGCCTGATGTGTACACTCAGTTCAGGAAGGCAGTGGAGACCCAGAGCAGGGTGAGGCCTCTGTTCCCAACCCCCGAGCAGCTGAAGCCTCTCCCTGAAGGGCTGGAGGAAGGAGCCATTCCCACAGCAGAGGACCTGGAACAGACAGGTGAATTATGTCTTATCTGCTCTATCCAAATGGGATTAATTCATACAATCTTGCACTTTTCCTTTAGTGTCTTTTGTGTTCTGTGAATTTCCTGAAATGTCTATCAGTATGACTACAATAAATCCCGGCGTATTTATTTTATGTTCTTATTAAATTGACTTTTGTATAAATGTCTATACGTGCTGCTGGCAATAAGGAAGCACAAATTGCTCATTTTATGCAGCGCCTCTATTAAGTAAATGGACACTGCTGCTATTTTCAGCATTCAAGAGGCAGACTGCTGAGCATAGATTTCCTCATTAAGTGCCAGCGAGCCAGCAGACCGGCTCGATTTCCGTGTACAAGATTTAAGCATTTATGGTTTTGCGTTTCCTAATGCACACCAGGGACAATTTAACCGGTATGAAATCAGTCGAATGCTGAAATTCTTCTCTTGTTTCATACTCGTAGGGCCCGTGACTGATCCTCGCTCAGCCTTCCCCTGCAGTGGTGGTGAAAGTCGAGCTCTGGCCAGACTCAAACACTATTTCTGGGACACTGTGAGCACAGCAGCATTACAAACAAGCGCTAGTTTGCTGCTTTTAAAATGGGGAAAAAAACAACAACTCTGATGATGAAAATGTAATAAATACATTTTCCGTTTTGTAGGATGCAGTTGCAACCTACAAGGAGACTCGTAATGGCTTGATCGGTATGGATTACTCTACTAAATTTGCACCCTGGTGAGTGTTATTGTATAATTTCATCCACTGCTGAATTCAAGCAAGAGATCAATGTTCCACAACCTATAGATGGATCACTAACGCTGCTCCCCTGGGCTTCTGCAGGCTGGCGATGGGTTGCATTTCACCCAGGTATATTTATCATCAGATCCAGCAGTATGAGAAGGAGCGCACAGCCAATCAGAGCACATATTGGTGAGTCCGGAGATGATGGCGGCTACACAACAATAAAAATAAAATCGACTCTATCATAAGCCACAATTTTAGTCATGACTAATACAAATGTGTCTTCATCCCCGTCTTTCAGGGTCATTTTTGAACTTTTGTGGAGAGATTACTTCAAGTTTGTAGCCGTTAAGTACGGAAACAGACTGTTTCAGATCAACGGTAAAAATGAGTAAATCTTTTTAACATTTAAAAAAAGCAACATTATGAATGAATGTGAAGCTCATGGCGATTTTATCTCAGGACTTCAAGAGAAATCTGTTCCATGGAAGAAGGACATGACGCTGTTCAATGCGTGGAAAGGTTTGCTCCACCCTCGTCGTTCACAAAACATTCGGGTATCAAAAACTCAAGTGGTGTCGTCGAAAGTGTTTGTGTGCGTTTGAATATCTCTCTCACGTGCCGTCACAGAAGGACGAACAGGAGTGCCCTTCGTGGATGCCAACATGAGAGAGTTGGCGATGACGGGCTTCATGTCCAACAGAGGGCGGCAGAATGTCGCTAGCTTCCTCACAAAGGACTTGGGCCTGGACTGGAGGATGGGGGCTGAGTTGTTTGAATACCTCCTGGTAAGCAGGTTTCTACGACAACGGATTTAACTTTCAAAAGGGGGATTTGTATTTTTTTTAGATGTAATCGTTTGATTTGTTTGTTGCAATCTTGTGGATCAGCTGTTGTTTGTGTGTGGATGATGACACTCAAGAGAGTCTTCCCCTCCTGCTGTTTTCAATGTTCCCCCAAAAGATTGACCATGACGTCTGCAGCAACTATGGCAACTGGCTTTACAGCGCCGGCATCGGGAATGATCCCAGAGAGAACAGGAAGTTCAACATGATCAAGCAAGGCCTCGACTACGACGGCAATGTAGGATTTGAGAAGACGCACGTTTGTTTCATTTCCCTTTACGACTCCTGTCCGGAGCGCTCCACTGCTTTGCCGTTGTCCCCCCACGGTGATGGATCCAGCACAATGTGATACTGAGACTTTCTTTGGGGTTTGGGTTGACCGTGTGTCCGCTTTAGGGCGACTATGTGCGGCGGTGGGTTCCTGAGCTGCAGGGGATCAGGGGAGCTGACGTGCACGCGCCTTGGACCCTCAGCACCGCTTCGCTGTCGCACGCTGGCGTGTCCCTCGGCGAGACCTACCCCAACCCCGTCGTCGTGGCACCTGAATGGAGCAGACACGTTAACAAGAAACCAGTGAGTGTGTGAGAAAAGGGAAGTGGGTAGTGTGATTAGTTGCTTCTGCTGTGAGAGCAGTAATTCTACCCTTTTTTTGTTCGCCACGCCGTGTGAAAAGTCTCTTAATATCAAAAGGAGATTTTTCCTTTGAACTTCTACACAAACTGGTTTACTTTAAAATCAATAATACAATACACTAATGATGTTAAATATGATAATACATCCATCACATGAGGCATTTTTTCTGCAGAATGAGTACTTTTACTTTTGATACAAAATCATCAGCTGCATTCCCTTACTAAAGTATCATTTTAAAAGTACTTTTACTTCTAATGGTGTATTTATACATAAGTAGAGGACCCGAATACATATTGTCCCCCTGGCAAACAAGGTTACCTATTGAAGTGGTTAAAACTTTAAATAAAGAAAATAAATGTTGCATCACACTAAAGGCAAATGTTTGTGTCCCTGCGTTTTGTCAGAGTGGCGCACGGCCTTCGCCGAGAGGGAAGAAGGGCCCATCGCACACTCCCAAACAACACGGGGACCGAGGCATTGACTTCTACTTCTCCAGAAGTAAAAACCTGTGAGCCGTCTGACAGGAAACGCTGAACAGGCGGACGGAGTTGATCGAGGGAAGTCGTCCTATGAGGATTTGAGGAAACGCATGTGCTACTTGAATACCAGAATATTTCCTACAAGTCTGCCATAGTTTCTTGGTAAAAGTAACCCCATGAAGTGCCTTTAATGGACTCGTTTCCTGTGAGACTGCAGCAAATTGATAAAATCACAATGTGGTTTTAAGTTTGACGCAGTGGAACATCTATCTGATTCTTTTTTTTTTATGCAGATAGTTTTTTCTTGCTTCTGTTTTTATTTGTTTTATTGCTCTTAATGTTCTATTTTCCCTTTTATGCTTCAGAAGTTTCCCATCTGTGACGGTTATACAATAAAAAGATTTTGTTCTGCAGTGAAGTAAATTCCAAATGTTTCTGCCTTTTTATGACACGTGATTAAAGGAAAGAGGTGGAGCCAATCTGTCTGGGAACTTTATCAATATATCCATGCAAGAAAGGGGAACTAAAACGTAAACCCCTTGAACACACCCTTCCACTAACATGTTACAGTATTCCTTTAAGCTCCTGCTCACTCAAGCGAAAGTAGCCAAATCACCAACTCTATGGGAGAAGCGCGCTATTTGGCCTCTGAGGTCCGTGTAAACAGCATCTCTCCTCCCCCTCATGACGCGGAACTCCGCGGTTTTCATCACTTCCTCTGGTTGACAGTCTGTGTACCCCGGACGTGGTCTTCTCGTTACGATGTTTCGCTGTTTGTTGTTCTAAGTAAAGCGCGTCGTGTCCGGACAACTTTCCAACGATGGCCTGCGTGGATTCAGAGGTTGACTTGTGGGTCGTTCCTCTCGTTGCGCTCAATATGAGCGTGCGTAAAAAGTTGGGACTGTACCTGAACCCTCGGAACGCGGTGGCCGCGGACTGGATGGCCGTGGCGGAGGAAATGGGCTTCAATTACCTGGAGATAAAGAACTACGAGGGGACCAAAAGTCCCACCGAGTCGGTTCTGGAGGACTGGCAGGCCCGCTGCACCGACGCGACGGTCGGGAAGCTGCTGTCCATCCTGGAGGAGGTGGAGAGGAGAGACATTGTCGAGGACCTCCGTCCCCTGATGGGTGCGTTGGTGTCATTTGGACTTTGGTTTTAAACCTCGATTGCGCGAATAGCCGACACGAGCAGTAATAACGTAACGTGCGGTCGTGCTTTGTAGCGCGCGCGCGTCACTCCAGGAAGTGATTCACACGCTTCAATTCTCGCTTTGCAAAATCGATTTAAAATAAAACGTCCTCCATGAATTATTGTGTGTATGCGCGTGCACAGTCATTTACATGCGCCTCTTTTTTTCTGTGCCAGATGAGGACGTCAGGAAGTACTGCGAGAACCAGAAGAAGAACGCGAAGCCCCCTCTGCAGGTCCCAGAGGTGGACAGCTGTGTCCCTCGCCCCACCGAGAGGATTGGTATCACTCTGCAGGACGACCCCGAGGGTCAGTGCGTGGTTAAGCTGCATTTTAGTTTTTACATCTACAAAACATCTACAGGGCAAATCTTGCATTAATTCAATGACTCTTCGATGCTCCAAACAAGTTGTGTGACATCGGCAGAGCTTCCCTCAGGTGATAAAACAATATACAGTCACAAAACTCTTCGTTTTGCAACTTTCTATCAGTCCTCTATTGTTGTAATATTTCACTTTTAACTATCTTAACTATTTTGCATTGTTTTTCAACACCAAAAACAATACGAGTAAAGGCCCGAGTATGTAACTAACCCACTGCCACAGTAAAATGCTGAACACACTTACACTTTGAATGAGGCATAGATTTAGATAATGATCTTTTTGCTGCACAGATTTCACAGCTGATGTCTGTACAACTGCAAGAAAATAGATTATGAGTATGCAAGAATGACATAAAAGCCTTCAATAATTAGTGTTACTCAAGTCTTCATAACAACCTGACATGTAAATTAACAACATGTGTCATGTGCCGCCAAGATATTACAACAGTGTGAATTTTGCAATGCATTTATCGTATCGCTTACGTTAGCTCACTTCAGATTTCGGAGAGTGACAGTGACATTATCTTCTGTGGTGAGGCAATAAAAGCTTTGACACTTTTTCTAACTCAAATGGTGTCTAATCACTCATGGCTGCACAGCTGCATCGGCCCCTGCACGTGGTCATGTGGATTATTCTATCCTGCTCATATTTTGCCTCCGTTCAATAAATGTTTATTGATTACAATGTAACTGCGTTGAATCCAGGTGCTCCCGAGCTGTTTGACGCCTTCATCTGCTACTGCCAGAAGGACTTTGCGTTTGTGCGTGAGATGATCCGCGAGCTGGAACAGACCGAGTACAAGCTGAAGCTGTGCGTGTTTGACCGCGACGTCCTCCCGGGCTCCTGCGTCTGGACCATCACCAGCGAACTCATTGAGAAGAGGTGGGACACCGACACGTGCAGAGCGTCGGCCTGCTGCTCATTAAGAGCTATAATAAATTCTACCCTTATGGCTCCACGTTGATGATCTACCCGGGAGAGGAGCATATTGGATTGAAATTTCCTGGAAACAAAAGACGTGATAGCTTCAATTTTGGCAGAAGGATAAACTCTCATAACCACGTGTCATTAAAGCGTCTGGAGAGCAAGTTTTCTTTCTTACAATCTCCCTCATATCTATGATTGCTATTATGTGACCCTCTGTGCAGGTGCAAGAGGATGGTGGTGGTGATTTCAGATGAATACCTCGATAGTGACGCCTGTGACTTTCAGACCAAGTTTGCTCTCAGTCTCTGTCCCGGTAAGTTCATTTATGTTACGTTAAGCAGCTACCTGCATCCGACATGCATCTGTGCATGCAAGCTACTTATTTTGTCATTCTTTCTTTGCAGGAGCTCAATCCAAACGGCTTATTCCTGTGATGTACAAGCCAATGACAAAGCCGTTCCCCAGCATCTTACGCTTCCTCACCATATGTGACTACACTCGGCCCTGCACACAGGCCTGGTTCTGGGTACGCCTGGCGAAAGCTCTCTCGCAGCCTCACAAAGACCAGGCCAGTAGTTGTGTTTAAAGGTGTTCTGTGGGGTTTGGGTAATGATCAAACATCCCAGGTTAAAGTATATACTTTTGTTTGTGATCTGCGTCCTGGTGGCTTCTGAACACATTCTGAGGTTGTACAATATTAAGTATTATGATTGAAGCTATTTGGGTTCTCTATAAAGCTGACATTGAGATTTCTGGAAATTGTCACTATGAAAACTCGAGCTGCACAAGGATACCAAATATCAGTTCTCACTGCACAAGGCCTTTATTAGATTTAACAATAACATAAGATGTGCCTGCCGCTGTTTTGTATTTATGTGGGGAGTATTGGCAAACAGGATGTGTTAGAGGACGGTCTACAAAATGTTCTGTGGTAGCTAGTTTCTCTGCACTTCCTCTAATGAGTCAAATTCTAGGTGAGATTAGAGATTAATAGGAAGCGCTATTGTGATTATGATTGTGATTCTTCCACTTAGTTAATTTTGACCTGCTGACACCCCCGCCTTTCCATCTGAATTTGTACTGATATGTTTATTGAAGTGAATGTATTCTACGTTGAAAAAATGGTCTAAACATTATTTCCTCAAAATATTTCTTAAACATTTCGAATGTATGATGATTTTGTATCTAAAAATAAAATGCCTTTCTACTGTCACAAAAGCGCATCATGTTATGATTTCCTCCAGCAAGTGTCGTGATTGTGCAAATCCTGCATGTTATAAAGTTAACCAACAGAGGTGTCGCTAATTGAATGCTGTAAAAAAAGACTGAGTAAATTTTACAGTAACAGATGAGCATCCAATCATAGAGCAGTATACGTGTGCACTGTCCAATCAGAGGACAGGATATTCCTTAAAGCAACACGCCTCTTTTTACACTGTTACACTCGGATATCAGGCTAAGAATTTCCTAACCTATTTAACAACTAAACGTACTTAAATGAATTAAATTGTTCTGGGTTAGGGAGGACCGAGAGCGCCGTGAGTTTATGTTGGCATAAACAGCGCTTTCTTGTTAGCTTTAGGAGAGGAACAAATGCCTGCAAGGCCTTACTCTAGGCAACATTTAAATATAGTGTAAAATAGCCCGCCATTGAAACGTGCCGGAACCAAGGTTTGACTTGTATTTTGGGCATTTACCCACAGGTCTTTACCCTCTTTCACCTCATATTTTCACACTTCACGTTTTAGCGACGTCTTTTAAATTTAAAGTAACATTCAGATAATCTGTGACGCATTTGTCCTATTGTATGTAGCCGACGTCTATTTCGACGATTGTTTCTTGCTCTTAATACAGTTTTATTTCCCCTTTTATGCTTTGTCAGAGGTTTCCCATCTGTGACGGTTGTACAATAAAATTGCTAAATGGAAAGATTTTGTTCTGCGGTGAAGTAAGTTCCACACTTTTCTGCCTTTTTATGACGTGATTAAAGGAAAAAGGTGGAGCAAATCTGTCTGAACTTTATGAATGTATTCATGCAAGAAAGGGGAAAGCCCTTGAACACACCCTTCCACTAACATATTACAGTATTCCTTTAAGCTCCTGCTCACTCAAGCGAAAGTAGCCAAATCACCAACTCTATGGGAGAAGCGCGCTATTTGGCCTCTGAGGTCCGTGTAAACAGCAGCTCTCCTCCCCCTCATGACGCGGAACTCCGCGGTTTTCATCACTTCCTCTGGTTGACAGTCTGTGTACCCCGGACGTGGTCTTCTCGTTACGATGTTTCGCTTTTTGTTTTTCTAAGTAAAGCGCGTTGTGTCTGGACAACTTTCCAACGATGGCCTGCGTGGATTCAGAGGTTGACTTGTGGGTCGTTCCTCTCGTTGCGCTCAATATGAGCGTGCGTAAAAAGTTGGGACTGTACCTGAACCCTCGGAACGCGGTGGCCGCGGACTGGATGGCCGTGGCGGAGGAAATGGGCTTCAATTACCTGGAGATAAAGAACTACGAGGGGACCAAAAGTCCCACCGAGTCGGTCCTGGAGGACTGGCAGGCCCGCTGCACCGACGCGACGGTCGGGAAGCTGCTGTCCATCCTGGAGGAGGTGGAGAGGAGAGACATTGTGGAGGACCTCCGTCCCCTGATGGGTGCGTTGGTGTCATTTGGACTTTGGTTTTAAACCTCGATTGCGCCAATAGCCGACACGTCACTCCAGGAAGTGATTCAGACGTTCTCCATGAATTATTGTATGCAGTCATGTGTGTATGCACGTGCACAGTCATTTACATGTGCACCTTTTTTTTTTGTGCCAGATGAGGACGTCAGGAAGTACTGCGAGAACCAGAAGAAGAACGCGAAGCCCCCTCTGCAGGTCCCAGAGGTGGACAGCTGTGTCCCTCGCCCCATGCAAAGGATTGGTATCACTCTGCAGGACGACCCCGAGGGTCAGTGCGTGGTTAAGCTGCATTTTAGTTTTTACATCTACAAAACATCTACAGGGCAAATCTATGAGCAGGATAGAAAAATCCACATGACCACGTGCAGGGGCCGATGCAGCTGTGCAGCCATGAGTGATTAGAGACCATTAATTCAATGAATATCTGATTCTGTAAAGAAGTTGTGTGACACTGTTGCATTGGCAGAGCGTCTCTCAGGTGAAAAAACAATATACATTCACAAAAGATCTGCAATTTACAAGCACTAAACCCGAATACTGCTTTTAATTCTTTTTTGCAACTTTATATCAGTCTCCTCTATTGCTGTAATATTGAACTTTCAACAAAATAAATCGGACAGCCGGAGTTGCTAGGTATTTTACATTGTTTTTCAACACCAAAAACAATAAGTTTTAAGAGTAAAGGCCCGAGTATGTAACTAACCCACTGCCACAGTAAAATGCTGAACACACTTACACTTTGAATGAGGCATAGATTTAGATAATGATCTTTTTGCTGCACAGATTTCACAACGGATGTCTGTACAACTGCAAGAAAATAGATTATGAGTATGCAAGAATGAAATGAAGCCTTCAATAATTAGTGTTACTCAAGTCTTCATAACAACCCGAATGTCACGTGCCGGCAAAGATCATTACAAATGTGTTACTTAGCAATGCATTTGTTACGGGTCCCAGGAATGGGACCACAGCAGCAAAGTTGAATGATTAACCCGTAGGACGGATACAGTTGAACAGCAGAAACGACACCAGGCATTCAAGGTTCGACATGCACGTTGTTTCTGCTTTAATTAACAAAACAGCATTCACATAAAACAAGCAATATCTAAACACCATCTGACGTTCAGTTAATAACAGCGATGTCCGAGCCCATGTGCGTACCGTGTGACAATAATACAGTGTCGGCGCTATCCCTGCAAGACAACGCTCAGGTCGAAATAACCGCTAGCTCACGCGCTAAGGCTAAACTCATAGCTCGAGTCTGCTGCAAATCTACACACTAGGTGTTTACACTGTCAAATTTCCGTCACAAACCCTTTTTAAATTAGCGTGTACATGTAGAGAGTTTTAACAATATTGGGTATCGGCCATTCACATGAGCACCAACCTGTAGGACGGATACAGTTGAACAGCAGAAACTACATCAGACATTCACTTCGACATTCACGTTGTTTCTGCGGAGCGAGCGGGAGTCGCGCCCCAAAACAACCCGGGTGCAACTGTTCCCGTGCCCCTAGTTCCCCCCGAGGGAATGCAACGCTCTTCTGTCCCTCTGTATGGTCCACCTGCTGAAATTCAACCCTGCAATAACTACTCTCACTGTTTTGCATATTAGATTTTTTTAACAAATCCCAACCTAAATTACAGATAAATATGTGTTTACATCCTTAGGTGTGCCACACATTTATTGTTACACTTACATTAGATTTCGGAGAGTGACAGTGACATTATCTTCTGTGGTGAGGCAATAAAAGCTTTGACACTTTTTCTAATTCAAATGGTCTCTAATCACTCATGGCTGCACGGCTGCATCGGCCCCTGCACGTGGTCATGTGGATTTTTCTATCCTGCTCATATTTTGCCTCCGTTCAATAAATGTTTATTGATTACAATGTAACTGCGTTGAATCCAGGTGCTCCCGAGCTGTTTGACGCCTTCATCTGCTACTGCCAGAAGGACTTTGATTTTGTGCGTGAGATGATCCGCGAGCTGGAACAGACCGAGTACAAGCTGAAGCTGTGCGTGTTTGACCGCGACGTCCTCCCGGGCTCCTGCGTCTGGACCATCACCAGCGAACTCATTGAGAAGAGGTGGGACACCGACACGTGCAGAGCGTCGGCCTGCTGCTCATTAAGAGCTATAATAAATTCTACCCTTATGGCTCCACGTTGATGATCTACCCGGGAGAGGGGCATATTGGATTGAAATTTCCTGGAAACAAAAGACGTGATAGCTTCAATTTTGGCAGAAGGATAAACTCTCATAACCACGTCTCATTAAAGCGTCTGGAGAGCAAGTTTTCTTTCTTACAATCTCCCTCATATCTATGATTGCTATTATGTGACCCTCTGTGCAGGTGCAAGAGGATGGTGGTGGTGATTTCAGATGAATACCTCGATAGTGACGCCTGTGACTTTCAGACCAAGTTTGCTCTCAGTCTCTGTCCCGGTAAGTTAATTTATGTTACGTTAAGCAGCTACCTGCATCCGACATGCATCTGTGCATGCAAGCTACTTATTTTGTCATTCTTTCTTGTGTTTCAGGAGCTCGGGACAAACGGCTTATTCCTGTGAAATGCAAGCCAATGACAAAGCCGTTCCCCAGCATCTTGCGCCACCTCAACATAGGTGACTACACTCGCCCCTACACGCGGGCCTGGTTGTGGGTACGCCTGGCGAGAACTCTCTCACAGCCTACATTCATGTAAGGTTTGGATAATGACCAAACATGCCAGGTTAAAGTATATACTTTTGTTCGTGATCTGCGTCTCGGGTTCCGTTTCAAGTAGGAGGTTTAACCAACTCGGAGTCAAACCCTAAACTCTGAGTTGATTTACCCTGAGATGGGAAACTCTGAGTTTTGGGTTTCCGAACAGCTGTTTAGAGTTGGTTGAATCAACTAGGAGTAGGTTGACTCAAAGCTGAGCACGTGCACCTATGAGGAACTATAATGGCTCTCACTGGTTTGTGTCCATGGAACAAAAACCTTTAAAATACGTTTCAGAGCGAGGCACATGTTTCTCACGGCTTTGCATACTGTAGCTTTACTAATATTCTCCGCATCACCATTGTTGTACGGGAAACTGCCATTTGCAGAAAAAGATAATGCACAAAGGATCTGCTCGGATGTGAGAGCACGTCCACGATGGGTGATGTTAGCTATATGAGGACGGGTGAGGTTATGTACATATTGGATGGACTGTGAAGTAAAACGATACCGTTCAAACAAGTAGTTATCTGCAAATGACAATATATATAATCAGGGTCTCAATATTCTCTCCCGACGTGTTTAACACCCTGCGAAGTAATATCGCTTCTTCATCAACAGGATCGTTCAGAACAGCCATGTTCGAGAAAAAAACGTTAGTCTTTAGTAACAGTCTAGTCTTTACGTAACAGATCTTATTTTGTTCAAATGTCGAAACTTCGCTAAAATACGCCTGATACAGAGTAACTGAATGAATGAGGAAATGAAAGCACACTGTGTCATTGGCTGGGCTGCTGTCAGAGGGAGGAGACCGTGAAAGAAACTCGAGGTTTATTGAAGAAAACCTCCTCCCGACCAGGTTAAGTTCACAGGCTCAGTTACCATGGTGACTGAGCCTGAGCTGTAGTTACCTCCCTTTCTTAAACAGACAACCCAGAGTTTCCCTCATTTTAACAAACTCTTGAGTTTTCACTAAACCCGCTTCTTGAAACGGACCCCCGGTGGCTTCTGAACACATTCTGAGGTCGTACGATATTAAGTATTATGATTGAAGCTATTTGGGTTCTCTATAAAGATGACGTTGAGATTTCTGGATATTGTCACTATGGAACTCCAGCTGCACAAAGATACCAAATGTCAGTTCTCACTGCACAAGGCCTATTAGATTTCAACAATAACATAAGATGTGCCTGCTACTGTTTTGTATTTATGTGGGGAGTATTGGCAAACAGGATGTGTTAGAGGACGGTCTACAAAATTTTCTATGATCGCTAGTTTCTTTGCACTTCCTCTAATTAGTAAATTTCTAGGTCAGATCAGAGATTAATAGGAAGCGCTATTGTGATTATGATTGTGATTCTTCCACTTATGTAATGTTACTGCCTGCTGACACCCCCGCCTTTCCATCTGAATTTGTACTTATGATATGTTTATTGAAGTGAATGTATTCTACGTTGAATCAATGGTCCAAACATAATTTCCTCAAAATATTTTTACACATATTTCAAATGTATGATGATTTTGTATGTAAAAATAAAATGCCTTTCTACTGTCACAAAAGCGCATCATGTTATGATTTCCTCCAGCAAGTGTCGTGGTTGTGCAAATCCTGCATGTTATAAAGTTAACCAACAGAGGTGTCGCTAATTGAATGCTGTAAAAAAAGACTGAGTAAATTTTACAGTAACAGATGAGCATCCAATCATAGAGCAGTATACGTGTGCACTGTCCAATCAGAGGACAGGATATTCCTTAAAGCAACACGCCTCTTTTTACACTGTTAAACTCGGATATCAGGCCCTGAGTATAGCTTTTCAGGTAGAATTTCCTAACCTATTAAACAACTAAACGTACTTAAATGAATTAAATTGTTCTGGGTTAGGGAGGACCGAGAGCGCCGTGAGTTTATGTTGGCAAAAACATCGCTTTCTTGTTAGCTTTAGGAGAGGAACAAATGCCTGCAAGGCCTTACACTAGGCTACATTTAAATATAGTGTAAAATAGCCCGCCATTGAAACGTGCCGGAACCAAGGTTTGACTTGTATTTTGGGCATTTACCCACAGGTCTTTACCCTCTTTCACCTCATATTTTCACACTCGTTTTAGCGCCGTCTTTTAAATATAAAGTAACATTCACAGATAATCTCTCACGCATTAGTCCTATTGTATGTAGCCGACGTTAAACAGTCGCCGTCCGTTGGGCACCGCGGTCCCACACTCAACATGTCCGCCGGGGAGGTCTGCGTCTGCTCGGCAGGAATGCGGTAGGCGGGGCCGATCACGCTGGTGGTGTCAAACTTTCGGGGAATGACAGGAGTGCGGCAGGATTCGATTCGATAAGCGTCGCCCTCGTTCGGATTACTTTGACACATTTAAAAAAAAAAAAAAAAAAATCACACGCAGTCTTTAGATTCACCGCCTCTCTAAAAGATAGAGGACGTCCCTCTCGGCGCACTCCTCAAGCCATGTCGGAGGACCTGAGCTCTCAAACCTGGTCCATCAACAAAGATGATTACGAGCTGCACGAGGTTATTGGTAGGTGATCCACGGCTTGTTAGCCTTAATGTGTGTGTGTGTTGTTTTCCGCCGTTTGCGGCTTCACGAGGCGGGCTTTGTCACGGCTAACGGAGGCACCGATGTCTCCCGTGTGGGGATGTAACGTTACGTTAAGTTCGTAACGTCGGGCAACTCTGCCGTCCCGGCCGGCGCGGGGTTGTGTCTCGGGGCAGCGTTTAGCCCCGTCCACCGGGGCTACGCCGAGGTGATAAACGAGCGTCATAACGTTAGTTACTGGTTTAAGGAGCTGACTATTTACTGGGGAGACTCTTTCATTCACCGGTCCGAGTGTGCGAGCAACCGCCGTTAGCGTAGCATCTGTATCTGGATGAAGGGCGTCGTATCTATGAAATGACAAGAATTATGACTATGTCGTGTGTCAGTCTCGGTTAGTTATTAAAAGACTGAACCCACACTGACACCTTTTTTTTTTTCTCTTTTCATTCATACATGTAACGCGTGTCTTTTGATCTGCCGTCACTGACAGAGACCGAGGCAAACGTGCCGCGCTGCTGCGCGTGCGCGTGTTCACGCCCATTCCCAGTTAAACTGGATATTCAAACAACTTTTTTTTTTTTTTTCTCCCAAAACCCCTCTTGTTGCCCGTGCAGAGATTATACTTCCCTTCCCGGAGCAGGGTGTCGTTTTGGGCGATTTACCGGCTGAATGAATCCATTCATGTTCCAGTTAGTCTAGAAGTTTTTTTTCTTCTTTTTTTTCCCTCATTTAACACAATAATTGCTTTTGCGTTGCCACATTTCCTCCAGTGTGACAGGAGGCTTTCCCCATTGCCCTGCTGAGTGTGTCTTTTGGGTTGGCCGGCCTAAGGAATGACTGCTGTTACTTTTTGCATAGTCCCCCCCCCCCATCATAAATACCTGACACTGTCACACCTTCCTCCTTCTCACTTTGTTTGGTAGACGGAGCAAAGCCGTTTACTTTCCCTGCTTCCTCTGCAGGGAACCCGAGTGTTTACACAGGGCTCGTTCTGCAAGCCCCACATCAAACCTTTTTTGTATATAAATATATACATTTATTTTAAAAGACTTTGTCAAAATGAGTTACAGGTAAAGCCATTCTTCTTCTCCTTGGATGCGGGGCACTGCACAAGATAACGCCCCGTTCAGTTCGGCGTGCACACAGATAAAGCCCCCCCCCCCCCCCCCCCCCTTTGTGTAGAAAACCAGTTCTGTGGCACTTCCTTACGCAGTGTGCGACACAAATGTGTCTGCGCCACGTTTGAAAAGTGTTTCGCCTATTTCAAGGTCCGGCCGCTCTTCCCCCCCCCCCCCCCCTCCCCCCGAGAGCTGATGGTCAGTTTCACTCTTAAATCAGAAGGAGCTGCTCATCGTTACACATATCATCAAAATGAGCTGAGCCCCATGTGCGTGAGGCCGTTAAAAGAAGTTCATCTACGTGTTTGTGTGGTTATCCATTTCCGGCCTCCTAATAAATTGGGGATTGTTTAGTTCACGATGTGGAAATATTGGAAAGTAGTAGTAGTTTCCTCCAAATGGACACAGTGAAGAGCTCTTGCTGTTGTCATGGAGACGTCACACTCCATCCGAGTCACTTCTTCAGGTTATCATCTAAACGTTTGCCTGTCGATTTGCCCACTGTAGAAAACATCCTGAGATGGATCCCTCCTGTATGGAGAGTTCGATAACTTCACCCTCCGACGACATCGTTTGAGTTTTAGAACCAGTATTGTGGGTTAACGTTGGGATGGGGTGAACGCAAACGCAGCGTTCAGTACGTCAAATTGTTTTTCTATATATCTGTCATTTCTCGTCTATTATTGTCCTACCGTGTGTGTGTGTGTGTGTGTGTGTGTGTGTGTGTGTGTGTGTGTGTGTGTGTGTGTGTTCCTTCTATAAAAGACAGTTTATCCGATATTGACCTTTTTTTGTAACGCAGCCCAGATGTGTCCCACAGGAACGCGGGTGATTTGTTTATTAAAATGTCTAAACTCGTACATCAGGTGGTTCGTTATTAGCCCGGTGCAGCATTTACTTCTAAATCTGATTTGAAGCCGGGGAAGTGGCTCTGAACTGTTGAACCTGGCACAATTCCAAGTCAAGTTCTCCTGCATTTGGTATCATAAGACTTGATTTCTGTTCATTCACAATGCAATACATTGACTGAAACCTTTTTGTTGTACATGAATAAAAATGCAGTTATACGGCACTAGTGCTAAATGTCAGTGGATCAAATATTAATTTAATGCTTGCTATGGTGTGAAGCACTATTGTATTGAATATTCATTTGTATTGTTTCTCTTTTAAATGTAAAATCAAAATAAATACCTGGTCAAGAGAATGTAATTCTTGAATATACTAACTACAATGTGTTAGTAACAGTAGACACAAGGGATACTTTAGAAATGTCTCAAGTTAAATATTAGGAAGTGATATATATATATTTTATATAGGAGGACCTGTTAAACCGGTTAAACCCGACTTACTGCTCTCCAACCCTGTCGCTGAAAAGCTTCTGTATGAAATCAGAGCTGCAACCCATTAAACCTCTACATTTCTGCACTTTTGCCAACTTTTAAGTTCAGGATGGATTGACAGCCTGTGTTGCAGGAGAATAAACACTCAAGTGTTTAGCGTTGACATTTTTCACAGTCCCTTTTTTTAACCTTAACGTGTTGCATTGAGAAGCTAATCCGAGGCCACGCTAACCGGATGAACACTGGCCGTTCTGTCTCCACCTCCAAATGTTTTCACATCCACTCGTGTACCGTCGTCGTTCTCAGGGTTCCACGTCTCCTGAGTGAGAACCCTGCAGCTCGCCCCTCCTCTGCTGTGTTGCTTCTTGAGCGAACGCCGCGGACGCCGCGTCACAGTAGGACGAACGCAAAACATTCCAGACGTCAACTTCCTGAAGCCCGAACCTGTCCGCTCGCAGGTTAAAGAGCAGCTGCACACTTTTAAGCGATGAACTAGACAACTTGACTGTACTCGGGGTCCATTGTGAATGACCCACATCACTAATTGGCAAGTTACCGCATAATGCACATGAAACGTGTTTTTAGAAAACATGCTGACAGACAACATCGGGTGCTTTCTTTTTTACAAAGATCACGATTGTTGTGTCAATGCCTTCTGGCCCGCAGCGATGGACCTGCTGCCTGCAACCTCTTCGTCACTATCTAGAGGAGACCTGGTATTTCTGAAAGCTTATGACCATACAGGATCAGTACTAGCTCTTTAATAGTGGCTGGAAATTGTTCTAAATGTCAAGGGATATTAATTTATTAATATTTATAAA